TAACATTAGATTGCATTTTTTCATAACTATGTAACAATTAGTTTTTTTCATGCAAATTAGAGCATAAAAAATTTAAGTTAAAGCATTTGTATTATCCCTTCATATTAGAAGTTGACAGTAAAACTTAGACTTACTTTTATAGTCTATAAATGTATATTATATATTTGTATATATTATATTATGTAAATTTTTCTTTTATAGTTATTTTATTAAATTGGTTTCTTAAATAATGTTCAATAATAGATTCCCTTCAAAACATTTCTACTATTAATTTTTCATTATACCATGCTTTTCGTACTGCTAATATCTACAATGATAAATGAATGACATAAAAGTAAGATATTTGTACAACATAACAAAATTATTAATATAAGCAAAAATACAATTATTTATAATATTTTATAATTGTCACAACAATATGATACAATATCAATAACGTTTACACAGTAGATTTTGTGAATTGGGTTCGAAAAACCAATTATTTGTTTATAATAATATATTAAACTTCTAATACAAATTACACAATCTTATAAATCTGCACAATTAATGAATATTATGATTTTTAAATTATTGTAAACACAAACATAATTGTGTTATTAGTAAAAACTTTCTATTACTATATATTTTTTTAAATAATTACTCATCAATTTAACTTTAAATTCTATCTACTGTGTTTATTAATGAAAAAGGTATATAGTGTAATAAAAATATTTAAATACTAAATATAAATATGACTTATATAATCCGTCAATTTACTCACACCAGATTAGAGGCTACGTTAGGAATGCTTTTCAATGTTATTCAATATTTTTTACCTATACATTAATTTAATGACATTGAAGTACGTAAAAAGTTTGTTAATTACACGTTAGTTACTCGTTGTTGTTCTTATTTATGAACAAAATAAGACCTTTAATAATAAAAAGAGAATATTTGAGTAAGAATTGCAATGATAAAACCTTTATCGATGTTGAATCAGGCATCCAATTTAAAAAATAATTCCGCAAAAACTAACAATGCCAATAACGTAACAATCCACCTTCCAGCTTCTTATTTGTCGTAATAGTTCATTAGATATCGAACAGTCATTTTTACAAACATTCGTTCTAACAAAACACAAAGTTAATCTTAATCACAATATTAATATTTACCAAGAGAATGATTCTAAATCGACGTAACAAATTATTAAATTGATTCATATTTAATATTCTAAAATTGCATTTTTAATTATAAATATGGACCAAATGTAACGTGTAAGAAGTTTTGAACATTCAAATTTCAATGAAAATCGATTATTTTAATATATGAATAATTACAAGCAAACACGATTGACATTTGAAAAAATACAAGAAAATAATAAAGTCTTTAATTGCATCTTAAAAATGAACTTTGAATTCAATTTTACAATAAACTTTTTTTATCGTTGTAAATTTCATCGTAATTCTAATAATCGTAATAAAAAACAATTATAAATACGTTAAATAAACATTCAATTAAAACTAAAAATACAATATACTTCTTTAATTTAGAAATAATTATGCACGAAATCACACACTAATTTAAATAATTTTTTTAGTTTTCTTATTATTTTGAGCTTTTAAAACGGTCGATTATTTAAAAGAAAATTTTTAAATATTAATATTGTACTATAAAATAATGTAATTAATAATTTATTTTGTGGTGTAATTATAATTTAAAGGAGAGAACCAATAACAATGAATATATTGTAAAGTATTTCTTGGTCAATTTTCAGATAATTAATCACGTGTTATTCTGAGTTTTTGTATATATAATTTAGTAAGAAAAGCGATAATGTATTTGAGTGAAGAATTAATTAACTTGCAAATAGCGAAACAGAAATTGAAGCGATATGCTGCTATGTATATTAACCTGTAGTGAAATGCTCAATTCGTTAATCTGTAAAGATAATAACGGAGTAATAACCATAGTTGTATCATTATCAGGGACGCTATTACTAACAATCAATAAAAGTACCAAAATTATCACGTACATCAGTAATGTACCGAAGGATAGAAAGATTGAAATTTAAGCAGCTAAATTCGTCCATGACTTTTAATAAAAGAACTGATTTTGGCTTTAGTCGAAAATAAACTGTACTGAAGACGCGAAAAATCCAGGTCAATGCGGGATGTGGGAAAATGTGAGTGTGCAATCTGAGTTGATCAAATTATATGTAACAATGAGAAAAACGAAATTACTAAAAGGAAAGTCAAGTGTCTTTAGTTAATACTGGAAAAACTTCTTGCTTATACATAATATTCAAACATCAAACAATATTATTCCTCATTTAATCGAATGTTTTCAAATTATAATCGATATATTCTTGACCCAAATAACTGTTCTTACGCATTCATTATTTACGAATTATTTAAGACTTAATTGACTAAAATCTTATTAATAAATATTAAAATTTTCCTTTTCTAACTGGTGATCAGATATATTCAAGATAATTTTAACTATATATATTTTTATATAAAAGTCAATATTTAATAATATATATTATTTAATCAAATTAGATTTCAAAGAAATTTAATACGATAGGATATTAGACAAAGTTATTCTGAATAAGGGGGAAGGACGGTGATGTAATTAATGTTAAGGAATAATTATGTAATTCATATGCTAAAAATGTTATTTAAAAATTAATCGATATCACTATTTTCTAAATTATACTATTATTTAATATAGAAAGAATTTTTTATTTCATTGTCATATTTGTGCATAATAAATAAAATAATTATATATTTCAGAAAAATTTTGCTGCAATCGTTATGATTTTTATTAATTATCAATACAATTTTTAAAAATTAGATTTGTCTAAGTATCATTTCTCGTGAAATCCTTTGATATATCATTTTCTTTGAAAACAACCATCTTCTTATTGAATTAATTTTTTTAAATCGTTTAAAATTTATTTTATACGAAATTCACGTGAATTTTAAGTAGAGAATAAGAAATTATATTATTAAGAAAGACTAGTTGCGAACATTTTTACAGTAATATTAATATATTTTACTCAAATTTCTATACCTGACAGTTTTCGACAAAATAAACCAATAATTCTTATTAATATAACATAACATTTAGTATTTTAACAAAAAAATTTGTTAAATATTAATTTATAAAACGCATTGCTTATTCACTTAAAATTTTTCTTTTAAAATATATATATATATATAAAAAATCTTTAGTTTATATCAACATTTGAATGTTAATTAATGGGTAAAAATGTACATTATACGAATAAGATATATTTAAACGAAAATTATAGTAAAAAAGATAAGTTTATATAATATTGAGATATTGACGTTATTTTAAATGCGAACAAGTAAATAATGAATTACACCTAAATAAGACTATAAAAACATTGATAGATGATCAAAGATATGTATATTTTTACATGCATTCTATATACAAATGCATAGAATAGAATTAACATTACACATTGGGATGAAAAAGTTTATAATAATTCGCCATTTTTCCATCTTACTTTTTCTTGAAGTTTTTATTCAACAACCTTATCCCTTATAGCAGTCGATAATAAAACTATCTTCTTTAATTGAGCTGGTAAGGTAAAATCATATGAATAGGCCGTCTGTCGCGGTTAGGTCAAAGGCAGTCGACCGACAGTGATAAGTGTCTATCGATTTCTTTGAAGATAAAAAAAAATATATAACGCTCGAGAAAATGAGACGTGAAAAGGGAAAAAGAAAACTAGTTTAAACATTATTTAAGAAACGTTAGATCGATCATTTAGGTAAGGAAGTCATCTTTTTCCATTATCTTTCAAACTTTCTGTAAATTTATACTAACTGTTATTATGATGGTTCTTGTTATCACTCACAGTTGTGTCCGCGATCGGTCAAGTCAATATAAAAAAAAGGAAACTTAAAAAAAAAAAAAAATTAAATACAAGAACAATATTCTTATATATTACTAATAAACATAATGATCAAATGAATGCTAATGAAATGTAGAAAGATATAAGAAATTCATAAGGAATAAAAGGAAATTATAGGGGTTTGAAGAAAGACCTCACATATATTAAAAGTATCTACGTGGCTTGATTCAGACAAGCAGAAAAAGAGAAAAGAGGACTGAAATGAGTGAGCTAGCAGTTGCAGTAGAAAGCCCAAAGTTCAGAGTTCGGATCACAAGTGTTTCTGCAGCAACCTGTACCTCATGTCAACATACGCTCGCAGCATACCATCTCTTTCATCATGCACACTAGACATTGCTTAATATCTAAACTCTTCTTAAAATATAACGCTATTTATATCTTGCGCACACAGCCTTACGCAGTACCAAGGGAAAATAGTGAGCGAAAATCAAAAGAAAAAAAAACATGAATTGGAGGTGAGAAGGAGATATTATTCATTTCGTATATATGTGCTTTGTTTTTTCATCCTCTTTATCTTTCCTGTGAAGAAAATTCTGTAAAAACGCATTAGCGTGTAAATGTTGAAAGAGGGTAATAGAAATATGAGCTTTTGCAAGGGAAAGTCATTATATTCCTTCATATTTAATTTTTTCACTTCCGAAAACGATAATTTCAACGAAGGCGAAAGCTTAACAAAAGAAGAAAATATAAAGAAAGAGCGAGCAATGGAGAAAACGAAGGATATACGAGGATTTAAGCATGTTCAGGTAGAAGCATGAATTGATAAAATATTGAAGAGAAAGATGATATATGTACGAAAGCCAGTTTGCGCATATAGAAAACGAAAAGAAATACATTGTAGTGCTAAGTCTAAATATAGACCATACGACGAGAGTAATTAGTGTTTGATGATTTGACAGGCGTGAAACGAAGTCACATGCGGTGACTGTTAACTAAACGGATCAACCTTCCTTTACATCTAGCGCTCTACGGCAAGTATTACCACTCCCTAGCTTCTCTCTTGAATTCAGTACGCAATATTTTTCGCCAATTCTATGAAGCCGAAGATGTTGAGGTTAAAGATGAACCATCCTCTTCATTGATTCCTATTATCTCATTGATGTCGCATTTCCGTTGAGCAACAAGCCATTTGTGACGCTTATGATGCTCATTCCGTCGAGTAACAGTTCAACATGCAAATACGTCGATACTTTGAGTAGAGGTGTATATTCACAACCACGTATTCATGTCTCTCTCTCTCTCTCTCTCTCTCTCTCTCTCTCTCTCTCTCTCTCTCTTATATAGCATGGTCGTGGAAGGAATATGCAAACACGTAGACATTACATAATTATCCGCGTCAATAGGAGCGCTCGTTATTTTAAGGTATTTTCCCTTACAAAATGGAAATAAGTATAATTCCTTGAAAATAAAATTATATCCAATAATACTTCTCATACATTTGTATATAAATTTACTATTCCAAAACTTTAGCCTAAACAGCGAGCATACATGCATTCCTACAATACCAGCAAAAGGACGTACGCTATTGCAGTAAATTATATAAAGGTAACATATTTCATATGATTTTTAATGTTTCAATAATTTTTCTCAAGTCATTCAAAAATATTACAAAATTATCTATATTAAATACATAACTACTAATACCTACTGATATTATCTATAATATGTTATTTATATATAGAAATTATTTATTTATATCATGAATGTCCTTTACAAATATTATCTAATTTAAAAATAGTTAATCTTTTCATACTTAAAATATTTATTTTATGCTTATACCTAATTTATATATTTACTGATTCATTTATATTTTTTAAAAAGATTTACTTATTTTTTTGCCTAAATCCTGGTCTCTTATGTGATACGTATACCAAAAAATTACAATGTATACAATATATTTTGTCGTCATCGTTCTTATCACGTAGAAAATTATTCTTACAAATGTTAAAATATTTAAGTTAAAGAAAAATATTTGAATTTAGAATATTGCCTAATTTAAAAAAAGTAAATTCTATAAAACATTTAAAATTCGAATATATTAAATTTATTTATTAGTTTAACCTAATTTTTTAAATAAGATTGATTAAATAATTTGTAAATCAAATAATGTGAACTTACTATTTGGCGCAGTCGATAAGCTGATACTCATTACTTCTCTCGAAGCTCTGTTGTACACCACGATCTTTCCAAAGAGTTTCGACAATTTCATAGAACTCCTAAAAAAAACAAAAAAAAACAGACACGCACAAACATAATTAATACATAAAGCCAAACAATACCAAAATGAGAAACAGGGAGAAATAGCATGAGAGGGGCGGAGGAGATAGAGGGAGCCAAACAGAAGAAGGAGGAGGGGGGGTGATATAATAATAAAGTAACATGTCTGTATAAATTAGAAGCTTCCGGTTACTCATTTGTCTTAATCAACGCAATTTTTACCATCTCAATCATATATTTCATTCAACAACAAAATTTGAACACATACTTTCATTACAAATTTATATATTCTCTACTTTAAAATTATTTAAAGAACACTATTTTAGAATACTTGATTAGAATATAATAATGTATATTTTAAATATAAATTGAAAATAATCGAATGTTTTAAATTTTAACTTGATTGAAAAATTAACTATAAAGGGTATAAATTATAAATTTTATAGTACTACTTTTTCAAACCACAAAACTTTAAAGATTTATATTATTCAATTTCTATATTGTAGTGCTGAGCCTTTTAGTAGGGAAGATTGGGACTTATGTCAGAGGCAAGTCGTGGCAGTGCTTGCATTTCAAAAACAAAAGACGTAAACAAACTACTGGTACTGAAAATGTACATATGTGGTGTGACAATGCATGACACATTAGCTTGCGTTGGCAATATTATCTCAATGTGTATAACAGGTATATGATAAAGGCAACAATCTAAGCTCAATTTATTTATGTAATATTATTCAATTAATATATACAACAAATTTAGTTTTATTAATATAGATAAATTAAGTGAAATTAATTACAATTTTATAAAGCGTTTTGATTTTACTAAGTAACACAAATAATGCTTGCATTAAAGAAGTATCAATATTCAATTTATATATTTGAAAATCGCATAATATTAAACATTTGTAAAAATTAATAATTTTACCGACTAAGTTTTACAAAAACAAATAAGTACAAATCAGTATTTCATCGATTTAAAATATAATTATAAACAAATAAATTAAAATTTAAGTGAGTCATCTTTTAGAACTTGCCTTCGTTATTATAAATTAACGTCGCTCAATACCTATTTTGCAGAAAAATATTATCTTATCTTAAACTGAAAGAAAAGTATTGTAATATCATTATTTTATACGTATTATTGGCTATTTGTCGTTTAATACACATTATATTGAATAACATAAGCTTTGTAGAAAAATATGAAAATTAAATGTTAGATAATTACAATTCAAATTAATAAATATGAAAGAATTAAAATTATATCCCGTTACGTAATACAATGCTCTTAACTACAAGTTGCGTCATCTCTTTCTGTGTTTGAAAATAATACTTAAAATTATACTATCACATATGATTTCAATCCTAATGAACATAATATTTAAATATTTTTCAATATTGCAGTCTTATAATATTTAACAATACCTAAATTTAATAGCCTTCGGATGTCATGTAATGTCTCAAAGTTGGATTGAAGTAATATTAAATGAAACATTTTAAAAATAAAATTCCAATATTTCAGAAAGCTATTATCAGTTTGTACCTTATTAATGGTGTATTTTAATGAGTAAACATAAATGCCTACAGTAAAATAATAATAGTTACATGGTTTTTACATTAAACATAAAATAACTTTGACACTTTAGTAATAACACATGACATAAAATGCAGATGCATTTTTAATAAAAATTAAAAAAAAATTATACAATAATAAGTGGTAAATATTAGTACCCCAAATATATTTATAAATTGGATGCAATTACAGATTATAAATAAAGATTATAATTAATTTATCTGAAAGAATAAGCTTCCAAGTTTGAATTTATTCATTATATAGAATAAAAGTTATTCGATAAGTTTATTACATATTGTTTCTATTGTTTATTTTTTATAAATTGATTAGAATAATTTACATCAGCATTTTTGAGTTTATTTTACTTTATTCATTTTTCATGATGAATCCTTGACCAGCTTCTAGCTAGATTTTACCAATTTTCTGGTCTATCTTTAGCAAGTAGAGCAAGCTCAAAATTAATGGAATAGATAGTAAAATTTATTCTTTCATACCGAAAAAATCTAATTATTAACTTATAGAAAAGGAAATAAAAATATTTATTAGCGATATGAGGCTGATAATAAAAGTAATAAAAGTTAAAAAAAAGATATATCCAATTCAAAAGCAATAGATAATAATAATTAAATATAAACATTGCTTTATTTATTATATATTATAGATATAAATTAAATTAAGTTAAATTTTATTAAATTATTTTGTTTTAGTTTGTTCTTAGTTTTTAAAATGAGTTTTTAGTTTTAATTTAATAAATAAAAAAATATTTTTGTAGATTTTTTTTTTTCATTTTTAATTAACTCAAAAAGTAATAATGTTACATAGCATGAACCAGTAAAGGACGTGTTACTAATTATAGAATTCGAATCATAATTCAATTAAAACAGTAACTAGTGATGAGATAAACATGATATCTCGAACACAGAAAATATTTTACAAGACTCGTCATCAAAGTTGTAAATTAATTTATTATAAATATTCAAATTACAAGGTTTTTAAATATTAAAAAACATTATATATAAATAATATATATTAGAAAATTGTTTAATTTAATGTCAGATTTAACGGTGATTATAAAATAACTATTATTTAATAAAGTAATAAAAAAATTTCAAATAGACGATAACTGATTAATTAATACATTTTGTTGTTAAATTCGCCATTTAACAACATCCAATAAGTAAATGCATATGTGCATATATACATCTCTATAAAATGAACATAATATATTACATGTTTTTAATGTTTTCTAAAAAGTGTATCATATTTTTTTATTGAAAGGAACTGAAATTTTGTCAGAAATGAAACAATATAATATTATAAACTCCGTTTGTTGTATTTTTAAAATTATTATCCATAAACGCCGTTAATAATGGAATTTACATAATTTATGTGAAATTTAATATAATCAAATCTAATGCAGAAAAAAGTAATTAAACTGCCTAATGGTTCAATTAAAATCTTATTATTTTTAACAAGAAGAACGTAATGTAAATATTTAAAGTTCATTTAGGAATATTTTTTAGGTTTACGAATTTAAAAATTTTTACGTAATGATTTATATAGCATTTTTTATACGTGTGATTTTAAGATTTATAAACAAAATAAATTGCAATACATATTTTATTTGATAATTTGTCAAAATTAATGATTTCTGGATTTTCATTATGCTCTTATTAATTTTTATTTAAATTTATTTAGCATCATATTTCTCTTCGTATTATCACTTATGAGTTAATATTTAAATCAATGTATCATATTACTCAATTTTATTATGTGAAAGAATAGACTGAATATTTAATATTAAGACTTTGAATTATCTTAATTTAATTATAATTTAAACAAAATATTTAAATCAATGAATGTTTTTTCTAAACATGTTGCGTTAAATTATTTTCAAGTTTTTCTTAGCGGCTAAATTTTTGAATTAAGCCATACGGTGGACAGCGATTATAAAATTAATAAGAAATTCCATTACCAAATTTTATAATATATTTTTTTAATGGATATATTAGTTATATTGATATATTTAGTAATACAAAATTTTATGATATAATTACAAGAATATTACTTTTAAAACTAATTATTAATTTTTTTCAATCAATGAAAATTCACATTTTTTATATTTCAAATGTATTTAAAATAATTAACGAATTATAAATATTTTGATTTTTTAAAAATCTTCATTTAATCAATTTAATAATTTCTCTACAAAAATGCAATTAAAAAATAAATTAAAATCAGCTTTTAATCATTTATTAGAGAAATCGATGTTTGATAATAAGTGTAATAACTTTCATGATAATTTTCATGCTTACTTTAACATTTATTACATTTTTATATTCAAATATATATTTGTCTGTTAAACTAATTTATATATACATCATATACGTACTCACTTTCATAAACTTATTTCCATTACAATAATTATGAAATAATAATAATAAACTATAGAAAATTTTGTTTATTTCTACTATTTATATATCTTTTAAGCTTTTTTATATCAAGATATCATCTATTAAGTGATTATGTTTAAGAATATTGTTTAAAATTAATGCTTAACTAAGTATACTGTAAACTTGATATCTTTTTTCGTAAAATAGTTAAGACAGAACAAATATTATCTTTTCTACAATATTAAATCTTTAATGTACATATGAGAGATTTACTCTAAGTATTACGTATAACACACAGATGCACGCATGCTAATTAATTGTTAAGAATATTTTCTTGTATTTTTAAAGAAAATATTTTTATTGTGATTAATTTAATAATTCTTTTTATTATAATTTTTTAATCAGTTTTATTACATACTATCTACTTTCCGTCTCGTTTACACACATGCACACATTTTTCATCCCATTTTATTTTCTGAATATAAAAGAACCTAATATAATTATTTTTAATAATCCATTGACGTTGAAAAAAATAATTATGTAAAAGCTGGTATAAAGTCAAAAATATGAGAAAAGAGAGAGAGAGAGAGAGAGAGAGAGAGAGAGAGAGAGAGAGAGAGAGAGAGCGTAATTTCTGATAATTTGCAGATACCAACTTGAATGATTCCAATTAAATCCATGATTTAATATATTTTAATAATAGCTATTTTAAAAATATAATAACTATATATATAGATATATTACAATATTGAAAAAATTAAAAAATATTTTCCTTATTTATGTAATAAAAAGAGTAAGAATCTTTTCCCAATTTGTTATTGGTTATCATTCTTAATTATTAATTATTTAATTAGTTTAATTATTTTCCTACTTTTTCTACGTATTGGAAAATTACATAAGACTAAAAGGACGGAAAATTAGGAAGAAAAAGGAAATAAATGAAAGAAATATAAAAAAATATTATTTTGTCATTAGTAATAAATCTGCTATGTTTGGAGTATAGCAATCATTTTCAAAAATTTTATGCATAATACATATTATTTGCTATTTATGTGGCTCATCTTATTTCCATAATTTCTAACTTACATTATCATCCTGATATAGTGACATTTTTTACAATTTTTTTTATTAAATATTCCTTTAGTAAAAAAGTCTACATAATCACTTGCGCAGTATTTATGTTAATTTTTTGTTATAAATTGTTTTTTCAAATCAGCAATTACGTTTTCCAATTATTATAATAAAATAATGCAATCGAGACTAATTCTCACAATATATATTATCATTATAATTTATATTTTTGCTTTTGTGTTTTGAGGTATTGGTTCAAGAAAGATAAGAACAAAAAAGTTCAACAAAATATTTCTTAAGTCAATGTAACATTGTACAAATATAAAGTAAATTTATTTTAATCATACGTGAATAATAAAAAAATAATAACGAGAATTATAAAGTTTTATTTGATGAGCATTAATAAATTAGAATAAAATGTATTTATTCTGTAATCTTTTGAAAAATAAACTATTGTAATTTCATGAATAATGGAAAATATTAAAATAATTATTTTCTTCGTTTCTCGGGTAAATTTATGGGTGTGCAAGATCAAACATAAAATTACAATGAATTATTAATTGAATAATTATTCAAAAGAAAAAAACTTTCAGCAAGGTAAGAACCTCATTACACAATGTTTTAAATACAATTTTATGTATTTGAATAAAACAAGAAATATTATTGCCAATATTCCTATTTCTAAATCAGACGACTTCAAAAATATTGGTGGGACATTGATACTGATACGAGTTATAATTGCACGTATTTATAAGCCTGCATTGGAAAAAAGCTGTGCACAGACGTGAAAAATTAATAAAAGCGAAAGGAATAGAATTACGAAAAATAAGGAAAAAAAGAAGAGTGTCAGAGGAATAGAGAGACGGATAGATATATAGATTAATACATAGACAGAAAGTTTTTTAAGGCAATGATCAATAATTGCTATAATTATTTTAAGGTCTTTACGGTTTTACAAATTATTGTCTTATAGAAAGAAACAATTTTATTCAGTTCATTGTTATAATTTTTTAAATATATAAGTTATATTACGAAATTTTTTATAATGAATATTAAGCATAAATATTATTATTTGCTAACAGATCATTTTTTATAATACTACCATAAGTATTATTATTCTAGTATAGTTTATTAGAATTATTTCTAAGCTTTTCAACCATGAGTATACTTCAATTTTTGTACAATATATTTTATTTCCATTTCGAATACATAGTACTTCTATTACATGAATTAAAAATATCCTGACATTATAAATAATATACGCCAATATTACAAAAGCTTTATTTTTGATAATAAATAGACTATTAAATTCAGTTTATATGTTTTAATGAAAAAACAATAATATAAAGGGATCAAAATTAAGAATTTAGTATTTATATTTGTATTTTAATATAAATTTAATTTTAAATAATATTATTTATATATAAATTTCCTAGAATTTAAAAAAAGAAAAAAAAAAAGAAATATGAAAATTCAAAAGCATAATGTTTGTAAATATTTCCAGGCAATCAGAATTTATTACATATTACTTACTTTCTTTGTTAATTATATCAATGATTTTTATGCCCGAATAGTTACTCCTATATCTTGAAATACCGTTTTGGTATTAAAATTCTGTTTCTGATTTTAAATATATATCATGATATAATTAATTCCGTGTTACGCATGATATTTTATCGAAAAAATTATGCTTCTTTCATTATAAACAATTTCATTTTATCACATATTTTTATATCTAACTTCAATGGAAGTGCGAAAAAATGCTATATAACTTTTTATTTCAACGCAATTGTTATTCTCCTATTTCATTAAACGAGTGATTGCAAATACAGCAAAAACTATTTTCTCAGTACCATTTAGACAGACAAATGAGAAATCGATAGAATCGCCACGATGCCTCCGGAGATTCATTTTATTATGTCGATTAATAATCGGCGTATTGCCGATTCACTTCGTTATTCAATTGGCAGTGTTGATCGATGGAAATGAAATAAACGATTAATGGAATAGGAATCGATTGAGCATGCTCATTGATTCTTAATTCCAACACATATGCGCACAACTAGAGTCGTATTCTCCTCAAAGCTGATGACTAATGACTTGTACCAGAGAGCGGTGAAACATATTATAGGCAAGATTCGATAAATATCTTTATTTGTAAGTTTCACTTCTTTAAACAATTTGAATTTAAACAGGTAATAAACTATCAATAGAAGTATATTGTTACATTACAGTAACTTTTAAATTAAAAATTTGATATATGCTTCGATTTTATTTATCAATTGAATTTGAATTTAAACAAATCAAACAATTTGATTTTAAACAGGTAATAAACTATTAATAGAGAATATTGTTACATTACAAGAACTTTTAAATTAAAATTTTGATATATGCTTCAATCTAATTTATCTAAATGTTAATGTACTTGAAAAATGTGTAAAATGATGTAAAATAATTTTCTACATTAATTACGTACTTCCTACATATAAATACCATCAAGTTTCAAATTAAAATATTTGAAGTAAATATGAAAAAAGGAATAATAAACTAACGATCCTAATACTTACAAGCAAGAAGTAAATCGAAATCATCAGAAAAAAAAACTGTAAATAAGAGGTCACTTTGCAATATTTTATAAAGAATGTCGATACATCATGCGATAAAAAAGTATTGCTTAATTAAGGAATCTGCATAGATGAATTACAATTAAATTATAATTACAATTGAATTACAAGTTATTCTATACCTAGAGTACCTCAACAAATAGTAGTAACGACAACAACAATAATAATAATAACTTCATTTTTGATGATTTTTCATATTACTATTTTCATTATTATTGTATCATTACTATAATTATCATAATAGATACAAAATTTGTATAATACACAAATGTGTATCGATTAGCTCGACTGCGAAAAAATTAAAAAAATTGAATGTATAATACGATTTCTTAATTTTTCATATAACATCTTTAAAGTTTTGTAGCTTTTTTTATTCTATATATTTGTATTAAGAAAATTTATCATATTGCTAAAAAGGAAAACCCAAAGTACTTGGCATCCTTTTAAAATAATATCAAATAAAATTCGTCTAACAAATAATATTATCTATGCTGTAATTGTCTTCAAATTAGATAAAACAATAATTTTATGATTTTGTTTTCTTTTTCATTTAATAAAAGTAATTTATTAATTAACTTAATCTAATTTTTATGATTGAAAAAGGAAAGTATTTAAACATCAAAATATGCAAAAAAAAAGATAAATAGATAAATGAACATAATGAGGCATCGTAAAAGGTCGGTTAAAAGCAAATTGAAAAGAAAAGAGATTTATTTATTTGTTATAAAAGATATTAAAGGTACATTTCATTATTGATTTTTTGGCATATTAATATTTGACAACAATAATTAATGTAATCATTTCGATTCAAATATAATAAAATTTTTAATATTAGTGAAATTCAAAATATGTGGTCAACTTAATTTGCAAATAAAACTTTTTATAATAATTTTTATAATAATCTTTACACTTTATTTTACATATATTAACAATTTTTTAAAATAATTCGATATAAAAAAAATTTTTTTAAGTAATATATTATATCTTAACATTGACTTCGCACTCGAGATAAAAAAGAAAAAAAAAGAATAACAAATATATCATTGTAAGTTTGCATGATTTAGCCGAAATTTTATTGAAGAGAGAATTTGATACTTACGGCAGGGTAATCGAAGTCCGGGGAAGACGAGACATCGAGGATATAATCGACTCTACTTTGATTCGAAGGATCCTCCAACGTCACGGGCGGCGTTAAGGTGCTCATAGCACTAGTTATCGTCTGTAAACAATGGATTATTGTCGCTATAAATAATTTTGTATTAGTGTCTAAATGAAACACGATAAATATCATGATATGCAATTAGTTTCTCGATTTTTATTTAATATTTACTCAATTATATTTGACTAAGCGAAAACTAATATCGGAGTCATTATTACTCAAAGGTATAGTCAAACTCATGAAAATTTAATTAATTATTAATAATATAATAATCTGTTCGTTTTAATAGACAAATCATAAAAAATATTCAATCTTACCAAAATAGCATCTCTGATATTTTTCTTGATGTCCTCAATTTTTTGTCGTTTTTCTCTAAAAATATTTATATTCCATTATAAAAATATTACCATTTCTACTACTGCTGCAACTACCGCTAACAGTGCTAGTATTACTACAATAACTACTAGTCTACTAATCCTACTATTACAACCACTAGTACTAACACTACCACTACTACTACCACTACCACTACCACTACCACTACTACTACTACCACTGATACTATACTATTACCACTACCACCACTACTACTACTATACCTACTACTACTACTACTACTACTACTACTACTACTACTACTACTACTACTACTACTACTACTACTACTACTACTACTACTACTACTACTACTACTACTACTACTACTACTACTACTACTACTACTACTACTACTACTACTACTACTACTACTACTACTACTACTACTACTACTACTACTACTACTACTACTACTACTACTACTACTACTACTACTACTACTACTACTACTACTACTACTACTACTACTACTACTACTACTACTACTACTACTACTACTACTACTACTACTACTACTACTACTACTACTACTACTACTACTACTACTACTACTACTACTACTACTACTACTACTACTACTACTACTACTACTACTACTACTACTACTACTACTACTACTACTACTACTACTACTACTACTACTACTACTACTACTACTACTACTACTACTACTACTACTACTACTACTACTACTACTACTACTACTACTACTACTACTACTACTACTACTACTACTACTACTACTACTACTACTACTACTACTACTACTACTACTACTACTACTACTACTACTACTACTACTACTACTACTACTACTACTACTACTACTACTACTACTACTACTACTACTACTACTACTACTACTACTACTACTACTACTACTACTACTACTACTACTACTACTACTACTACTACTACTACTACTACTACTACTACTACTACTACTACTACTACTACTACTACTACTACTACTACTACTACTACTACTACTACTACTACTACTACTACTACTACTACTACTACTACTACTACTACTACTACTACTACTACTACTACTACTACTACTACTACTACTACTACTACTACTACTACTACTACTACTACTACTACTACTACTACTACTACTACTACTACTACTACTACTACTACTACTACTACTACTACTACTACTACTACTACTACTACTACTACTACTACTACTACTACTACTACTACTACTACTACTACTACTACTACTACTACTACTACTACTACTACTACTACTACTACTACTACTACTACTACTACTACTACTACTACTACTACTACTACTACTACTACTACTACTACTACTACTACTACTACTACTACTACTACTACTACTACTACTACTACTACTACTACTACTACTACTACTACTACTACTACTACTACTACTACTACTACTACTACTACTACTACTACTACTACTACTACTACTACTACTACTACTACTACTACTACTACTACTACTACTACTACTACTACTACTACTACTACTACTACTACTACTACTACTACTACTACTACTACTACTACTACTACTACTACTACTACTACTACTACTACTACTACTACTACTACTACTACTACTACTACTACTACTACTACTACTACTACTACTACTACTACTACTACTACTACTACTACTACTACTACTACTACTACTACTACTACTACTACTACTACTACTACTACTACTACTACTACTACTACTACTACTACTACTACTACTACTACTACTACTACTACTACTACTACTACTACTACTACTACTACTACTACTACTACTACTACTACTACTACTACTACTACTACTACTACTACTACTACTACTACTACTACTACTACTACTACTACTACTACTACTACTACTACTACTACTACTACTACTACTACTACTACTACTACTACTACTACTACTACTACTACTACTACTACTACTACTACTACTACTACTACTACTACTACTACTACTACTACTACTACTACTACTACTACTACTACTACTACTACTACTACTACTACTACTACTACTACTACTACTACTACTACTACTACTACTACTACTACTACTACTACTACTACTACTACTACTACTACTACTACTACTACTACTACTACTACTACTACTACTACTACTACTACTACTACTACTACTACTACTACTACTACTACTACTACTACTACTACTACTACTACTACTACTACTACTACTACTACTACTACTACTACTACTACTACTACTACTACTACTACTACTACTACTACTACTACTACTACTACTACTACTACTACTACTACTACTACTACTACTACTACTACTACTACTACTACTACTACTACTACTACTACTACTACTACTACTACTACTACTACTACTACTACTACTACTACTACTACTACTACTACTACTACTACTACTACTACTACTACTACTACTACTACTACTACTACTACTACTACTACTACTACTACTACTACTACTACTACTACTACTACTACTACTACTACTACTACTACTACTACTACTACTACTACTACTACTACTACTACTACTACTACTACTACTACTACTACTACTACTACTACTACTACTACTACTACTACTACTACTACTACTACTACTACTACTACTACTACTACTACTACTACTACTACTACTACTACTACTACTACTACTACTACTACTACTACTACTACTACTACTACTACTACTACTACTACTACTACTACTACTACTACTACTACTACTACTACTGGCGGCGGCGGCGGCGGCGGCGGCGGCGGCGGTGGTGGCGGTGACAGCAGCCGGCCCCTCGTCAGTAGCCGGCAGCCTCCTCGTCCGTCCTCCTCCACCCCCACCCCCACCTCCTCCTCCTCCGCCTCCTTCCACCCTTTTGCCTTCCTCTTCTTTCTGCGCTTCTGCGACTCTTCTTTACGTCGCTTCTTTTCACAAAATCACCCTATCACAAACACAGAGTGCACATATTTCTTTTGCCTTACATGTGCCGGCACCGAATTATCGTGTGCCCATTTGTCTTCCCCATGGCGGCAGAACAGACGAAGCGGAGTGCGTGTGCTCCAGCGGCCCCGCGCACTCGCCTTTTCAGCTCTTTGACTCTTTGGCTCGCGTTCGGCGGGAGCATTCGTATTCGGCTCGCAATGATCCCGATCACGAGCCAAGAGCAACGACGAGACAGACAGACAAACAGATAGACAGACGGATCAACAGACAGGCAGACGGACGGACAGACGGATGGATATAGATAGATAGATAGATAGATAGATAGATAGATAGATAGATAGATAGATAGATAGATAGATAGATAGATAGATAGATAGATAGATAGATAGATAGATAGATAGATAGATAGATAGATAGATAGATAGATAGATAGATAGATAGATAGATAGATAGATAGATAGATAGATAGATAGATAGATAGATAGATAGATAGATAGATAGATAGATAGATAGATAGATAGATAGATAGATAGATAGATAGATAGATAGATAGATAGATAGATAGATAGATAGATAGATAGATAGATAGATAGATAGATAGATAGATAGATAGATAGATAGATAGATAGATAGATAGATAGATAGATAGATAGATAGATAGATAGATAGATAGATAGATAGATAGATAGATAGATAGATAGATAGATAGATAGATAGATAGATAGATAGATAGATAGATAGATAGATAGATAGATAGATAGATAGATAGATAGATGGATGGATGGATGGATGGATGAATGGATGGATGGATCAACAGAGAGACAAATAGATAGATAGATAGATAGACAGGCAGACAGACAGACAGACAGATATATAGACAGACAGACAGACAGACAGACGGACGGACAGACAGACGGACGTAAGGACAGACAGACAGACAGATAAACAAATAGATAGAGAGAGGGGGAAGTGCGCGTATATGCGCGTGCGTGCGTATACGCGCGCGAGAGAGCGAGAGAGACAATATCTTGGAGTGGCGTTTTGCAGGCAGGCGAGCGTCTCAATGACTGTATCTTTTCCGAATAACGTACACGACATAAGCCAGTATCGAGATGAAAATAGACTAACGAATGTTGCCGAGTACTCTAGCTATGGTCTTTTCCACCCAAGTCGACGACCTCCTCCTCATCGTCCGTCCATCCTCTCGTTTGTCGAACGTCACTCACGATACCAAAGAGAGAATTATAACGAGGATTCGGCGCGCGCCTCTGCTCTAGATGCATGTTCCGGGTAGAAGCGGTAGCAGCCACAACAATACAGCGATGGTGAATGTCAGAAAAATTGAAAAATGGACTCTGTGCTATGACGTCGATGCGTGAGCGTGCAGCTCTCGGACCGCTAAGATAGACCGCTAAGCGCTAGATGCGAGTAATTCGCTCTGTGTGTACCTTTAGTTACACACGTGTTGACAAACGCGAGAGCTGATCAACGAGGACGAGCAGCAGGTCAGAGCGCCTGCTTTTATCCCCATCTCGGTTTACGGCCCCCCGGACTACGCGCCGAATCCTCCTCCGAGCGATGGCGCGCCGGCGGCTTACGAGATGACTACTCTAGGCTGACGAATGAACAGGACTACGATTGCGGATCACCCCGTTAAGTTCTTATTAAATCCTTATTCGATCCTCCCGATTATCTTTATACACAATTTCATTTTTTCTTAACTTTGCGCGCGCTCTGATTTCAACATACTATTCTTCTCTCTCGTTCAGATTTGCGTTTTATAAAGAAATTTTAAACCTTCTTTCTCTTCTATGTTGGAAGCTCTTTACATTCTATTATCTCTCAAGGCGGTGACAAGTTTAGAACTGTACATTCTACTATTTGACACGTTTTGACTGCAGTTTGCTCCCGTGTGCGCCGCAAGTGGAGACGGTAACATATCCCAACCACGTCAATCGAATTAAATCTGGCTTTGCCTTTTCTCATGGATACTTATTCTTAAGCTTTTTCCTTCTTGCATTAATAGCGGAAAAATTTGTGACCCAGAAGAGCTTTTTCCTTCCAAGCTTATTAAACAGTGCTTGATTTTCCAGTCACAAATTTGTAAAGATCTTCTTTGGCCTTTAATTATGATTCCGCCCTGTCGTTCTTCATTCGCTTATTTCGATGCATTTATCCCGAGTAGACGCAAGTGCACGACCATCGATAATCCGAGCGTATGTATGTCGACAGATCAAACACAGATTTTTAGCCTCTTATCGACTAGATGAGGCTATCTTGAGGTTCTCTTCGTTTCTCTCTTTTACTCCGCTCCCACAAGTATATAAACTACATGCACGCACATTCGTTCCTAAAGACGTCGCGCACACACTAACGTAAGCACCCAATCGCACTCCTTCGGCTCTGACATTTTAGTCATACGTACATGGCTACTTATCCGTTCACAGTCGCGAGCCGATGAAAAGACATATTTTCATCGACGGAAAAAATATTTCCTTAGACTCGTGCCCTCACAAATTAATTAACTTTACTCGAACATTATGGCTTACACTCGAGACTTAACACACACCCACAATCGCGCTCTCTCGTTCCATCGTTCTTCCTTTATCGCTCTTACTATAACCGCGCGCGCACATATTCATGCACGTTCATTCTCCCTCTCTATTTACGTGCACACACACACGCATGCACATTCTCTTTTTCCATCACGCACTCTCTCTCTCTCTCTCTCTCTCTCTCTCTCTCTTTCTCTTTCACACTCACTTTATCTCTCCAGCCTCTGAAGTGTAAATCGTCTCTCTTTCTCTCTTTATCTACATCTATCTATCCATCCATCTATCTCTATCTCATTGGATTCCACGAGTTCCTCTCCGTAACTCCGGGATCCGTCGATTCTTCTACCATGGAGATAATAGCCAAAAACTATGTAGAACGTAGACAAATCGAAGACTCACTCGAGATTTCCCGAGGTTTCTCTTCGCGGGCGAAACAACGTCCGAGATGACGACAAGGTGCTCCTTGTAGCCAACATGTCGTCTGCTAGACCCCAGCAGCAGCAACAGTAGTAGTAGCAATAATGAAGAAAGATTACAAGCGAGCGCGCGCACAATAAAAAGTGACAGCGACAGCGACAGTAACAGTAACACCAGCACCAGCACCAGCAGTAGCAGTAGCAGTAGCAGCAGCAGCAGCAGCAGCAGTAATTGTAGAAGTAGTAGTAGTAGTAGTAGTAGTAGTAGTAGTAGTGGTGGTAGTGGTAGTAGTAGTAGTAGTAGTGGTAGTAGTAGTAGGTATAGTAGTAGTAGGTATAGTAGTAGTAGGTATAGCAGTAGTAGTGGCAGCAACAGCAGCAGCACCAACAGCAGCAGTAGTAACAGCAGTAGCAGCAGCAGCAGCAATAGCAGCAGCGGCGGCGGCGACAAACAGTTCTGAGGCGAGGCACTTGCTTGCTCTATCTCTTTCCCCCTCTGTCTCTCACTCTCTCTTCGTCTCTTCTGCTTCCCTCTCTCAAACCCTTCCTAAGAACTCAATAACTCCAATGCCCGTTGCAGGCGTATGGAAGGAACAGAAATTGGTTCTTTTAAACAGAAATGGCAAATGGAACGATTAGACGGCTACTTTTTGCTAGAGCTACACGGAGCTCTGCCTCCTATTCGTACTTCTGGTGCTTCACGACACTTGGCGGCTCGAAAAGTTCCGGCCCCCGAACCACCCACAATATCGTTCGGACGGCCGGCTGACACGCACGCGCACCGATTTCTTTTGACGAGTAAATGTTCGGTAATGCGACTGCGCAGCTCGCGCCCCACCTTTTCGTTTTGTTTTTCGCGTTGGTCGTTTATTTGGTTTCTCTCAATGATAGAAAAAGAGAGAGAAAAGGGGTTAACGGAGGAGTGAAAACTCGCAAAGACCAAATCACATTGCATTGATTTATGTATATTATTATAGTTATGTATGTAGTTTTCTATTACTTTTTTAAATACCCTAAATATATAGGAGAACATGAATCTGGATCGTAACACAGAACCGATCAATGTGGTTATGGACCATCATTTACCTGATCACATCGACTCTGTAGTAACTGTTTTACATAACTAAACATGCACAAGAGATGGTCCCATTTAACAACTTGCCAAATCTTGATGTTATTTTTTAAAATGATATTAATTGTTTATTTCACAAGACAGTAAATCAAACGTTGTATAAAATTTATTCAAATATTTATTAAATATAAATTATAAAGCTAATAGTACTTCTCGAAGTTCTCGATGTTTCATTATTAATAAAATAAAAGGTATTTTATTCAAAATAACATTAATGTCAATATTGTATGTTGAACATTGACATTTGAAAAATATATGTATGTATATAATGGACTATACAAACAGTATTAGCAAAATGCTTGACTTTTATAAATACATTTGTGAAGTTGATGCTTCACACTTCTTTGGATACTTATATAAATGTGTAAATGCATACACAAATTAGTAATCTAATCACTATATTCTCTTGATTTGGGAATAGTGACGCTTCTCTTTTTTACAGATTTTTATTGTACCAGTTCAAAATTTTTCAATTTTCAAAGATGATATTATCTTTAGTTGGAATAGATATTGTAAGTATTCATTTTTTTTATCTTTGTCATGAAATATAACAATGCACTGATTAACATCTTTCCAAGATGGTTGTGCATTATTTGGATAAAGAAATAATATATAATTTCTTATTGAAATGAAATTGTCTTGCATTCCTTTTGTATAGAATGTCTATTATTTGAATTGGTTAAGACTTTAATGGGTCATCTGACTTGCAATCATCTGTAAGGAGGGAACTCAAATCAACATCTTGTAAGCTTGTGGAATGATGATTGGAACCTAAAAGTTTATAATGTAATTGTAAAGAAACTTTTTAAAACTAATTTAATTATACCTGCATGAGCCAAAAATAAATCTTTTAAAAATCCTAATTCTTTATTAAGCATTTTTATTTTCTCTTCTAAAAGTTCATTTTCCATCTTTAATTGATTAACACGTTCTAAAGTTTGTTGTGTTCTCATTTTACTTTTTACTCTAGATTTTTTTACAGCCTATAAAATTCAATTATAAAAATTATTTACTTCTTCAAAAACAATATACTGTTTTAAATTTACTTGATTATTTCGATCTCTTCGCTTTCTATAATCTTCGTCATCATCTTCCTCCGACATATGTTTCTTTCTTTTACTACCAGAATTCTCCTTATTTCTGGGTGCCATCTATAAAGATATTTTATTAATAGTAAGAAACTAATATTAAATTACAATTATATATTGGATAAATATGATATTTTTAATATATATATATGCAATGTTTTTATCAAATTTGTAAGCAAGAGTCCATTTTCAACTTTTTCTTCTGTATATCATCATTTAACAATTTAACAAACAACACTTGAAATTTTTTCACATATTTGCAGCTCTTTGTCAAGTTTAATTATTAAAATAAAGTGAAAATTAAAATTGCCAAAAACAGTAATAAATTTTTTATTTTCTTATTATGTTATTTTACATTTCACTATCTTGACTACTTAAATATAAGAGAAAATTTGAAAAGATTGTGCAAGCATAAAACAAATTTTACGAAAATAAACATTATTTTGATGCATTTTTAGAGATGGTATGAAATATTGAAAAAAAAAAAATTATTTTAAAAACAGAATATTTAAATGCTTGAAAATATTACGCACATTTTTATTTACACTTAAAAAACGATTTCACAATAATTACGAGTTATAGCTTGAATGTTTGATGTTTTTTACGAAATAAACGTTACCATGTGTACAATTATATTACAAGTCGTTTTGGTAGGTCAAGAATGACGCAATTTCTGACTGAAGTTCCTCAACCATCAGTGTGTATAATAAAACTTAGTATTGATATAAGTTCTGCGCATGTCATGCGGGATATTTGAATTTTATTAAATACTCGTATTGACTATTTTTGTAATTATTACCAATCATTAAATATAATAAATGTATTTGTAATTGATTTAAAATTTTAAATAATGAAAATTAAATTATACTTATCTTTTTAATTTTTTAATATTATTAAAAAGTTTTATTTTAATACTAAATATGCACACATTTATATTTTATTTAATTATTAATAATGTAATTCTCATAATAGAGCTCAAATAACATTTATTGGTTGATTTACAAATAAAAATAGTAGATACTTATAATTATATAATATTTTTTAAGACTATAAATTTTTTTAATTTAAATGGTATAAAATATTCATATACTAAAAAAATATTTTGAAAGATAGTTTTTATTTTATATTTAATTAAAATTTTTAAAATTTACTTAAACTATTATGCCAAGTAATAAAGAAAACATTTGTATAATATTATAGCTAATGTAAAAGAAATATATTATACATCTCATATTGTTTTAGTAAAATTAATCAAAACATTCATTTTGAAAACTTTCTGTCAGCAATTATTGATATACAAAATTATATATATATATATATATATATATATATATATATATTCGTCATTAAAAATTTAATTAAAAATAATATAATATAATTTTATTCGCTTTCTGAACCACTTTCACTACCACTGCCGCTACCGCTACCACTGACACTTCCACTCTCCTCGCTACCACTTGCAATTTCACTAGCTGAAGCAGATCGAGATCTTGATTTTGATTTTGAAGCTGATTGTGATCGTGATCTCGATCGCGATCGCGACCGTGATTGAGATCGAGATTTTATAAGAGAACCGGATCTTGATCTTGATCTTGATCTTGACTGTGATTTTGTAGGTGATCCGGAACGTGATCGTGATGGTGATTTCTCAGGTGAACCTGAAACTGAGCGTGACTGTGATTTTATAGGAGAACCTGATCGAGATCTAGAATGTGATTTTTCAAGTGAACGAGATTGTGAACGAGACTGAGATCGTGATCGTGATTGTGATCGTGATCGTGATCTTGATCCTGATCTTGATCTTGATTTTGATCGTGATTGAGATCGCGATTGAGATCGTGATCGTGACTTTGATCGACTTCGTGTTGAATGTACCGAGCGAGTTGAACGCGCTTTTGAAGGTGATCTAGATCTAGATTTAGAACGTGATACTGATTTCGATCTAGATTTTCGGCTAGACGTTCGTGACGATACACGCGACGAGGCTCGAGATCCTTCATTTTCTCCATCGTGTTCTGGGTTCACCTCATTTTCATTCTCTTGATTGTCCTCATTATCAGAACTTTCTAAAAATGAAACCAAAGAATTGTTTATTAATATAATCTAGTACTATATATAAAAATTGCAAAATACAAACCCTTATCGTCATTTTTGTTTGTATTTTTTAGAGTTTGCATTTCCTCTTCTATCTCCTCCTCCTCCTCCTCCTCCTCCTCTTCTTCATCATCATCTTCATCATCCTCACAAGGAGGCTCTAGTTGTTTTTCTCTATAACGTTGCATTCGATATTCATTGGCATTTAGTGGACGGTGACGAACAACAAGTCTGGTATTATTAACTGGCTGACCAGCTTTTTGTCTACGTTTACTGAGTCTTACTCTAGTCTCCAATTCATTGTAGTATACCTATTGCAAAGCCTTTAAGTATAAATATGTTTTGATAATAAATTATAAGAAATAATTCAATTTTCTTACCCCATCTTCGCGTAAAACAAGAAAGTAGTTTTCTTCGTAGCCTTTAGAAGCTTTACTTTTAACATTCCAGTTATATTCTCTAGCCATTTTGTATTCATATTCATCTTCTTCAGCATAATCAATACCTGAACAGAAATCTCTTTTTCTTTTTTCAAGAGTTTCTTCTAAGGGTAGGAAATAAGCAACAAATTGTTCACCACTTTCATCCATCACACCTCTTAAAATATAAAAGTTTAGAATATTAATTCTCTTTTATTTTAATAAAGTATTTATTTCCTGTAATATTACTAACCGAATCATAGCCTGCGACATTTCTTCAATTTGTGCAGGTACTGAAAGACCCATAGGAGCTGGATCAGAATCAAAAATAACTTGTGCACAAGGATATTTCCATATCTATGAAAATTAATAAATAATTATATTTATTTGATATATTTTTTTAATTTTAATGTGCTTAATATACCTTAAAATCTGGATAAACTGGGAAAATTTCTATAGGTTGAACATTTGGTTTACTATAATGTTTTTCAATAAGTTTTTTATTATCATCAAAAGTTTTTTCTATTGCTCGAATTTGAGAATCACGATCCATGTATAAAGTTTCCTCCTATATTTGTTAGAAAATTTTAAAATAATTAAATATTCTAGTACAAAAACAAAGTTAAATTTTCAATACCTTAAAATGTTTCTTAATATTGTGTCCAACTTTTGCCTCTACTTTATCAGAAGTTGTCTGAGGCTGAAATCTAGTTTGTTCTGTAGAAATATATTCTGTACGTCTAAGCCAAGATACACTTCTCGCATGATGTCGGGATCTTTTTGAATCTTGAGGTGTAAGAATATCTTCTTCTAATAATTTTTCATCTGCTGGATCCAACTGAGCATTTAGATCTCCAATATATGTATCTCGATTTATCAAATCAATTTCTACTCCCAAATCATGTTCAGTTAATACTTCATATTTATAATTACGCTCTAAGGATGTTGGATTATATTGAATAAACCTATTAAAGATAAATTATTTGAATTATATTTAACACTGTTTGTTTATTTCTAATCATGTAATAATCACCTAGTTGTTTCAAAAGGATAACTTATAAATTTGGGATCAAATGCAATATCTGGTAGTGTATTGCAGTATTTTACTTTACAGATTAATTCTAATCTAAAACAATAAATACATTAAAAATTTTAAATAAAACAATTATATATGTGGAGTATCTTAGAAGGTTAGAAATAAAATTACCTTTTTTCTGTAGGTCTTACTACACCTCGTTTATCAGCAGTTCCATTTTGTATAGTTGGCGGCATTATTTTTATTAAACTTATACATAAATTGTTTTAAAGATATAGTTAATGTTATAATTTCTTGGACAATGTACGTTTTATATTGATGATAAATTCTAATCCTGATTATCTATCGCGGGCAACCGTAATCTAAGAGACTACTCTTAATCATTTAGTTTCGATTTTCGTACCTCAATTATTGTTACAACTTCTTTCCCGAATTACAAATAACCATGTTTGGAGTTTTTACCGCTCTATTTCAATTTCGAATAATTTAAAGCAAAGGAACCACAAATTTATACATGTGTGTGGCAAAACACGCATTCTTCGCTTAACCGAATGTAAATTTGAATATTAGCTTCATGAGTAGACACCGATCAATTCATAAATATGAATTAAAAATTTATTCAGAAATAATAATAGGCGATCTTTATTCAATTATTTTTAGCGAAAACTGTCTTTATTAAAAATATTACGTTTAATGTTGGTATTTTCATAATTAATTGTGTAACATGTAAACCTAATTTAAATTGAATATCTTTTTTTTTTCTTACAAAACATTACTGAAATTACAAAATGAACATTCATTTAAATTTTAGAGAATTAAAAAATGCTACTTTACAATATTTTAAACAATTTTATAACATTGTCATGGATATAATTATACTAGTAATTATCTAAATGTAAATATCTAAATATAAATAAATATAATTCACAAATTCAATTTTATGAACTAGTATTCAGACATATCAATAATCAGTGTATAAATAAAATTTTTAATTTTATTTACCCAATGTTTCATTTATCAGTGTTTTTATGTTCTGTTTATATTTCATAGCAAAAATTAATATTGGTAATTATTTCCTGCATTGTAGCAATTGAATGTACGAATATTTATTACCATAAAATAATTGTTGTATTGTATTTCAACTTTACTAAAAAAAAATTTTAATTTGGATTGATTATATTTAATAAAATTACTACATTTTATAGAGATGTGATATATATTATTTTTCTTATAGAAAAATTATTCACTAGTATAAATATAATCATATTAATTAAAATAACAAGTTTTGTTTAATAATATTAAATTTTTTTAATTTTCTTATAAGAAATAATTATTTTTTACTGTTATGTAGATAAAAATACGTCCAGAAATGTTTCGTGCCTTTTCAATTTTTTTTTTATTAAACTTAAATGATTAAAAAGTGTCATTTCGTAATAAATTTTAAAAATTAGATAATAAAAATTCTTTATTTTAATTATTTTAGAAATTAAAATTGAGCATATTTAATTAAATACATAATTTAATTAATTCTTATGAAAATATACTGATACATTTTATTAAAAAGAAATCATGTATGCAAATGAAAAATTTATTTATGTTAAAATGTTTCATTATTATTATATCAACTTTTTGAAGAATAACGAAGTTTTATACAAATTGTAAAATTATGAATAAAAAATTTAAATTATCTAAAAGTTTTATGTAAAAATAGTTTTCGATGTAAATCAAAACAAGGTAAATGAAATGTTTCTAATAGATAATTAGTAAATAAATATAGTAAATTAATGATTTATTAACAGTGATGTATGATATTATAAAGTTCTTAAAATATTTATATCACAATTTATATTGTAAATACTTTTATTATAAATATTTTTATTTTTTAATTAACTCGTTGATCGTAGAAAAATGGGTCTGCAAATTTTTCATAATTTCTTGTCTTTGATACATAACTTCATTATGACATAATTTTGAAAATAATAATGGACACTCATATTGTAGTTTTTCAATATAATTTGTGTCTTCTCCATGAGATTCAAATATAAATTCAGAATCTGTGTTCACTATAAGAAACAGAATAACAAATATATTTTAATTATAATTGTTTTAAATATTTGTTTAACTAGCTTACAGCAATTGAATCTTAAGATAAAACAGGTACGATGCTTTGATTCTATTACATAATTCTTTTTTGTTGATGTTACTATAAAATGTGCTTGAGCATCGTTTTGAATCATTGGAAGGTAATTAAACCGTTCTGTATATTCTACAGAATATTGCCATTCACCATAATTACCAGAATCATCAATAATGTTAAATTGTTTTCTAAAAATATTTAATTATGTTATTCAAATTTTAATCTTTTCAATCACTTTTAATTAACAAACACATGACATTTAAAATAATTATAACAAAATTAATTTTAACATACAATCTAAAGATATCTAAAATATAAATACAAATTGAAAAATTAAAAAAAATTATATATATATATATATATATATATATATAAAGGTTATAAACATAAATATTAATTGTAAATTATACATAAAATTAATATATTAAATAACTCACATAGTTGGATTTAACTTCATCATATTTCTGAAGTCTGCTACAAATTCCCAAACATGTTCAGCCTTAGAATGTTTAATTGTAGCTTCATAAATCAAATAGTGAGTCCATTTATAAAAAAATAAAAAATAAAACATAAATAAACTTATTCCACTATAAGCTAAGTTTCTAGTCTTCCATTTCATTGGATTCATCTTTAAGCAATGAAAAATATTTCATTTTTAATTTATTATATTTGATAAAAAAAATTCATGTTATTTTATAAATAATATATTTACATAATTTATACGGTGTATAATATTATTGTAAAAGTTTTAATAAACAAATTATAAGATACTATTTATCATTTTGGTTTTACAAAAATTTATTTAAAAAAAAATACCTTTTATAATAGCTTTAATTAGTTAATAAATAACTTTTAAAAATAAACAAATAATACGTAGATATTTGTACACTTTTCTAACGACAAAAATTAACAATATAAAGAATTTATATTAACAGAATATTGTATGATTCAGGATGTATACTTAAATCTACTGAAACCGCCGTCCTGTGATAATCAAAAAACGGAAGTTAATATCAGATTTCACTACTGTACAGTCCAATCACTGTTTGCCGACTACTTTCAGATTATATAGCGAATGTATATAATACAGAATACAAAATAAGATTTCACTTACATTACTTCTCATTTTAAGTTTTACATACATCAAATAAAATAAACGTATAAAATTATACAGCTTACAATTATTTTTTGCGCTGTTTTAGATTTAATTGCAATACAAACAATACAATATAACAATATATATATATATATATAATTTTAATAAGAATTATTAATTTTATTATAAATTATACTTTTATTTACATTTATAAAATAAATGAAAATTTTTTTGTATAATTTAGATGGGAATATTGGAAATTAATTTGGGACAATATCTGATTAAATCGGTATTAATTATTATGCATTATTTCAATATACACATTACTTGTTAAATTTGAATTTTCTTTAAAAAATTTTCATTTGCTATTTTTAAAGTAATTATTTCTGTACTTATTCGTCAGATTTTATTGTTTCGATATGTGAAATAAGTAATTTATTATATTCGGTTGAAGCTAATGATTTAAACGAAATAAGTCGCACAAATCCATTTTGATATCCAACAGCAAGCCATAGAAAACTCCAAGCATTTGGATTCCACGCAAGCTATAATAAATATTTAATTATTTATTTAAATACTCAATTTTGGAAATGTTATTATAATATAAAATAACAAACCCGATTCACCGACGTAAATGGATATTGTTCTATAGGAACATTTTTCATCATTTCACAAGTAAGAGTTTTCTTATGATTTTTGGGCTGTTCCGATGAGTACTCATCTCGAAAAAACTAAAAATTGATGTATAATACGATATATTCTATTGATATATTTTTATTTAAACATAAAAATATGGAATATTAAATAATACGTACATTTATTTTATCACAAAATTTTAATCCAAATCTATCATTTGAATCAATATAAGTTGAGGGCATGTAATTATAATCTATATTGTCATTTTTTTCTCGTTTTTTAGTTTGAACTGATTCTTTACTTTTAGAGTCGTTTTGAAAATCAATTAATTCCAACGACGATACAATCTACATGAAAATTATAATTATCTCAACAAATTTATAGAAAAAAATGCTTAAATTACGCTAAGAGTTTTATTTATACACTGATATGGCGTTTACGAGGTAGTGTTTTATCCATATCTCGAATATATAATAGTTGCTCAGGAAATATTGCAAGAACTTCACCTGCAAGTGTACCATTTGCAATGCTATTTCCAAAATCCGATGTAGAAATTGTCTAATAATAAAAATAAAATATATGTTTATAAATGTAATAAATATAAATTTACAACGATTACTTTAAGGAATATTTAAATACATTGATTACGTACATAACTCGTAGAATTCGTTGGTAATAAGTTATAGTATTTATATGTATATTCTCGAAGTGGCAAACAATACGAGTAACTGTGATTCATACTAAAATAAAATATTTGTACTTTGAGTATTAAATTAATAAGTAATATAATACAGATTTAATAAAGATGATATTAAAATTTTCTGCAAATATTTATTTTAAGTTTTGTAAACTTAATTTCTAATAATAATATTACTAAATTTGTACAAATAATATATTCAAATTAAAATACATTTAGGAATTATGCTCTTATATTTCTATATGCTATTTTAAAGTTTAGTGTATGATGAAATCGACAACATCTTAATTCTTGCAACATGAAAATTGAAATTGAAAATATTGTATTTAAAAAGTGAAGGCTTGAACAAGATATTTATAAGATAAGATATAGATATATTTATAAGTTCTGTCATGTCAATAATACATTGAGTTTTTTTTCAATAAATTGATATTAATAAGGCTTTTGCAAGGTAAAATAATTTTCATACATTTGATCTGCTTACTAAAAAATTTAGGTAATACCATTAAATCTTGACAATTTGTGAAAATAATACACAATTTTTGAACCATTAAACTATTATTCACTATATTTATAGTATGTTAATATATATTAATATAATAAACCATTAAAAGTATTATAATAGTATTATTATAGTAATATTTGTACAATATCCTTTTTATAAATTAAAAAATTTATGGTAATTTAAATATTCTCTAGGAATTTATACGCGAAATTAATAATTTTAAAAACGAAAGATTTAATAAAATATACAGGTTTAGATTTTTTAACTATTTTGTAAAGATGTAAGTATTAGTATTTTTAAAATTGAAAGACAATTATGTTAAAGTATTGATGAAAATTATAAAATTTTTTTTAAAACATTATGGTACATCCAAACAATTTAGCGCATATAAACGAATATAAAAAACTTTATGAATTTATTAAATGCCTTTTTGAAATACCAACTAGTATTATAAATATTTAATTAATATTAAAAACTAAATAAAAAACTAAAACATAATCTTATCAATTTAAAATATTATTTCGAATAAAAATATTATATTATATTGTACTTTTTTTTAAATTTAATTTTTCCTATCTTTGTTTTTATTACTTAATTTTTATTACTTAACAGTAATAGTTTTTTTATTATTTTCCTACCAAAGTTCTACTTTAGCTTTATATTCAAATCATAATAATTTAGGTGCTGATATATTTTTCATGAATGTTGGATAGTTAAAAGAATGAATTTTCTGTTTCTTAAAAAAAACAGTTCTAATGATATCTAATTTAATATTAGTATAGAATATCATTTATTTGATTACTATTGAGTACAAATGATTATTTATTATTTTTCTATTTTTTTAATAGAAAATCTTAACTAATTTATTTTTAACGTTCTGATATTTTTAAAATATTAGTTAAACAATTGTATTTAAATATACTGTTTTATTTGTCTCTTAATCTTCAATGTTTATTCTACTTACCTTATTTTCTTTTATTTTTTTCAAATAGTTTTTAAAATATTAAAATATATTTCTACCCTAAGTTTGAACTATATTATCGTAAGATTATAATATAATTGTTCCAATTCATAATCTTAATAAATGACAGTTAACAAATTTCGAAATAGAGTCAGTAACTAAAATATGTTATAATATAATGCATTTACTTAATTATACACGCTTTTTATTAAAGGACAATTATAATACGCTTTTGTTCAATATGTATTATCATCTCTAAAAAAATTCTCAAACATTTAAAATTATAATTTAAAAATATATTTAATCAAGAAAAAAAGCGAAATATGAATTTTATCTTAAAGAATTTTGTAATCATTAACGTCATTAAAACATTACTATACACAGTTATCACAAGAATTATAATTAATATAAGGTAATCAAAATTCAATTATGAAGATTACAAAAATATATCCTTTTACAATACTATATATTTAAAAATTTTTTTATAAATGTGAGGAAAGCGATCATAAATTTACTTTAAAGAACTACAATATAATATGCAATGTAGATTAATATCCTAAAAGAAGTATTCAGAGTTTAATAAATTTAATGATTGATTGTTTCTTTACATCATATTGAATATCATTTTTATTTTAAATGATTAAGCATTTAATTACTGAAAAATTACATACTAACGAATGAATTATAATTTGCTGATTGTGTAGTGCTAAAGAAAATATAATTACATAAAACATACCATATTTGTTAAAAATGTCATTTAACATATATAAATTATATTTACAGTTAAATGTGAGCATTATATACATATTTATTCCAGATATATAAAATTCTTAAATAATGAAAGGTACTATCATAAATTTTGTGCTTGTGTTGACTTAAAAATAATGATTGAAATTAAATATTTTACTTGATTAGGAGTTGGTCATTATTTTGTCATATTATTAATATGACTTATTTTAAAAATTTGATAACGAAGCTTGATTATATATTGTTATTTAACTAAACAAATTTTCATGAAAATAATTAACTATTAAATTGTGAATTAATTAAGCATTGCACGACATTATTTTTTAATTAATACATGTATTTATTATTAATTTCTTAAAATTCAATTTATAGATCATTTAATTTTGTACTTACCTAAGTGCATCATCATAAGCAATCAGTGCACAATGCCAATTATTTAGCCATGATCCATCAGTGACAAAACTTTTTTTCAAAAAATTCCTTGGATTAGTAATATCTTCTAAGTCCCAAAATTTATAATGTCTATCTAAACTTGCAGTTGCTAAAAATCGTTTATTATCTTGGGGTATTAAATATGCCACTATAAATGATAGAAATAATTATATATATTAAACAAATGCTTAAATTCTAATGCTTACTTTATATAATTTTATCTATTTAAACTCACTTGTAATTGCATGGTGGTGTGCAAAAAAATGTCTATATGAATTAAGAAAAATAGTATTGCCTCTTTTAGTTTTTAACATTGAAGATTTTGATGTTAAATCCCATAATGCAATATATCCATTTGAAAATCCAGCAACAATTACACTGTAAATGTAAAAATGATAATTATTTTTAAATATAATAAATTATTTAATATGATCATTTTTTTATAATATCAACTGTATATTTTTCAAAAATGAATTCCTACTTGTGCTCGTTTTCTTTAGTCCACGATAATTTTGTAACTTGCCAAATTTGTTGCTTCTGATCAAACATTTCTAAATTAACAATTAATTGTAAAACAGGTTCTGTATTATAAATAGGATATCTATAAATAAAAAGATCAATTTTTAAATATTTTTTTCCATTCACTTTTACAATATGTATGAATTAATTAGCCATATGACTCACATATTTTCCACTTTTTTATCGTCAAAATTATTTATAGTTTTATTGCAATCTGAATAAGATGGAAGATCTTCTGGAAAAATAAGTGAGTATATTCGCACACAACCATCAGAACAAGCTGCAGCTAATAAACCCATTCTTTTTGGTTGACCATTTTCATTAATAAAACCAGGCAATTGTTCATGTTGATAACATCCAGATGGACACCAGTCTAAACACCAAACTGTTCCTCCCTCATGAATGATTGCATATGCTAATTTTGGATTATACATATTACTAGTTCTACATTTTTATAAACAAAAATATATTTTAGTATCTTTTGATACAAAAACAAACATTGTTAAGTACTTCATAATAATACAAACTTATTATTGAGATCGCCGAAATTCCAAATTTGAATAATATTTTTTTTAGTGTATATTTTTCCAACAGAAAATTCTATATCCATTGTTGGATGAGTACTGACAGCAATAAATTGTGATATATTTTTAGAAAATGCTAATAAGCTAGGTATTGGTAACCATGCCAAAGCCCAAATTGGACCCCCAGCAAAAAATGTTGGATTATCTATAAATAAAAATATAAAATAAATTAAAAATTAAAAATTAAATAAATACAAGATTAAAAGATTAATTGTGAATATAATATTATTAACCTTGAATACAATGTCCTTCAAATCTTTTCCACTTCTTCCATTTTGACTTTAGTAAATCTTCATTATTAGTTTTTTCACTTTTCATAAGCATTGATTGTTCAATAATTGGAAAATATTCCTTTGATTCATTAACACTTAATAACTTAAAAGTATTAGGTACCAATTCTTTAAATAAATTAAATTTATAATTTTTTTTTTCACTGTAAAAAAAGTACATTAATATTTTAATAATTACTATTGTATATAAAATAAAATAAATTATACAATTCCAATGTCCATTGAAATGCAGTGTAGAATGGCTTATTCAACTTGGTATGACAAACACCATCTTTAAACAAAAATCTAAAGATCTTATTTGCTAAACAAAAATTTCAATATTAATATTTAATATGAATTTTTTAAATTTGTTTGAAGATAAAATTAAATAAAGTCGTACAGGATTTAATACTTTCTTTAAAAAAAAATTTCTTTTGTAAGCCAGGATTTTTTTCGCTTTCTTTATCTATCTCATCAATATTGTCACTACTAAAAGACTCTGTGTCAGACAATGATAAATGGATATCATAATTATCTTCTATTGAATGTTTTTGGAGAGCATGGCTAACAATTTCATTCTCAGATAATGTTTGAAATTGACAAATTTTACATGAAAAATTCTGTAATATATAATAATATATAAATATTGAAAGAAAATTTTTTATTTTAGTTTAATTTCAAAACAACTACTTTTAACTGTCAAATTTGTATATCTTTCTAATTTAAGATTGTTTTTAATAGTAATTATAAATTAAAATTAAACTTTTTTCTTTTATTTATATTATTCAATAATACTTTAATATTTCATAGATACCTCTTGAGGTGTGAAATTACATACTGCATAATGTTGTTTAATTTCATTTAATGATTTACTATTAAACTGACAGCCTGCTTGATTACAAATTGCATATTCTCCAATATTTAAATTTTTTTTCCATTTTCCCAATAATGTACTTGGAATTTTTTTCATTAGCTGTGGCTTCTGTATTAATTTTTTCTATAAAATATAAATACAGTTAAAAATTTAATAACATTTTAAAATTAGTTTTTATAAATATCATCTTGATATCTTACGACAGAACTAAAATTCAATTTTAACTTTTTATCTGATGAGAATAAACAATCTTTATCATCTTTATCATTAACTATTGCTGTAAATTGTGATATTTTGGTAATGGCTCTAAAAGTATATAAAAAAATTAATTCATACGCTCGCACAATCACACACATAAATTATATATTATAATATAATTATAATACAAAATTTAATATAAATATATTTTAATAGTGATACTAAATTATTTCAACACAGTATTATTAGGCAATACTCTCAAAATAAAAAGAGGATTAAAATATTGGGTATATAATTTATTTTCTATGGATTCTTTTATGAAAATTATTTTTTCTATCTTTATTTATATTAAATATTCTTATTAGTGCTAATATATATTATACTTTTCAGCAGCTTTTCTCTTAATTTTTGAACCTAAATTTATATCATCCGCTTCTGAAAAATTTGTTTTTTGCTTTTCTTCTGTTTGTAATTTATGCATTCTTTCATGATATTCTAGTGATGATGGTTTTGTTACTGCATCACAAATAGGGCACGTGACCATTAAAGCCCGTTTTTCCTTTAAAATTTATTATATTTTTAATGAATGTTATTAAATTTCAAATTTTAAAAGCTTACTTCTTCATCTTTTCCACAAAATGTTGTGTGTGAGAGAAATCCTAATACACTACGCTTTATGACATTACATATTTCACAAACAAGATTTCCTTTTCTTCTTTTTATAGCATTGAACAAAATTCTTTTAAGTAACTTTTCATCATTTTCAAAATTCTACAAAAAATTTTTTAATATAGAAAAATGTTATTGTTAATACAAAAATTATGCTTACTGGTTTCGTTGTTCCTTTAACCCAACCCAAATCATTATGTAGTGATAAATTATGATGAGACCATTGACTTTTTAATATTTCCACATTGCATTTTCCACAAGATACCATTTTCTTCACCTATTAAAATATATTTTTATTTATAAAGTATATATGTAATAATTTCATAAAATAATTATTAAAACTAACACTTGATTCTGTAGAATTCAGTTTCAAATTTCCTTTTTTTAAAGATTGATTAACTTGCGAATGATGTGGTACATAGTCATCATCACAATTACTTTTTTTATTACCTCCTTTAGGCCTTCCTCGTTTTCGCTCTTTGTATTTATTAAAAGGATATTTTCTTTTTTTTCTGTGGTTTATAGAATTATTCTCATTATCATTAGTTGTACTGTAACTATCATCACTTGTTCTTGTTTCATCAACAATACTCTTTATATTGCTTGATTTTCTATCATCTGAAACAAGTTCTAAAGAGATTGTAATATTTTAATTTTCTTGTATATTCGAGATATATTTTATGAACAATTTTTTCATTTTGTATATCAATTGAATTTAGTAATTTTCTTTTTTTTTAAATAATTTGATTATACTCAGTTATAAAGAAACACAATTAAGTGTATTATTACAAATTCTTTTGCTACCTGTACTAGAAGTATTCAATCCATGTGTCTTAACTTTTGATGGTCTTCCTCTTCGTTTTTTTTGTATACTACACGAGACTGTACTCTCTTTATTAATGTCTTAGTTAAAAATTAAAATATTAAAATATTAAATTACAAACTAAATTCATAATTATACATTTAAAAAATTAAAAACTTATTATTTACCATCATGTTTCATACTATTTTTATTCGATGTATCATATTTATTAATGTTTGTTTCCAAAGTCAAGTAATTATTGGCTTTTTCACAAATAACTCTTTCATTGGTCCTTTCAATTGACACAGATTCCCATATTTCTGAATTCGAATATCTTTCCTTTTTTTCATCTTTATGAACAATTGGATCCTCAATTTCTGTATATACATGTTTTTGAATGGTATCTATATTTAAAAATATAAAAATGACATAAATATATTTTTCAAAAACGATTAAAGATTAATGTTTTACTGCCATTTTTCTAGATATTTCTTACTTATTAAAATAGAATTATCAATATTTTATTTTGAAATAATAAATAATTTGTATTATCAAAAATAATTTTTTTGCTAATTTTACCCATAGAAATTATTTTACTTTTTATTTCAGTAAATTTAATGATACTTTAATTTTTAGACTTAAAATTAAAATGAAATTAAAGACAAAGTAAATTAGAAACATTAATGGTTATCCGCATTCTTTAAATTACCTGTATTTTCTGTGCTAAATTTATTAATATTCATGTCCATAGTAAGATAATTATATTTATCATGACTTATTTTTCCTTCATTGCAACTGTTTATTAATATTGATCTTCTGTTGCTACGTTTTTCTGGTACATTATTTAATTCCAAAATGCTTTTACTTATATCTAGATTCCAAAAAAATTTGTAAATTAGATCATTGTTAATTATTTATAACTAATAAAAGAATTTTAAATAAATATTTCACCATTATTTTCTAGACAAATTTTACTTGTTACACCAAATATATTTGATGTATTTATTTTAAAATTATTGTGTTCATTTTTAGATACTTGGTTTTTCAATTTTGAAGGTCTTCCTCTTTTCTTTTGAATACAAATTAAATTCAAATTTTTTTCATTTGTATATTCTTTATTATTATCTATATTTTAAAGAAAAATTTATGTAAAGAATGTATTAAAAATTTTTTTGACATTTTTAGAATAAAATCCAAAATAATTTATGATAAGTATATAAAATATAACCTTTGTTTTCTGAATATTTTTCTGGAGTTGAAACAATAGAGTTATCAACACTAGAAACATGTAATTCTTGTTCATTTTCATTATGAAATTCATCTGAAGGAAGTATAATTTTCGATTGCCTTCTTTTATTTTTTTGTAAACTTTGGTTACTACCTATTTTATTAATTAAATTGTCTTTGTTAACTGAAAAATTAAAATAAATCCAAATGATTATTTTTTATACTTTAAGTAATAATTTAAGATAACAATTAGATATAAATTTCAATATTAAAAAAATAAGATTTAATAAGTAATTTTAATATTGGAGTATTTTTCAATATTATTGATATCAATAATATTGTATTCGTAATAGTTTCAGATAAATAGTTACTATTATTTTCATGAATTTTTTACAAGTGTGCATTATCATTGTGTATTTTGATGGTCTTTCCATGTACCTTTTTTTTGGGTAGAAATGATTTTTATTTTATTTAAATTCTCTGAATTATGTTAAATATAAATATAAATTTAAATTACTCAACATTTATTTTTTATATATTTGAATGAGAAGTACACAAAAATATATAGAAATTAAATATACCTGGATTTATTTTATTTCCAATTGTACCATTAGTATCTAATGGTAATTTAACCATACATGTATTATCATTAGTAGTTTTTCCTACAAATGTATCACTACATGTTGCTATTTTACTAGATCGTCTTCTTAATCTTCTTTTGAAAATAGTAGAGCAAACAATTTTTCCTTGCAAAGTATCATTTTGAACTACAGAAAAATACAATTAAAATAAAATAATATCTTAAAAATTATAAAATTTTATAATTTCATATTACCTTCATTTTCATGATGATAATCATTTATACAATCATATAATTTACGAGGTCTTCCTCTTTTCCTTTTCTGAAAACAAACTAAATTTATATCTCTTAAATATCAGATATTTGAAATAAAATTAAACTTTTAAAACTCTGAATTGTTTTTATTAATTTATTTATAAATGTATTATTATTTCGAAATTTTTAGTAATATTTATAATTTAATATCAAGAAAATCTTACCTTCGTTCATATTAATTTTATTTAGAATGCTATCACCTTTACTTTACAAATGTAATTTATTTATGATAAAATTTAATTTTCTAACACATACATCAAAAGAATTATAATTTTTTTATAGATTTTTCCTGTTTATTTGCATACAATTCACTAAAAAAAAAAAAAAATTAATAGATTTTTTTGATGAAAAATGAAACTATTATATAATTTAGATTCAATTTTATTATCATTTGTATTTCTCTGTGTACATACAAGACTACTTTCCAAAACTGAATCTTACTAAATAATATTAGTTAATATAACTGCAAATAAGCAATAATTTTTTATTATGAATAGTTTTGATTAACTTTGTATTATTGAATTTTGATTCTATTTTCATGATAATTTTCTTCTTTTAATATTAGTTTCAAAGTAACATTCTTCAATTTTACAAAGACAAGTTCCAGTTGATATTTTTATGATAATCATAATTCATCAAATGCTTACTTACATTTTATAAGTTTCCGTAAAAATAACTATCAATTTTTAACTTGTTAAAAAAATTGAAATAAATTAACGTGTTTCTGTATTCTCTATTAATTTTCTTAAGTCTATTTTATTTTTTAACATATATTAAATAATCAAAAACATTTAAATAAATTCATTTTTAAGCGATTCATTTAATATTATATTATCATTTAAAATTTTATAATACATTATAGATAATATTCAAAATAATAAGGAAATTATTGTATTATTAACTATCATAAATATTTTAAATTTATTTTCTTTGTAAAATCTAAAAATTTTAATTTATGAAATTATTTTTATATTCTCATTAAATATCAGCAAATACAATACTAAAAAATTGTTAATATTTCTTTTTCATTAATATTTTTTAACATTGTTTACGCTAACAATTATACAAAATTGCATTATTTGTAATTTTATTATAATAGATTTTATTTTTAATTATCCTACCTTAAGTTTCTCATAAATGAATAAAAATTATATAATATTTTAAAATTAATTAAATGATTTATAAAGCTACTTACTATAATACATAGTCATAAATTTATATTACTTTAAATTTTAGTATAAAAATATTTTAATGAATATAATTAAAATATTATTTTAATCAAATTTACAGCTGCTTTATTATTTCACAAAATATTGTTATAATTTCACTACTGTTAGGTTAGCTCTATTTTATTTTCTTATATCAAATTTTATAAACAATTTTTATAAACAAAAATTTTTAAGATGTTTATAAGTCAATGTATTTGATAAGATTTAAATTACATGATATTTAAAGTTTATTTGGATTAGAATTATTTAAAATGTTAATATTGTATGATAAAATATTTATAAAATTTAAAATTAATTATCTTACTTTTAGATATTTTATTTTCAAGAATTGAAACTCTCGCAAGTTCTGATATTAAAATAACAAATTCCGGCTGTTTAATTTCACTACTTGATTAATGTTTACGAATATGTCACAATCATTTTTATTATCTATGACTTTTTCAAATTAGTTACTTAAAATGATTTAAAGCTATTTATTTGTTAAACTTATACAACAATCACATTAGTAATAATTTTATAAGTAGAATAAGCTTACAAAGAGGCATTCAATGAAAAATCTTTACCAGCAAGTATTTGTTTATTATTATATTGTATTTTCAAATTTAGTTATATACAGAAAAATTTATATGATCGGTTTTTAAGAATATTGGTTTAAAAAATAATAATTATTTTATTATACTTTAGGAACAAGTTCACTTTTTAAATAATTGCGACAACTATAGGTTATATTTTTAATTACTATATAAGAATATTCTATCACACGTTACACTTACTTGACATTGCCTAAATAACATGTTTGGATAATAAATATAAATAAGGAAATTGTGGTGTATAAAATTTGTTCAAATTACTAATTGAATTTTAATTTTTATAATATTAAAAAAAAATTGAATCCAAAGATTCGTAATTAAATATTATACAATACTTTTTAAAACTGATCATAATGTAATTTATGTCAAGTAGCAAAACTATAGACATTGCTTAATATAACCCGCCATTAAATATAAGAAATATTTATAGGTGAAAAAATTATAAAATATTTAATTCCATCCTTTTTTAATAATGTCTATATGATGTGCATGCGCAAAAAGATAATCCATAAATTTGAATTTAAAAAGTGAAATTGTATTTAAACCTTTTCAAAGTTATAAATTTTGAATATAATTTTTTATAAATTTCAACATTGATTATTATGTAACTTAATACATACAGCTATATATATTCATAGTATATTATATATATATATATATATATATATAGCATAATATTGAGTATTGTTAAGAATAATGGTAAAAATAGATTTTAACCCAGAAACCAGAATAGTTAACTAATTTTTACATATATTATACTCGTAAAAGAACAATTAATGTAATAGTTAAAGAAAATACCGAAAAAATCTGTATGTATTTATCCAAACCTCACTATAAAATATTAAAGTTAATATGATTTATCATTCAAAAATAGACAATTATGCCTTTAGACAGAAATATGTACATATTTGCATAAACTTAAATAATGAACAGTTTTGATTTTTAAAAAATAGAAATAAAAAGTAAATTTATCATGTTTATATTATATAAATACTAACGCCTACTCGAGTTCTAAAGCGACGATACTACAATTGCACAATGATATTGTCTAAAATAAGGATTAAAAAAATAATAATATAAAAAATGATTTTATGCTGAAAAATATGATTTTTCAATCAAATGTAATTAACACAAATAATTTGAAAAGTATTTTTCATTTTCATTTAATATGTTATTGTAATAAATAAAATCATTTAATATTTTTAGGAACACATCTTGCTTATTAATCGTTACCATTTAAAATATACAAATATTTTTTAATTTCTCTCTGTAATTTACTTATTTAAGATATACAAAACTTATTAACATTTTATGCTATGGATTATAGACATTTAATGTATATAGGTTAATTATATATTATTATATATTAACATTACCGGTATTAAGATATTTCATGATTATAAATTTATGAAAAAATCTATGAATAGTTAATATTTTTCAAATTTGTATATAAAATTGATTAATAAAAATTTAAGAACCATTGCTTTGTTCAATAATGTCATATCTTAAGCACTGAATTTTGATTGCAATTAAAATCTACGCCAAAATTTTAAAAAGTGAAAATTATCAAATTTAATATGCATTTAAATTTATAGATATGTAAAATAAAATAAATAATTCTTTTTAATAATTTAACTCTGATAAAATAGTTTTTCTCTTAGCTCATTTCTTCAAATCAATAACAATAAAAGCCAGAAAGAAAGTCAAGAATAAACATAGTCAATATTTTTTATTAGAAAAATAATTAATTTTATCATTGTTTAAGCATTAAAAGAATTTTTTATTACAATTATTCTTTAAATTATCTATATTAATTTATTTTATATTTTATTTAATTTTTAAAATGTTTAAGAATAAAAACTTTCCTTTTTACTGACTTCTTATATATTATCAAATAAAGTATAATCATCTCAACATTATCATAACCCATGAAAATACTGCAATAAATTTTTTACGGATACATGATAATAAAAATAATTTGGTTATTACTTATTTAACAAAGAAGAAAGAATATATAGATGGAAAAAAATTAAGTTATCAAAAAACAACACCTTTAAGAAGTATATACACCTTTTTGATAGATAGATCTTCCAATGATCTCAAAAACATGAATATTTCCGTCTCATTTACATTTACATTTTTTAGAAATTCTAATTTAATTTTGGATAACGTTCCAAAATAATTTTATATTGACTTATATCATTATTGTTTAAAATTCTAAATAAACTGCCATAAACTACTAAAATAAACTACTTTTTATTTGAAAATATTTTTATATTAATTGAAATACCTTTCGAAAATTCTCATTCTCTAAAACAAATTAGAATGTATTTTATTTGTATATAATTTTATTAATAGAATGTGAAAAGAAATTAATAAGGGTTCTATATAAAATTAATGGAAAATAAAAAACTTATATAGAATTAGATTTAGACTTAAATATAATTATAATATAATGAAATTAATATTTATTAGTAAATCAACCGAGAAATAAAAATAAACGTGCTACTAGCGTTTCATATCGCATAATATTATTAAAATAACAATTTATAGAGTTATTAGAACTTTTTAAATAGGAAGAAAATATTCATTTGGTTACCATTTTTAAAATTTTATTTTTTAATCACTAAATATATTATATATTTATACTTATAATATTTAAAGTATATTTATTTTTCCTTGATGAGTGATTTTTACTTATAAATGTTAATGTATCTAAAGAATTGTATGCATTAATACGAATTTCCTGTCACGAGAATGAAAAAATATAATATATATTATAAGTAGAAGAGGCAAACTTTACAAGTGTTTTGAAATGTTAAAAGAATAAATCATATAAAGCGTAATAATATAATAAATATTAATTAGAAAAATCGAATTAATAATTTATACTGCATTATATAATTTTACTATTTATAATGAAAACATACTTAATTATTATTTTTGAAATAATTATTTCATAATAACTTTTTATACAGCTTTAAAATTTTGACGAAACATAGTCATGTTTGAGTAAATATTTGTTATCGTTTCAATAGTGTAGTTCAAGCTTAATCCCCAATTAAATTAAACTTCATTTGATTTTTAAGCTAAATAATCTAATCCGACAAAAAATATAAAATGCTTTCCTTATTAAGAATTAAGTCAATTTAATATCGATATAGTTTCATTAAACCGTAAACTAAGAATTTTTGAATTTTTAAATTAGCTGTAGTTATATAAACTTCGAGTATTAAGTTATCGACTGATGAACACCGAGTAGCATTAGAAGATCCATTAGCTAGAATGTGCTATAATAACATACTGGAAAAGAAACAAAGTAATAAGCGCTGATGCAAATTATTATAATTATTAAATTATTATACTAATTTTCATATATAATATCATTAACACTAGCCTGCATTAGCTTACCCTAAAATTTCTTATAACAGTTGATTATAATGAATGATAGTTTGTTAAGTTTTTATTGATAGCTTTAATCATTATATCTAAATTTAATTAAATTACGTTTATTAATTAATAATATGAAAATTTTTATATTTATATTCATTAAAATGATTAAAACTTAATGAATTTTCTGCTCAATTGATGAAATGTGAAATAAGGAAAAGTAATAAATACTTATGTAAATAATATTGAAAAAATTTACCCTTTTAAGACATTACTTATTTCTAACAAATAAGTAATTTTTTTTATTTCTTGAAATTGTATTAAAATATACAATATACAATATAAGAAAATAATTTTTGTATATTAAGAAATACCTATTGCAATATTTTAAGGTTTAGTTTTGTTTAAAAGTATTTTTTAATTTCATTTTAAAATATGTTTAAAACGATGTCGGTGTCTACAGTAAAACATTTTTTTTAACAACTCAAAATGAAATACACTTGTTTTTACATGTCATTTAATTAAAAAATTATGAAGTATTTAATTTTGTAAAGTAACTATTGTAAGGCAACTGTATTGCAAAGGAAATTCGTTATCGGGAAAGAAAGTAAGAAATTATAATAAATATGAAAACCAGAAAACTAAATTATTCGATTGTATGATTTCTAATAATGAATATTACCATGATTATTAAATTATGAAATTATTATTTTACATATAACAAAACATAAGCACTAGATATTTAATATACATAATTTACTTACATGAAATGTTATAAAAATCTATAATTATTTAAGTTGATTAGCATATATCAATACAACTTTCAGTTACTTTTTTCATACAATTATTTATAATTTTGAATGTAATTTAAATTAATGTTGGTTATATATAAATTCTCCTGTACGTCTTTAATTTCTTAATATAAATGTAAAATATTTTTTAAATTGCTGAAATTTCGATGTTATATTTAATTATTATAATATTTTTATCATCTATTTATATGTGTAGTCTTTAGCATTATAAATAACAAATTTTTTGAAAATTAAAAATAAATTCAATAATACAATAATTTATATAAATAATCTTCATAAAATATTGATTTTATATAAATAAGGCTTAAAAACTAAATTAAAAAAATTATTAATACATATATATTATCATAATAGTTCATAAAACATTTTTAATTATGTATAATATAAATATAATAAAATTATTATAAAATTAATTACATATTCAATCTCGCTAAATTTCTTCAATAACACTATAAAACTAAAAATCAAGTATTGAATTTTCATTAAGAGTAATTCAACTCTACTACTTGCGGGTAACTTAGCCGTGCATTTGTTATGTAAGTATTTAAGTTAGATAAGTTAATATGAACTGACTTTATAAATGATTTTTTAATGCTTTTAAAAACTAATTTTTTTTTAAATCATATTATAGCTAAGTTTCGCTATTTTCAGCCAAATAGACAGTTTGTTATTATTATTTTTTTGAAATAACAATATCTTTGTGGTTCTATATATACAGGTAAGGATCTTAAAATAATTGTAAAAAAATATTATACAGTATCATATGATTTATTAGTCTTTTAATATAATAATATATAGCACAAATATTATATATTTTATATTTACAATAATTACAGAAAAAATAAAATTCTGTAAATATAAATAAAAAGTGTGTATAATAATTTGACAGCTAATATGAAATTTTTTTCTCAATTGTTAGCGCAATTTTCTGAGTATTCTGTGTAAGAAAATATAAAACTAATATTTAATTAAAGAAATTAATTTTATTGTTAATTATAGATCATTTGATATGACTGATATCTTCAATAGTTGATATTTTATATAAATATGAATTAATATTACGCAGTGTATGTGGAGTGAATTTTGAACACATATCGAGTCGTTGCTTGCTCTCATTCCTAAACACGCACTATACCAACTATCCTCTACCATTGTGATAAGTGGATTGGTAGATTTCTTTCAAAAAAAGTTTAATTTCAATGTAAATAGATTTTTAGTTTGAACTACTACATTCTTTGCTATTAGAGATGGATTTTTTCCGAAAAGCTCAAGAGCATTTGCCAGTTGAGGCAAAAAAAAATGTTATGAATTATTCTTCCGATACAATAATAGGTCATTTTCTTTATAAATATATAACACGACATGACGTTATTCTCTTTGATTTGAGTCATCAAGAATGCACATAAAGGTAATTATGATATATATAAATTATAGATATAAACATGTAACTATGTAACCCGTTTTTTCAAAATATATTTATCAGAAATATATAGCTTCATCAACTGAGTACATTACCGGCATTAAAATAACATTTGTTTTAAAAATGATTGTATAAAAATTATAAATATTTTTGTTTTTACGAGTATTGAAAAATTTATTTAAGCAATAAGACTTCAATCTATGCTTATTTAGGAGTGTGAGTTTGTATATATTTTTGTTTATATTTAAGAAACGAACTTTGAAAAATAAAAAAGTTTTTAGTATAACAGGAAATTTTGCTTATTTCTTTATCTCTACAAAAAAATCTATTTTTGACATTATTATGAACAATAAATTTTGAAAATCTGTGCACTTATTCAAGCAACTTCATATATAATAAAATATTATTTATTCTAGGTTTAATAATTATAAATAGATCAAATTATTTAATCTTTCATGTTTGAAAAAATACGTAATCTTATTTTCAAAGAAGTATTTAAAAAAAAGTTTTTAGATTTCAATATATACATTATTTGATGCATATTTCAATTATCAAATAAAATCCATGGGTCAATTGTATGTATATTTTATGATTGATAATTAATAAAGTCGTAGCAAGTTAAAAAATTTATTTTTCATTATTATATTTCACAATTAATATTTCACATCGTGTGTAGATTCACAATATGCATATATGTGGTACCGATAATTTTTTGTAACTTTAACAATTTATGAAAATATTTAATTTTGGCTAATTAATATTATTATTTATTATAACTTTTTATTATGAATTAAAACATTTTTAAAGGTATTTTTTAATTTGAACAAATTTATATTTGAATTGAATTTTTATGAAAAAAAATTAATATCGTCATATATACAAATATATTTACTTTTAGATTGTCTTACTCAACAAATTTATCGCATTTAATATATAATAATTCTTCAAAATATAATTTTGTATAAAATTTGTATTAAATTTATTAAAAAACATTTTCAGATATATGAATATATTCTATATATCTATATAAGATAATATCTACAATACTTTATGAGAATACTGTAGGAAGCTTAATCTAATGCATTTTAATTTATGATTAGTTTATAAAAAAAAATTACAAATTTGATTTTTATTATTGTTTTATAATTATTATAATCATATTCTTGATATGCTTATATTTATATGATTTGTTATTCTTATGTGCAATACTTAAGAAATATGATTAAAAATGTTTTGTATACTATAAATTGTTGTATATAAAGCTTCTATTGCTCCAAAAACTTTTAATACAAATAAGCATAGAAATATAAGTATATAATTTATTATTACTAGATTAAATTTAAAATACTTTATTGATTCATTTATACATTAAATGCACAGAATGCATAAAATAATTAATTGCATAATCATAATTTAATTGCACTAATTAAAGTTAAAATTTGTAATTAAAATCAAGTTATTTCATTAATATATTAATTATTTAATTGATTAGGATTTACTATTGTGAAAATTTTTATACAACTTTTTTTTAATAGTTTTAAATTTGGATGATTTAATATTTATTTTTAAGAAAACTAAATTTAATAATACAAACGTATGATATATTTTTTCTATTATGGATGTGAATTTTCATGTTTTTAAATAGAAATGCTATATTTAATAGAGAAAATGTTAGAAAAAACCCAAAGTATTCTATAGTACGTTTTAAATATTAAAAAATATCGTACCCTGACCAATATATACATATATGTACAGATATATTTTAATGGCATGCCTAAATTTAATTATTCATTTTAGGATATAAAGCAAATATATTATAGATAGATCATTTAAATAATGTTTAATGACAATTACCTTTTAATTAACGATTCATTTTTAATGAATTGAAATATAATATAATTTATTAATATTATATAAAAATATAATTGAAAATGTAAATATTTTTACGAATTTTATTATAAATAATAGAGTCTCCAATCTATATACTTGATAAATGCGTATACTTTGTGGTTATGATGAACACGCTATCGCTATGTGTGGCAATTTCGCGAACGAATGGCTGCTTCTCTTAAGACTTGACCCAACAGCGGTTTAGTGCGCGTAGCGCGTTTTCTTTTTTCCACCGTTAATTTCGTGTGTTGAATAATCAGCTTAAATATTTACTTGTTGACATCTTCTTGTTCTGATATTCCCGGTAGGTATTGTTACGTATCGTGTCATTATTATTAGTTAATTTCTTCAAAATATACCTATGTTTTTTTAGTGTATCTAAATCGACACATGCTAATGTTTGTTCGCCCTTATTAATATATTTTTTATAAATTGGGTGCCTGATGTTTGTTGCCTAAATAATCTTTGCCTATATATTCATAATATAGTTTTATTTCCAGTCCTTCTTTATCATATTTATTACTTCATTTATTGTAAAGAGTTACATACACATGCGTCCATATATCATATACGTTCAGAGAAAGATTGTATTTACGCTTGTGTGCGTTCCCAAAATATCTTACACTTTTTCCCTTTCTCTCTCTTTTACCCCCCCCCCCCCCAATATATATATATATATATATATATATATATGTAATATCGTTCTTTTTCTTCTATTTCTTTCTTTCTTTATTTCTTTCACCTTCTCTATTTCTTCGAACCAACCACCCCCGCGTGTATGTTTGTCATACCCAAATTAGTGTTTTCAATCAACCTCCATTGTGTATTAAAAATATACTTAATAATAATATATTATAGAGAAAAAATATTGATCAGAAATTGAATATGACTATTCATGTTCTCATTTTTTATATTTCTTTATAGATCTTAATTTATAATATAGATTGTAAGTCAAAATTTATGGTCAGGGGGCGTATTATGTATTTGATATTCATCTAAAAACTTAAGATCTTTGAAGTTCATAAAAAAGTGTAAAGTGAGTGATAAAAATTCATATGTGGTAATATGTAATTACATTAGTTACACAAAAAAATATCAGTTTTCAATTGAGGTTTCATTAACGTAATTTGATTTTACTTCATCACTATTCGTGTGAATATCTTGTTAATACCACATAACCTGTAATTTATTAGTTTGCCCATTAGGATATATGTTTCGTTATGACTTCAATTTCTATCAAATATCGTATAATTTAAAATGCTGATTTTTTACATTAATATATTTTTATTTATTTATTTATAAGTATTCGTGCTTATTTTTTATTGAACTTTTTCATTTTAATACATTCAAACTATTTTTAATTATGAAATTATATTACATATATTAATAAAAAATAAGTAATTAATATTACAACTTCTTTGTATTATATGACAAGTTTTGTTATAAAATTTTTATATTTTTTTCCATTTTTTTTAAATCTTAGCTTTATTTTAGTGTAACAGATTAAAGCTGCAAATTATATATTATCAGTGCTGGCCACTTAATGTATAAAATGGAACAAGTCGATGATGGTTCTTACCATTATGCAGATCGAAACAATGGTGCAGATGATGCTATTATGAGTTTGGTTGGAGCTGATGAAAGAGTAGCAATCTTAGATGCTGGTGCTCAATATGGAAAAGTTATAGATCGCAAAGTTCGCGAACTTAATGTTCATAGTGAAATTTTACCACTTGACACACCAGCTTTCACCCTTAAAGAAAAAGGATACAAGTAAAATTATGTTAAATTTATTTATATTTGCATTATTGTAATACTTGCATGAATTTTTTATTTAGAGATCAGTAAAATTAATAAGCACTATAAATGTCTGTATTTTAAGAAAATATGAATAGAAAGTAAAAATATAAATTACAGGGCCATTATTATTTCTGGTGGACCAAGTTCTGTATATGCAGAAGATGCACCAAGGTATGATGCAGATATCTTTCGAATAGGTATTCCTGTTTTAGGAATATGCTATGGTATGCAAATGATGAATAAAGAATTTGGTGGAACAGTAATTAGAAAGGAAGGTCGAGAAGATGGACAATTTTCCATTGAAGTGGATAGCAAGTCCCTTTTATTTAAGTAAGACAAACTAATATATAATATTAATTATCTTGTTACAAATTAATATTTTATTGATATATCTAGAGGTTTGCAAAAAGATCAAACAGTCCTACTGACTCATGGTGATAGTGTAGATAGAGTAGCTGAATGTTTTCGTACAACAGCAAGATCATCAAATTTTGTTGCTGCTATTGCAAGTGATAAATTGAATTTGTATGGTGTACAATTTCATCCAGAGGTAGATTTAACGAGCAATGGTAAAACTATGTTGCACAATTTTCTTTTTGGTGTAGCTGGCCTTACTGGCAATTATACTCTTCGAGATCGAGAAACACAGTGTATTCAATACATAAGTGAAACTGTTGGTAACAATAAAGTTTTGTTGCTAGTCAGTGGTGGTGTAGATTCAACAGTTTGTGCAGCATTACTTCATAAAGCTTTGAACAAGGATCAAGTTATAGCTGTACATATCAATAATGGATTTATGCGAAAAGGTAATAAAATATTTATGGTCTATATATTTGTATATATTTATGGTATATTGTTATTTAATGAGTAGATTTTATAGCTGTATATTGTTATCATTAAAAGTATTTTTTTTTTTTTAATGTAAGATAATAAACTAAAGAGCTAATATTTATTCATGAAAATATGAAGATAATTTTTGTATTATGTACTATTTGATAAATACAAATTAATAATAGTGTTTTAATGAATTTTATGTATTATTAATACCTTCATATAATCTGTTATAAAATACATTTGTTCACAATATACTTTTCAATTAAATAAAATTTAATAATAAAGGGGTAATAAAATTGGAAGTTCTAATCATTTGTGTTTTGTAAATAATAATATATAAATCTTAATTTTTTTAGTAACTATAGGAATTTGAACAAAAGATTTTTATTTAAAATTTAAAATATTATTTAATGTTTGTTAATTTTAGATCAAATTAGAACTATTAACTTATATGGTAGTTATATAGTATACATAGTAGTTTTTTATAAGTATAGTTTATGCAAAAAAAATCAATGACAATATATAATGATGCATTCAGATTCGCATTATAAAGGGATTATGGTATTTAAGGCAATATAAAATTTTATTAAAAACTCTCGGATATCTTTATTATTATTACTTATAACTAAAATGATTAAAAAATAAAAGGAATACTAACAATATTATTGAAATGTACTGTTCAATATTATTTAATGTCTCATTTTTATATAATTATTTTATGATAAATATACTGATAATTATTAAACAAAAAATCCTTTTGAATAAATGTTTACAATCAATATAATATTTATATTATATAATAAATTATAAAAAAAGTACTTTAAAATTTTTAGTTTTATAAATGAACAAATAAAATTAATATACTGTCAGTGATGCGAACAATAGTTTTTTTTTATTAATTTACATTTATGTAATAATCAAATTATATTTTCCTTTTGTAGAAATAATTTCAAAATTTGTATATTTCTATATTTGTAATTTTCATAATCAAATATTCACCATTAGATTAATTAAGTCAAAGAATGTAAAATAATATTTGGAAAAGATTCTTTTCTATTTTTATTTTAATAAAATAGTATAGATATTTAATACTGTAGTAATAATATAATTATCATTCAACTTTAAAATTAATAAGATTTTCTCAGAAATAAAATTTAACATTTTTTAAAATTTCTATGATTGAAAATACTTTGTTACTAAACAATTAATTAATTTTTTTTTTTAAGCTGTTTAAAAAATTTATGATTGATATTATGCATATTAATAATTCATAAACGTATAAATGTATAATTCATATTATGCATATTTGATTTAAGCATTAAAATTTTTGTAATTAAATAATGAATTCCATTATTATTATAGTTTTTAAGAAAGATAAATTATTAATATTAATGTAAGTTTGATATTGTTAGCACTTTGTGTGTGTGCGGCTGAATTTTGATTAATAAAAAAATTAAGATTTTTTAGAAAATACGATTATTAATCAATTATATTTTTTAAAAATATGGAATTGATAATATTTTATAAAGACTGATTCATTTTTATTATTTTATTATTTTGATATTTCAGCATATCGAAATATATTTTTAAATTGTAAATATTTAATCAATGTATTGCATAAAATCAAATCTATAGTAATCAATAAATGTATTAATGCATAAACAATAATTGGTATTATTATCAAGTTTAATTCACTTTAAATGGTTTTGATATAAAGTAATGCTCTTTTGTAAAGATTTTTCATATTATTTTTTTTTACTATTTTTATTTAGGTGAAACTCCATTAGTTGAACAAAGCCTTGCCCAAATCGGAATAAAATTGAGAGTAATCAATGCTACTCATACTTTTCTTCACGGTACAACTATAGCATCTAATATGGGAAGCATTAATGATAACTCAAATACTGGTTCTAATGAATCTCAACAAAATTCATCTACAATGTTTTATGTAGTAGTTAATAAAACTACTCGAGAGGTTAATATTTTCCCCAAACCAAAACTTACAAAAATGCTTTGTACGACCACAAATCCAGAAGAAAAACGTAAGATTATCGGTGATGTTTTCGTACATGTAGCTAATGAAGCAATGGCAGAAATGGGTCTAAGGCCTGAAGAAGTTTTTCTTGGGCAGGGAACCCTTAGGCCTGACCTCATTGAAAGTGCAAGTGCTTTAGCTAGTAGTAAAGCTGATGCAATAAAAACACATCATAATGATAGTGAATTAGTAAGAGAGCTTCGTGCTAAGGGTCGAGTAGTAGAACCTCTTAAGGATTTCCATAAGGACGAAGTTAGACAACTGGGTTGCGATCTTGGGCTTCCAGCGTCTCTAGTAGCTAGACATCCTTTTCCAGGTCCAGGTTTAGCTATTCGTATAATTTGTGCAGAAGAAGCATATATGGATAAAGATTTTTCAGAAACACGAGTAAGTAGCTCTATAACAACTATTTAAAAATCAAGAATTCTAAAATATATCTTATTTATAATATATCATGTAATTGTCGATAAACTTGTATTAGATTGAACTTTTAAGTAACTACAAACTTTAATAATTGATGATTATAATTATATTTTAATTATTTAGGAATGAAGTAGTGATTAGAAAATTGAAACAAAATAAAATTAACGCCAACATAAATAAATTTCAATCTATTAAACTTATTTGAAACATTTTAATTTGAAGATTTCAATATAAATTTTTAATAGTTTTTAGCAATGTATTTAATAAAAATTCATTCTTAAATTTTTATTTATGATGAAGATGAATAAAGATAAATCAATACAAATAAATCTAAAGCATTATCTATTTATAATTGTTCTACAAAAGAAAATTAATAAATTTGTAATTGTTAGTCTTTTTGAATAATTTCTTAAAAGTATTCCAAATTTTGCAAGTCATAATTTGATAATTTAAAATTATGTTTTGTTCAAATATCATTTTTTAGACAATTATCAACAAATATTGTTTTTTAAGAAAGTATACAAACAAATTATAGAAAAAAAAATTATAGATTAACTTATAACGGGAATAATAAATGAATAATAATTAATTATAGTGATTTGTTCATTATAGGAAGATTATGTATTTTCATAATATTAATATCTATAAAATTTCATTTACCTTTAAGATTGAGTTTTATAGAATAATGTATTTCATGTGTTAGTGTTGTAGATTCTTATAATTTATATGCTATAGTTATAGAAATTTAGTTTACATTGTTTGGGCTTCTTGATATTAAGTACACATAACACACTTAAGGAAGGAATATATTTTATATATTATGATAATATATATTAATCTCCAAACAATCATCCTATTATAGTTATTATATTATAATTAAACGACATAAAAAAAATCATTTTTGAACCCTTCACAAGATAGAGTATACTTGTAAAGTTTATTCATAAATGCAATAAAAAATTAGCTCTAATTTATTTAATTTCTCGTTACAGAAACTAAAAGTCTCGAAAGTAGTAATCAAATATTGTATAAAATTTCTATATTATTAAATTAAAAATTATTTTCATCAATAAAATAGACATTAAATTTGGACACATACACTCTACGTGAGATACATAACGAAAGCTTAAATAATTACTAAACTTTTATATTAATGCTAATTTTGTATGGTATTTTTGATAAAAAATATAGCATTTTTAAAGAAAATACTAATTATTATAAGTTTGGCAAGTTAAATTTGAGAATTTTTAATAATTTATTTAAAGATTGACTATAAAATCATGCATTTGAAACAAAATGACCCTCATATATTATTTTAATCAAAGATATGGTTTTGAGAATAAGTTATTATTTCTAATAAAGGATATTTCAATATTTTTCTACTATTGATAAATTCTCTGTTATAACTTTATCGATTTTGTAAGATGCGTGAAGATAAAGACTATTGTATTTAATAGAGGTGACTTATTATTAAATGTGCCCAACTATATTAAATTCACACAATTGCAATGCATCGGCTTTGAGAATCTACAATTATATAATACTAAGAACCTGTGCTGCAATATCATTGATGAATACTAAAACTACTATTATATTTACTATCAAAATTGATGTATTTTTCAAACGCGATTTTACATCTTTTTATAATAATCGTTTGATTAAAAGTTTACAGTAAAGTGATTGATATTTTTCACCGATTTGTAAATTCACGATTCACAATTATCACCGAGTTTCTAAATAGTTTATGTATGAATTTTTTATATAAAGAAAGTATAAATAAAATGTAGAAAGTTAAACAGTATGTTTTCATTGATAATTAAGTTCGTTACATAATCATTTTTCACCATCAATCTTTATATCTTCATTATCCGAAAAAGCTTAGTAAACGAATTTTACCATTGCTTTAACTTTAATTTTTATAAATTGTTTCGTTTTCTTTTACGATATTGTTCAGTTTTAATAGTACTATGGAAACCTCACAAGTTACTATTCTTATCAATTTATTTGTGTGAATAGTTCTATAGACATTACTTTCCATTATACTTGAATTAAAAAAATTATTCCACTTTAGTTCTGCCAAAAGCACGATTGTCATGGTAATTGAATATGAATTCTTCCGAAATCATTTGGAACTCGTTTTCTAATGTTATTTTTTATTTGCCTGTTAAATATATATTTGAGATATATAAGGTTTTACACAATTCATTAAAAAATAAGTTAAACCATTAAATTATGTTCTCGATTTTCATTTTAAGGATCTATAACATTTTAATTATTTATTAAGATAGTAGTAATAACGTGGCGTGTAATTCTAATTTACATAACGAAATTTATTTTAAATAGCGCATACGATTTTATCTTCATATAAAAAATATGACTCATTATAAATTGCTTTTCAATGATAATATTTTTTTAATTTTAATACTAATTAAACTTCATAAGCACGCATCTATAATTTTCTTTGCTGTATTTATACAATTTAATAAAAAGTATTCTCTTTTAAAAATAATTGACGTGCTATATCAAAAGATTTGATCGCGTATTCTTCTAAAATATAATGAGCATAATTATTGTAATATTTAATAATATGATAAAACTTGTAAACTTTATTCAATTAAATTAAAAAAATTTTAAACTACTGTGCCAAATGATAATTATCATTACTGTTTAATGAGTATTACTAACTATTGATAATAAATGTTTTTATTTGAAATTTGAACTATTTAATTAAAACTTTCATAATTTAGTTTTTCATTTTGTATCGATATTTATATCCTATATATAAATATTATTTAATTAAATAATTTTAACTATGATTTTAATAGTTTTAAATTCATTATTACTCGTGAGGCTATTATATAATTAAATTCGTTAATATATGAGCTTTCCGATTAAAATTAGTAACGAGCTTCTTTTAATTTTAAATATAATAAATGTGTTTTAGGTTCTTGTTAAAATAATAGCAGAGTACGAGCAAATGCTTCAAAAGAAACATGCTCTTCTAAATCGAATAGAAGGGTCAGCAAGTGAAACTGATCGTCTTCGTTTGCGAAGAATTTCAAGTCAACTTCATCTTACGGCTACTTTGTTACCAATTCGCAGCGTTGGTGTCCAGGTTATAAAACTGCATTTAATATTATATTTTTATTAATTAAAAAACCAATTGTTTATTTTATTTATGTTTATTTCTTACTATCTTATTTAGTTCAATGTTATATAGATCCTTTTGTAATAATGTCTTCACAATATTACTATATATTTTTAATTTTTATTGAAGTTTGGATTTAGATATGATATATATATACTCCCTTTTTTAAATATTTTGTGATAGATAGTTTTTAACCTAACATCCTTATAAAGCAGGCCAATTAAAATCATTTATGTTGATATCATATTATTGTTATTGTTAAATTAATAGTTATTTTTGCCATTATTTTGTTATTATTATGAAGAATATTTTATCTAAAAATATTTAATGGATCAAAAATATGAAAACGGGGAAAAAATAATCTAAGATATTTTAATAGTAGGTTCATTGCATATTTCAAAATATTTAAAGAATAGGAAAGTAACAGAAAAAGAATATTTTTACCAATATCATGATATATGTAAAACACGTCTTTTTTTTTTAATTTATAAAGAGTTATTTTGTAAATAAAACAATTAAAAATTAATATTGATGATACATAGAAAGATTTTTTAAAGCATAAAATATAACTCGCGTTACTCGATTTTCATGATCATATTTTTCTTGAAGAACTTATAAAACTTAAAGAAATACAAATGTTTTTTATCACTTATAAGAAAATGTGAAAATTTAATCTGTAAAATATGAATTTACAATAAGGAATAAATGAAATTCAATTTTATCGCACTTTTTATTTTTGGAAATTGTTATTGATAATGTTTTGATTTGTGTAAAATATAATTTATTTTTACATAAAGAATTGATAAATATATAAGAATGCAGGTCAGTAAACAATTAAAATATATCATAAAATAAATTGTTGCAATTATTGTTGCTAGTTTATTTTTTTAAATGTAGGAGTATTGAAAATAAATAAAAAATACTATTTTTAATTTTTTTTCAGTTATATAGTTAAAAAAAATTAATAAAATTTATCAAAGTATTACACTGGTTCTATTATAGTTTACACTGTTTAATAATTTAATATATATATATATATGACTTGTTTATAAATGTAGATACTTATAAAGAGAAATACAATAGATATATAAAATCATTGCATTGGTTGTTTATGTGCAATAATAGTAATAAAATATTAACGAACAAAATAGACAAGATGATAAATAAATTTAATTCAAACCAATCAACAAAGGTTAATGGTAATCAATTAGATTAATAAACAACATTATGTTAATATGTAGAACGAAATATGTTTTCGATTATAGTACAATATATAGTACATTGATATATACATTTTAATATGTAGTGCAAAAATTAGAATTATAATTACTATTGTATTTATTAGTATTATACATTTTATTATTTAATTTTCTTGAAAAAATAATTGTTGTTTATAGTAGTTAAAATGATGGATATTTGTACTATGAATAGATAAGCTATCATTGAATAACACATTTGATTATAGTTTTTTTTTTGCATATTAAATCGGCCTTGGTACAAACAGTTAAATATTTAAATGATAACCAGTTCTATATACCATTGTATTTCGATTAAACTTTTAAAAAAATATAATTTGAATTCTAAGAATTAATTAATACTTTATATTTTAATTATTATTTTCAATACCATCAATTGAATTTTTTCAGGGTGATCAACGTAGTTACAGTTACATAGTAGGCCTTTCAAGTGATAATAACGTTTCAGAGTTAGCTGAATGGCAAGATTTAATATTTCTTGCGAGGTTGATCCCTCGCATTTGTCATAATGTGAATAGAGTATGTTATGTTTTTGGAAATAAAGTTCAACATCCAGTAATGGATGTTACACCAACACATCTTACTGCAAACGTTATAGCAACACTTAGGCAAGCTGATCATTTAGCCAATCAGGTATTATCCATGTCAAAATAATTTTGCTTTTATTACAATATTCTGGTCAAATAATACAAGGTTTTAATAAGGTATTGTCAACCAATGGTTGTATGGAGTCCATAAGTCAAATGCCAGTGGTACTCATTCCAATTCATTTTGATAGAGATTATGCATCTCGAGCACCACCTTGTCAACGATCTGTTGTTTTAAGGCCGTTTTGCTCACAAGATTTTATGACTGGTACACCAGCAATTCCTGGACATGAATTACCAATGCATGTGAGTTTTCATCGTGTTTTTAATAAAAGTATACAATACATTTTAATTTATTAATGTTGCAGGTGATTAAGAAAATGGTGGGTGAAATTTCATTAGTACCAGGTATTTCACGTGTTTTATATGATTTAACGTCTAAACCACCTGGTACAACCGAATGGGAGTAGTGAATATGCATTAATTGCTTCTCACTATTCATTTTTACTGTTTTCCTTAATTGATTACGCGTGAGCGTAAAAGAAAAAAAAACAGATTGTAAAATATCGCCAAAAAATATTTAACAGTCAAAATAATGGCGAACCGTGGAGTTACTGTGGTCACACTACACATCGTAAAAACTACTTATTATGCAACATGCATTTGTAATTAGACAAATCAAGTGCAACAAATATGCCAGAAATTAACTATGCTCGAACGTTATAAAATCATATGGAAATAATAAGAATGAGCTGATTCTAAGCAATTAAATTGTATATGTTATATATTGTGTATCTATATATGTCTGATTGTATAAATATAATACAAGATATTCTCGAAATACATTAATAGAACATATATACACATATATTAACTACCAGAATCTAATAAGGTCTGAATTTACATCTTGTTTATTGATAGCCAATGATTTATATATAATATGGTTTACCAACATTCGAGTATGGTGAAAACTAGTTCTAGATTTTTGTTGTAATGAGATAAAACAAATTTATTCTATTCACAACTTACCGCGGCACTGCATCCTGTTGGAAGCTTAAATGCATTCATAAATAAAAGAAATAAGTAAATAACTGAATAGAAGATTGGATAAAGTAGCAAGGGAGGAAAGAAAGGAATATAAAGAAAAAGAGATGTGCTAGAGAGAGAGAGAGAGAGAGAGAGAGAGAGAGAGAGAATGAACGAATGAAAGAAACCAGTCAACATGTCAACATTGCTTATTGTAAATATGTTATACATCCACTTTTGTCATCGTTTATTTAAGCAAATTGTATAAAATTTATTTATCAAGTAATATAATGTATAGAAAATCAGAACGGTACTTGGTCACACTTGTTACATAATTAATTCATCATGATAATTATTGTGCTACCATCATAAGAGTAGTCAAAAATGACATATTCTAAAACAAGTGTATACAGCAGAATTGATTGTGCCGTAGTGTCTTTCTGTGCAAGTCTTATGTTGGACGCAATTGTATATTTGATGATAGACCCCGGCCAAGTGGCAGGAAAAATGTTCGGTTCAGTTTGTATAATGAAAAATGATCGAAGGAAATCTAATTTTCTCAAACTTTCAAAAAAGAAACAGAAATGTTTTTATTATGATATATATTAATCGATATATAATAAAAAAGTAAATCAATTTTTATATAACGGCAAATTGAAATGGTTTATACCGTAACATAAACAAGTCTATTTCATAAAATAATAATGGATCATCATGTATTCAGGCAAATGTCAATCAAAATTATGTCTGATTGTACTGTAAAAAAATGGATATTAGTTTACTTGAAATATTATACTTATATTTCCATTATTTTCGAAAACATTTATATTTAAATCATTAATTATGTATTTTTGTTAGTATTTCTAATTAAATGATTTTGTATATTATAAGTGAATGTAGTTTATTAAAAATTCAAAATATAAAATGGAAATTGTAAATTATAAGATTGAATTTGTATAATTATTTTATAAATGTACAAAATGTTTTAAACTATTTTTATCGATCAAGTTAAATTGAATTAAAAGTTGCGTAAACTAAATGAATCATTTTTCAAAATGAATTTAAGATTGAATTTTTTTGAAGATCGAATGTGCAGATATTAAATTCATATAGTAACTCAATCGAAAATTATGTTGAAATTTAATTTTAAGGTTTAAATCTATTAACATACATTCATTAATATCAAATATAATTATAACGAACTATGTTTCTTAATTGAGATTGTGTGCTTCATGTGCTGTAGTACAAAAGCTAATGGTTTAGATGTTTAGCTATGGTAAAATAATATTTTTATCTGTTTGAAAATATCAAGAAAAATAGTTATTAAATTTATTACTTCTGAAAAAGAAAAACATTTCTAATTTTTAAGTTGAAATAATATAATAAAAACACTTAAATTCAGTATTAAATTCATTTTAGAAAATTCAGTACATAATAAAATTAAAAGAAAATATACTGAAATTGCAATAAAATAAAATATGAATCATAGATATAATTACTATCTTTCTTTAAATGTATTATTTAGGAGAAGCATGATTATTATTTCATACATATATCATAGTAATGATATTTTTAAATTACTATAAATAAATTAAATTACAGTTAATTTGTTTAAATTTTAAAAATTTACAGTAAATTATCATTCTTGGTAATATTTACAAAATTTTAATATATATTATAAACGATTAAATATAAGACTTTTTGTAGAATTTCAATTTAAATTTAGAAAATCTAATTTGTCAAATGATATCAAATTTATTGTAATAGGATATTTACATATTAAACTGTATAAAATAATTTATTTATAACTTAATCATTTTTACTTTCGTTACTGAAATATTTAAGATAATTTTAATTAAATTTTTATCAAAGTAATACGAATCATATATATATTATATTTTCTTTAATCTCAATCAGCTCATTACATTTTTATCACTATAAAAAAATAATATTTGAAAATTAAACTAATATTAAAATTGTTTTATAATGATACGCTTATTTGAAATATTGTACTTATAATTTCAAATCAATAATAGTAATAGGTTTTCGATTCATTATTCACAAGATTTGTCTAAGAAAATAAAATGTCATGTATTAAAATCAGATCCATTTAATAAAATAATTGATATTTGTAAAATATAATTTGCCAATTCATTAAGTAATATTATATTACGTTTTAATAAAATTAATATTAACAAAAAATTAAAAATTTTCATAATACTTAATCAGAACCATTTTGCCTTAAAAAATTAGTCAATATTTATTAATATTAATTTATTTGAATATGTATTTAAATGAATAAATATCTCATGAAATAATGTATGTACTAAAAGAATCATTTTTCTATAAACCAGAGTAAAAATTATACAAATATCAAGATTGTCAATGAGACTAATACTGGTGTTGATTTTTTATTTTTCAATTTTTCTGATAATTATTCTTCATTACCTAAAAATATAACAAGTTCCTTAATAATACTAAGTCAAAAATATTTTGTTCGGTACAAATATTTATATATAATATATATAATAAAATATAAAATAGTGTTCAGTACAAAAATACTGAAATGTTTTGTAATTCATGATTATTTTTGAAAAATCTCTGAGTGAATCTTAATTATAATTTTATTTTCATTTCTAACAAAGTAAATACTAAAAATTTTATCTCATCGAAAATGGTTATTGGCCTTAAAATATTTTATGTGTTTCTGAAAATATTCATGTTTTACGTACAAATCTTTTGAATTCTGTAAGCAATTACATCCATTCCATTAAACCAAAATCGAATTTAATTTAATTTATATATATAACCTTATGATTTATCTTTGGGGTTAGTTTATATATTTGATTTCTTTACGCGCCCTAATGTGTTAATTTTTAGACGTACTTTATTATAACTGAAATTTTAGTTTTAATGTAGTATTTTACTTTGATGAATACAATTTTTTATGTGTAATCGATTTAATTTCATTTAATTTTTCACAAGGTAGTATATTAAAATAATTTACATATTTAATTATTATAAAATTAACATTTCAAAAATTAAAAAATAATAAAGAATTTATATTTTAAATAAATGGATTTTTAACGATATATTTTTATTAATTTACCTAATATTATTTTTTTATGTATTTTCATTCTGTTCATACGACTAATGATATATATTTTGTGGGCTAACATATGAAACATTTATAATTAATAATGCAAATAATATATATTCTTGTGAACTAACTTTTTGAAAGTTCTCAATTTCTATTTTCACGTATTATAATTTATATTAGTTATTTAATCGGATTTGCAGAGCGATATTTAGAATTTTATTTTTTAAACATTATTTAATTCTTTATTTTAATGTCGTATTTCGATAGTGTCGTATTTTTATCTGAAAATTTTTTTCCTCTCTAACCATACAGGTAAAATATTAAGTACATGCTGTTATTTTGTAAAGTGACGTAAATTGTAATTCTTTAATGATTTTTTGATATTGTAATTGTCTCCCTATATTTTAATCAAATAACCCTGATAAATTGATTATATTTTCTTATAATACACGTTTTTCTGAAGTTTTGTCTTTTATTGTAAATTATACAGAAGAATTTGAAGAACCTACGACAATCTAAATATTAATTTAATATTTATTTTAATACTTTTCAATGTAATACTAACTTCCTAACCATTTTAATTTTAGATTAGTATATTTTTGCATAATATAAATTATGTTATAACCATGAAGTCTTTTGAGTTTGAAATTAAAATTTTTTATAATCAAAAATACATTGAAGTGTAATGATATACACATCAATATTAAAGTTGTTCGTTAGAGAATAATTTTTGGTAAAGATAAATTGAACAAATTCAAAGATAAATTTAATGATAAATAATTGGGGATAACTTGCAATGCATTAAAATATTATTTCGTTTACTTTTATCATTTCTATCCTATGCGCAAACGATATTGCAGTCGGCAAAATACCATATATTACAGATCAAGCATATTTTTGCTGTCTTCAAATAAGTACTAAAATACTATTTCCTTATCGTAAATGATAAGCAAGCTAACTTTAATAATATTAATATAAAAGATTAAGCATTTAATTGCTTCCTTTCTCTTTTATATATATTTGTTTGATAAGAAAACTACATTGCACTCTTTGCAATCGTACATAAACGTACACAAATTTGTACAATGGTATAAATATTCTTGAAATTCCTAAAACCGTAAAAATAATATTAAATAAAACAATAGCTTAGCAAAAATTTAAACAATGTAGACTATTTGTAAAATAATTACTCAAACAGTTACAAGTACATTTTTTTTTATTTTTAAGAAAACTTTAAATTTATATTATAATTAAATAAAACTTATTTTTTTTATGAAATAAAATATTAATGATGAAAGTATATTGTCGATGATAAAGAAATTTAATGAAAATAAAAATATAAAATCTATTATTACATTTGTATATTCAGATTGTACAATAGTAGTAAGATATGCAGTGTAAGTAATACTACGAATAATTAAAAACATATTCTTAAAATATTTAATATCTTATAACTACAGTATTTTCCATAATTCTCGTAATATTCGATATTTATCCTTATGTATTTTGTACATCGAATATATTATAAATAAAAAGATTTTTTATTGAAATTAAAAATACATTTGAAAATCAATAATTCATTTTTTAATTATTGCACTTGTTATTTCATATTCCAATTATTATGAAGATTTTAAAATATTCTGATTCTTAATATTTTTTTTCTTCTTGACAACGTAATTTTACAATTTAGGCTTAGTATTAAACACTTATATATTACTTATATATAAATACACTTATAAATTATTTTTAACTAATTCTCAAAAAGAACTAATATTGAATTACTTACTGTACAATCTTGAAACAAAATAGTAATATATTTTAATTTTATAATATTTATGCCATGAAATATTTATTTTTGTTATAAATTTTGTATTTTTTAATGAATAAATTATAACTCATTTATATTTCAACTTTAATGTTCACAAATATGATGCATGAATTGTCTAAAAAAAAAAACTTGTTTTTTTTTTTATTCAAATTTTATATCTTTTTTAATAAATACAAACATAACATTTATTAGATTACTTTTATTATAGAAAAAAAATCAATTGATAATTTGGTTAATTAATTGAAATCTCTTATTGTTTAGCTTATTAACGTTTGAATAAATTCAGATGAAAATCGTTAAAAAAAAAGAAGTTTCAGTTCTGTTTAAACAAGTTAATAGTTTATATATATATCTACTAAATCTATTTTTATAGATATCATATCCACTTACAATAAAATTGTAGAAAGTTTCTTCACGAACTCATGTTTTTTTTTAATGTTTGATCATAAAAGATTTCGTTATAATGTAATTATTAAAAATAATTTTATCATTATGCCGTTTAATATTAATCAAATATATCAATTTATATAATTAAAAATAATATTAAATAATTTTTTTTGTATATTTTTATATAATCTTAATTGCACACTAAGTATTTATACCTACAAACTTGATAGAAATATTGAATTTAAATTATACGCAGTTATCTCGTAACAAATGATATACGCAATTTAGAAAATTCCTTAATTATGTTAGACTTTCGTATCCGGCACAAAAAAATTCTTTTATCGAACGCACGAGCCTAATTTTTTTTTACTTTCAATATTTTATTATTTATATAAAATATTGCTTATCGTTAATATATATACTTAAAGATAATTTTACTTATATTTTTAAATCTTAGTGTTAATATATATATATTTAATAATTTGAATAATTGTATGTAATTCACTTTAATTAATATAATAAAGAACCAAATAAATTGAAATAAATTACTTTATCAAATATTTTTTAAGTTTATTTATACGTGTGTAAATAAACTTATTCTTGTTCTATGCGTGCAACCTCAAAAAGAATACAAGATAAATTCATTCATTTTTTTTATAATAAAATGCACAAGAGAAGTTGTGCAGTAAAATTAAGTATAGATTATATTATTTTAATAAAAAAACCATTTCCAATCAGCTGCGATAATTGAAACGAGTTGAATGCAAATTTCGGTGAACATATAAAATCGTAAATCGAATATTTTTTTTTAATACTTATGCATGTCGAATTAATATATTTTACGAGAAATTATTTTCAAAATTTTATCAATAACAATAGTTTTTTACAATATTTTTCAATAAATTAAATTATTTATAACTTTTTGGCGATTGTAAAACGGATACTCGAAATACAAGATTTTAGTCTCAAAACGATGTTTTTTTTATAATAGGTATAATACATAAATTTATCATATGTTTCCTACGAAAATAACTGTGGCAGTGTTTTTTAAAATATTTCGAATCTGTACCGATTTTTAAAATAATTTCTTAGGAATTATAATATAACCATATTAAACTCATTTCAAATATAAATAATATAATACTATCATAATAGTCAAATAGAAATATAAGTTATCAAATTACATAGCTGTTTATATGTATTGTTCATTATTTTCCACTTATTTAAAAGCGATTTTTTAACTTAGTTAATATTTATTTTAACCTGGTATTTAATATAATCCTGAAAAACTGATCATATTTTAACTCCATAAAATAAAAAATTTTCTTATAATTTATTTTAATTTTACAGAAATTAAGAATGCTAAGGCAAGTAATATTAAAATATAAATGATCGTTAATTAAAATTGTGTAAAGACTGTTATTAATGTGAAATTAATCGGATTATTAAAATTTTTTTTTTTAATTAGACATTTAATAAATGAATTTTCCCACACAAATATGTGTGTGTGTGCGTGCGTGCGTTTGTGTCTTGTTATGTACGCGCATGTGTGTATGTATAAATTTCATTTCATAATTTTAAAAAATTATTTTAGTACATTTTTTAAATATTTAAGTTTTTTTTTAAATATTTAAATGTCTATTGTTTTTTTCTATTACATTTATATGATACATTTTATTTTTTATAATCACAATGTAATTTAATATTGGGTGTATCATGATTAGGTTCGAAAACGCCTATTTCATTCTATATATTTCTCTATTAATTTTAAGAAAAATCAGTTTTATGCTAGTTGGAATATTGTATTTGTAATATTTTAATAAAAAAACCATAAAGTAGAATTAATTTAAATATTAATTAAAAATATTTGACATACTCATTATTGTTATTAATTTAATTACTAAATACTAAGTTATTCGACTATAAACATGATTATTAAAATTTGGTGGTGGTTATTTATGTTTATATTATGTCACTTTTGCTTTTGCTGGTTAAATGAAAGGTATAACTTTTAATGTAAATAAATTATTTTGTATAACTTTAAAATATTTGTAAACGTATCGTTTATAAAACATTTGATTATATATATAAGCACACATAACAATAGTGTTATATAACTACATGTTACTGTATATAACTTATTTGTTTAATCACTTGTTCTTATTATTTAAATTATTTATTATTTATTTTTCATACATTGTAAGATTTAAAAATCTATTGGTAAAATACTTTGTATATTCATCAACGATATATAAGAAAGGATTTTTAATTAATGGATCTCAAATAAACATTTGATTATGTTTATCACTCAATTCTAATTTATTTATTTTACTTAATGTTATCATTTTATTTATCATAAATTAATCATTAAATGCTTATATTTGATCACAACTTTACATATTTAATAGTAAATACATTGATAAAATTAATATTATCAATTTTTAAATTTGTTTATTAATTAAAGTATAGTTATAAATTTAAATTCTTTTACATGTATTTATTTTAAAATACTTATACAATATACTGTAATCCCTCGCGGCTTAACATTATTTTATAAAATTCTAATTAAGATAAAACTTTACTTTATACATTAAAAATTATTTGAAATTTTTTTTATTACATTAAATGAAAGTGTGAGATATCATTTATGTGTGAAATAATTGAAAAAAATGTTTTATTATTATTTATTATTTAAGTTCAGACTAATTTTAACTAAATCTTTAGTTAGAAGAAATAAATAATTATATATATATATATATATATGTATACACATACAAATTGTTTTTAATAATTGTAAACTAAAATATTGTTTAAAAAATTTTTACCGGTAATTCTTAATGTATGCTAAAATTTAAAAAGTTTTTCTATATACGAACTTAACAACTTTTTAGTTAAAAATAAAAACAAATTTGAAAAGAATAATATATACGAAGACATTAAATTTGGAATTGAAAATAAACTCTATTAATTTTTTTACATATAATTAAATAATATATTAACTGTAGTGATAAATCAAAGAAAAAGTATTCTGAATTTTAAAAAAATATAATGTAAACAATAAATTCTATAAATAAATAAAATGATGTATAATCATGGTGTAAAGAAACGATTAATATTTACATTGTTTTGTTATTTTACTGTAATTTTAATTTATTTTAATAAAGTTAAAAAATCATAACATAGAATTCCCAAAATATACATAATACCCGAAATACGTTAAATAAATAGGATGGGAAAATTTATAGTATATTATTCTTGTATTTTAAATTGAGTAGTTTTTATTGGATCCAATTAATTTGAAACATTTCATGAAATGATGGACAATTTGTTTCGACTATGAAATAAAATTTTCTTTAAATAATGCATATAATTAGTGAACCGTTTTTAATCATACTGTAAAGTACAAGTCAGATAATTACAAACGTTCATGTACTTTAAATATAATATACATAGTAGTCTGCATTAACTAAATTTAACGTAATTAATCATCTTCATATGAAGTGTATTTCATATTGTCAGAAATGATTATGTGCTGGAAAAGTGTCTACGTTGTGGATGTATCGTGTTTTTGTTAATTACACCAGAATAAGTATAATCTAACAACTTTGCTGTATGCTGTAATAGTAAGACGTTAATCTTAGTTATGAAACTTGACTATTACAGTAGACTACGATCTGGCATAGGGTGGCTGTTATTAAGTGATGGGCATATAATTTAAATTAGCTCGTATAAGCAAATTATTGTCTTCGCTGAAAGATTTTATAGTGAATATTCATCAGAATCTGATGAAGCATGGATAATAATATTATTAGAATAGTGTTGGTACATGAAGAAATAGTCTATACATTGACGCCAATAACTATTAAATCAAAATAGTCGAGTAAAAATGTAAACAGCATATTAGTATTAGTACTCTTATTTAAAATAACTTAGATATATTAAATATTATTATACAATATTTTTAAATTATTAGAATAATAGGCTAGTGAACGCATTAACAGATTTACTGTATACTTTAGAAGATGTTTTTGCGAAACAATAAAAAATAATCGCAGTATGAAGCCATAAATGAAAGAAGGCAATGAAAACATTTTTTTTAAACTCAAAGTTATACTTATAGACCACAAATTAAAAAAAATAGATGAGGCTTATTAATACAGGCATACATAAAAATTTTTATTATTTACAAAGGTAAAATTAGCCATAATATATTTCATATCATGGAATTGAAATCAATTAGAATTGTTCATAACAACAATTTTCAAATATTTCATCAATTAAATCACTCAACATAGTTAATGATTTCATAAGATCATGAGTACCTGAATAAGACAATGAATTTATAAACATTAAAAATATTTTTATTATTTTTTAGGCCAGTACTAGAAACAATTAATGGAAATTTATATATTACAAGTGCTAAAGATAAGAATATAACATTAAAAACATTAGGAAATGGAAATCTGAACATTAATGAAATCAATTTATTACACATTATAATGACTGTAAGCATAAAATTATTTTATTATTAATAATAATTTACGAAAAAAAACATAAATATTTGAACAGTTGTAAAATAATTTTTGTAAAACTTATAACAGTATAAATATAAATGAAATATTTAATAATGTAGGTACATTTTTGTATAAACTCTATTTATATTTATATTTATAATCAACTCTATTTCAAATCATATTAATTTGAATTTTGAAAAAATACATAAATATAAATTAATAGAAATAGGGAAGGTTTTAATAGTTATTTTGAATAGTTATTAGCCGAAGGATATTTTTTAATCAATGTCTGCTTTTAAACTTTGCATTATTTAAAAATGAGCAATAAAGACAGTTTATAATAGATGAAAATCATTTTGATTGAGCTATTGATATGAGTTCCCAGAAAATATATGCTTCAACTAATATACAATTTTCTTCAATATAAATGTAAAAAATTAAATTGATATTATTTAATGATAATTAGTAATTGGCTGTGTATCTAGGATAGATTACGCAATTTTATCAGAAATAATGTGAAAACGATTAGAGGTACTTAATTTTACACATTATTTTATAGATACTTTAGGTAAAAGATCAGAAAGGTAACCATCGTTGTATAAAAATACATCCTCCATAAGCTTTTAACAATTAAAAAATTTTGTAGCCAATTTGTTTGTAAATAATATTTTTATTTCAATTACTTTTCCATTCCACATCTATTAAGAAATAATATTATTAAATGTTATTAAGATAATCATTTTACAATTTTGAAATGTACCTTTATATTGAACTTAATTTTATATTTGATATCATTTATAAAGTCATCAAATTGTTGAAATATTTTTTATTCAACTGAAAATTAAGATTTTATAATAAAATTATATATTATAAATAAATAATATATATTATAAATACTTAATCAAAAATAGGCACAAAATGCTTCGCGATTAGTCGAAAGATGGAAATTAGGTATATTAAATGATATTGAATCAACTATTCAACGTTTAACTCGCATAATCGAAGGACCAAATGGATTAATAAGAAAAATGAATTCATTTGAATATTCTAGTTACCCAACTGTAAATAACTCCAAATCCAGTACATCTTCATCAATAATTGAGGTATAATATAAATTTAAAAATTTCTATAATACAAAGTGAACAGAAATTTAAAAAATTTTTAAATATTAATCGATGTATTTTTTGACAAATAATATATTTATTACAGGGAATTACTATTTAGTATAAATATTAACAAAAATTATTTTATTTAATGAGTCGAAGTTTGATAACCAAATTTGTATAAACTTCTGCGCAATACATTTTTAAAGCTAATTATATTATTAAATTTAAAATTACAATAAAATAAAATATATTTTTGAATAATTAATATTAACATAATTTTTATAAATTTATAAAGGAATTAAATTTTTTATTTTTATTTTTAAAATTATATTGACATGAAATTTTATTTTGATTAACTGTTGATTATCTGAATATACTTAAATAGCATATAATATAGGATAATAAAATAATGAATCTAAAATACATATTTAAAAAATTAATTTTATAATTTATAAATAATTAAAAAATTAAAGAAATAAATAATTAAAACAAAATTGAGTAAGAAAAAAGGATTGAATGATACTTACTTTTGTATTTTATTTTATTTATATTTTACATTTATCAAAACTTTTCGATAAAAGCTCACTAATCTTATTAATTATTTTATTTCTAATTTTCAGAATAAGGCCAACATCTTTACAACATTTCAAGTTAGATCAATTAATAATAGGGTAAGTACAAAATATTTCTTGTTAAATATATTCATAGCAAAAAATCTAAAGCATAAATCAAAGATTTTTCCGATTAATATCATGAGTATTATTGAGCAAATGTAATAATGCATAAGGTTCCTTATATATAAAATGTGGCTTTACAAAGATTAAATTTTCTAACACTTATTTTCACGATTCTAAATATCGACATATAAGATATGTCAGGTATTAACATAATTATCAAAAATCAAATGTTAATGTGTCAAACAATTACTAGATGTGTTTCAATCACTTATTTTTAAAAAGGAATTTGTGTATAAAAGTATTATTATACTTTCGTTTCTTCATCGGCTATTATTTTTTTTCTTTTTCTTTAGTTCTGTAATAATTTATTTAGGATCTCTATTTATTTTTTTTAGAAACAGGAATTTTAACTAAATTGTCAAAGGTTTCATTCTGGTATTTTGTCAATATCATCTACTTCTTTTAAACATTAATTGTTGATATTGTTCTTATTTATCGAATGCATTGATATTGCTATCATTACATTTTTAATCATTTATACCTTCGCGCTTATTTCATATTAATTATTAGACTTTTATTTATCTCGAGCAAGCTTGATTTAAGTTACATTTCAAATATATCCTGTATAGAATGTATTCTTGCACATGTACAATTAAACTTGATAAACTTTATTTGCATTGATATAAATTAAATAATTTTAAATTTTATTTACATATTATCCCAAATCTCACATAATTTTTTTAATTTACATTCAAATATAACTATTTTTAAATTAAACATTGTATTATTATTTGTAAATCGGTCATGCCTTTTAAAATGATTTTCTAAATGACTTTTAATATAAATACTATTAAATATATAAATTATGAAAACGCAATGAAAACTATTATTTATTCATATTTCCAAAATATTTTCATTAAAATATGAAAATTTTAATTAGCGATAATTAAAGTTTTCTATAATTTTTTAAATTAATGAATAATAGCAATAACATAATCACTTTTAATTGTATTTTTAATTATATATAATATTTATTTATTAATAAATTACATTATATAATTATCATCTGCTATAAACACTTTAATAATTCTGGTTTGTATAAATTATAGTTCTGCCAACAATTATTTTCATTTTTCTGCTTTGTAATAAAAATTAGGTTATTAAAATATGTATACCTTTTTATATTTACATATTAGCTTCGAAGATTAGAAAAGAAATTTCGAACAATCACAGTAAAATTACGTACGAATGAATGCTTAAGTGATCCTTGTCAAAATGGTGCAACTTGCATCGATCATTATGATACATTTCAGTGCCAATGTACACCAGAATGGGAGGTAAACACTAATCAATATTGAATTATTTCTAACATATTAAAAAGAAATTATTTTAATTATTTAAATATTCTATTTTATTAATTATATATACCCTTTATTACATAAAAGCATAAAAATATGTTTTTTTATAATTAAAATGAAATTATTACCTGAAATATTAAAAAATTAAAATATTAAGTTTCTTATAAAGATGGGTCATGTGTAATTTTTTAAATATCAATCTGATAATTAAAGAAAAATATTTGAGTGTAATTTTATTTGTCCAAATAAAATTCATACTTCAAATTATAAAAAATGATGCATTAAAAGGACAAAATATGTAAATTAATCGTTGTAATACTTACTTTAACAGTTGACATTTATAATTTCTAAATACATTTTTTAATATATTTTTGGATCTATGAAGTTCATAAGAAATTACTTGTATTTAATTAAACAATAGAAGAAATTTAAAAATTTTATTTTTTCCAAGTTTAGAACGATTACAATGATTTTCATATAATTATAAATATAGTTTATAATTATAAATACCGTTATCATAATTTACTTTTTTTTCAACGAAATTCTTCTCTTTTTATTATTAGGGTACATTATGTACAAAAGATGTTAATGAATGTGAACGATTATTAGACAAACCATCTGGGTGTCAAAATGGAGCAACTTGTGTAAATCTTCCCGGTAGTTTTAGGTAATCATTAACTCAATTATATCAATATATTAATTATGGTATTAATTATTGGTTATTAACAGCATATTAAAAATATGTGAATTACTATTTTTAGCTGTACTTGTACACCCGGTTGGCATGGATTTCATTGTTCCACACAAAAGTCAATATGTGATCAGTCAAACAATGTTGAGCTTTGTGGAAATGGTATATGTGTTAGAACCAACTCACCTTTAGGATACACTTGTATTTGTAAACCGGTAAATTAATTTAGACTAATATAATATTTTATAAAAGAAATTGCTTCAAAATACATTAACTTGGAAAATTTTTCTGTTATATTTATTAAGAGTAATAAAAACAAGCATATTTTTAGGAGAATATATTTAATAAATATAATGATATTTTAATAATGCCGATAATAATTTTGAAATAACTTTACTAAAATAATGGAGAATTCAATTTCAAAAATATTAATTAGTAGTAATTGCAATAATATTCAATTGAAAATAATATAAAACTAGTAATTTTATATGGAAATTGAAAGAATTTAATTTTATCTGTTATTTTTAAACTTTCATACGTGAACTTTAATTATTCAGTTTTAAATTTTAATTTAAAATCTTAGAAAATTTCTTATTTTCCATGTTAGCACATTTTTATAGATTTAGTATGAAGAAAGTTTAAAATTATTGATATACATTAAACATTAAAAATCAGAAGAACTTATTTAAAACGAAGTGATTATTTATTAAAAGTATAATCTATAATATTATTTAACATAACCACGATTATATTTTAAAAACTGAGGTCTGCAGATCGAATATTAGTTGCAATTCTGCTTTAAAAATTTCTCGAACATTGTTAACATAACTTTATATTAAGTACTATAGTTAATTATTGTTTTATATGCATTGATATTTATTTTAGATTGAATATAATTATAACATAAATAAACATAATTTTACACAGACATTAATTTTTATATAATGAAAAATAAGCTAAATAAGCTATTATGATTTATTAATTCTGTCTATAAGGATGTTAAAATTATTTATTTATTTTTAAATAAATTAATAATAGAGTTCTGTTTATTATCAATTAATTACACGATAAAAACTATGTTGATTTTTATACGAATGAATTGTCCCACGAAAATTTATAATCATACAAACGTGTTTCCAATTTTTAAGTAAAATTATTTATATTAATACTGTTAGAATAGTATTAAATATATATTATTATAGTTTTACAAGAAATTATTATATAATATATTTAGGGCTGGGATCATTTAGATGATCATAACCCTTCTTGTCGTAAAGATGTCGATGAGTGCACAATATCTCGATATCCATGCTCCATCAATCCTTTTGTTACATGTCACAATGTACCAGGTACATTTTATTGTGGAGTTTGTCCATCAGGATTCACAGGAGATGGTTTTAAATGCCAAGATATTGATGAATGTTCATTGAATAATGGCGGATGTAGTACTACACCTTTGGTTGAGTGCCTAAATACATTGGTATGGTTATAACTTCAATTTTACAATTTTATTAAAATTTAAACTTGGTTTCTATAAATAATATTATTAATGAATAAAATAGATGCATTTTAAAGATATGATTATTTTGAAATGATTTTTAAATATTTACACATATTTTTCATTGAACTAAGTAAGAGAGTAAAATTCTTTTTTATAATTTATAAAAATAATAACCATCATTTACATATTATATATTAATCCATTTATTAAATCGCGCAGTATAATTTAATATGCATGAAAGTGAGATATAATCGTTGGAAATTTGATTTATTATTTAATAGCGTACATTTACTGTATAAAATGAAACTACAAACTTTGAAAATTCCTATAAAGTACTTTAATAAACGTGACTTTTATTAAATTTTAATTAATCAATTACCTTATTGAATACATATTTAGAAATTATACTCAAGTTTAATATTATAAATATATAGTCATTTGCAAATTAATAGAAGATATATAGAATAAATAAGGTCTTAGGTATTTCATTTTTATATGGCATAAAATTATTATATGGAAAAAGTATACTGGCATAATTACAAACTTCTCAATTTAAATAATAAACTTACTTATTAGTGTAAAATTTAACAAATTCTACGAAGCAAAGCTAAATAATCTATTTTTATGAACATATTATACTTAAATTCAGTATTATCATTTTTACAAATATTCGCTCTTAATAAAAATTTTATTACTTTCATATCATATTTTATTATTATACAGATTTTTATCCAAATTTTTGTATTATGCTTTTTAAATATAACGAACAAGTTAATAATAAAAATTTTATTATACTATCTTATGTCATTAAATCAAGTATTTATTTACAATAATAAGAATATGTAATGTAAAATGTAAATGAAATAAAATTATAAATAATATCAGTAATACGAAATCATGAAAAATATATAATAATAGTACCAAAGAACAAAATTAAAATATTACTTAGAATTATTTGATTGTATATCATAAAAAAAATAAAATTAACAATGTATTAAATGTAAGCAAATTAAAATAATAACGTATATAAAAATTAATAAAACTTCTCTATGTAATTGGATATATTAATTATAGTTTTCCATGAATAAGAATTTAAAAAAAATTTTTAATATTAGTTTTAATACGATTTTAAATATTTTATTAATCCACTTCAGGGATCTAGAAAATGTGGACCTTGTCCAAATGGATTTCGAGGCGATGGGATCACTTGCTTTTACGTGGGCTCGTGCGCCATCAACAATGGTGGTTGTCATAGTTTGGCAACTTGTAAAGAAGGTCCTAATTCAGAAACATTCTGTTTGTGTTCAGAAGGATATCAAGGAAGTGGCAAAGGTCCACAAGGTTGTACACCAGTACATAATGCTTGTACTAATAATCCTTGCATTCATGGCACATGCAGTTCGCATGGAACTGATAGCTTTATATGCATTTGCAATGATGGATATACTGGTAAAAAAACTAATTAACTATAATTATTTAAAAAGAAAATATGTCAGTTGTGTATGAAAACTATGTTGTTTATATTTATATTATATTCTAATTTTTAAATTAAATCTTTTTAACAAAAATATAATTTGAAATAATTGTTTTTCAATATTGATTTTAATATATAGTAAGATAAATTTAAAATATTTATACTTAACATAGGTACAACGTGTAATATATCAATAAGTCCATGTGTTCCAAATCCTTGCCAAAATAGTGGAGTGTGTCGTATAACAATTCGTGGAAATAGATTTTGCGAGTGCACCGCAAGTTTTGCAGGATCTACGTGTTCAATACCAAAGCCGTCATGCGGTGGATTTTTTAGAAGTTCGTTTGGATATATTGAATTTCCTATTGAAATAGGAAGTAAATACGATCATGGTCTTAGCTGTGCTTGGGTTATTTTAACGAATCATACAATGGTTTTGAATGTAACTTTTACAAGATTTGCTTTGGAAGATTCGCGCGGTAGTGATGAATGTAAACACGATTACGTACAAGTAAATAAATAATTATTTTATTTATTAAAATATATTTTTGCAGATTAGAGTTAAATAAAGATAATTTTATGATAATGTTTATTATAGATTCACGATGGTAGATCAGCTGGAAAGCATATTTTAGGTAGATACTGTGGCGATAAATTACCAAATAATGGTACAATTATTTCCACGCACAATTCTCTTTATATTTGGTTTCATTCTGACAGTACAATAAATAGTGATGGTTTTGCTCTCAATTGGACCACAATTGAACCACTTTGTGGTGGTGATATAAATCAAGAACATGGATCAATAACATCACCAGGATTTCCTGGAAAATACCCAAATAATAGAAATTGTTATTGGAATATTCATGTATCGGCAGGAAAAAGAATTGCTTTACATTTCACAAGCTTAATGATTGAGGAACATGCTACTTGCCAATTTGATTATGTAGAGGTAAGTAAATTTTCTACAATAATAATTTTATTGATTGTCATTCACACCATTTTACTGCATATATTAAATCTAATATTTTATACAATTTAATACACTAACAATATAAGATCACAAATTTTATTGAATAAATTTTGTTCAATTTCTTAAATAATTTATTTCAACATAAGATGGATTTAATTGTTTAATATAGATAAGCTTTTATTAATTCCTTTTATTTACGTTTTGCCTAATTAAGTTTATGAGAAATGTAATATTGAATTGTAATAGAAATGTAATATATTTATTTTAAAATGGAACAGAAGCTGTTGTCGAATAAATTATAAATGTATAAATAATGAAATAAAAAATGTTAATATATTATAAATCGGCAATTTCAACTATTCGATATAACATTAATATATATTTATTTGTATATATATATATATATATATATATATAATTAATATATATTAATAGCATAAAATAATATATTTCTATATATTTGATATATATTTCTATATATATTCTATATATATTATAATAATATATCTCTAAAAATGACTTACGTCTTCTTTTTTTAAATTACATTGATATAAACCTAGCTACGATCTTCTAATATTATTTATAACTGATACATTAAATTTTTATCGCTATGAAGGTCAAATATGTATTTATTTTAATAAAATAATTATTTTACATTAACTAATCACTAAAATAATTTTTACATAAAAAATTTATTTAAAAATATAAACACAAATTTGTTAATATATATAGTAAAATACATAAATATATTTTCTGTATACTACTGTGTCAAGTAACACATTTAAAAAACTTTAAATATATCAGCTTGATATATCAGTTTAAATATCTATTTTGATTAATTAAGCTCAAATTTCTTTTATAAAATTTCTTTTAATTGTTTAAATGTTAATTATAAGATATTCATATAACACATGAAAGTGCCAATAAAATAACTAATAATAGATGTATTACTATAAATGGTACAATAAAAAAACAGTAGAAATAATAGATTTATAATTCAATTGCTCATTGACACCAATTCTATTTACTTTTATTTAATTTTAAATACAGAAGTACTTTATAAAGTAGATAATAAAAAAAAGTAAGTCATTTTAAATTAAGCTCGTTAAATTATTATTTTTCAACTACTATAATTGCTATACTATAGTTGCTTTATTGAATGATTTACACTAAAATATCTATTTAATTACACTTATTTTTAATTCTTAAAAGATCTTTTGGAAAATTTTATTTTAAAATATTTTTACAAAAATTAATTTTTTTAAGGATAGTTTTAAAAATGTTATTAGTAATTTACTTACACATTAAAAATATATAGTTTTAACTTTGTAATCTCTATAAAGGAAAAAGTCGAATATTGATAGAATAATAAGTTAGAATGGAATAAAAATTCTAATAAGACAATGAAATTTCAGCAAATCGACTTTGCACACAAAGAATAAAAATATAATAGTAATAGTAGAAGAATTAAATAACAGCCAGGCCAAGACTTTTTATAAATCAAAATTAGAAATCAAATTAGATCAATAAAATATAAAAGCATATTATAGCATTCTTTAAACTTATACAACTTTTCAGTTCCTCCTTCTTCTAAATTTGTTAATTAAAAATAGTTATACCGAACCAAGATATGTTCATCAACTTTATTATAACCGTAATTGGTAAAAAAACAACGTTATTTAGATAAATAAATTTATCATGCATAAAATTATATATTTATAGAATGTAAATTACTATATTACAATTACTAATATATATTACTATTTATAGAATTTTTTATTATATCTTACCCTGATTCTTGTTTTATAAAGTAAATGCATAACTTTTTGTAGATAAATGAAACGACGTATATTGGAGAACACCGATTGGGAATTTTCTGTAATCACAGTAAACCTGAGCCTATTACTACGTCAGGATCCAATGTTATTGTTCATTTTCATTCGGATAACTCAGGAGCAGACAGTGGTTTTCACCTATCATTTTTAAGCATTCCAGGCATGACGTATTTAATATTTAAAGATACGAAATATCAATATTAAATTAGAAAGATTTTATTAAATTAAATATAACCAAATAATATTTTTATCAAGTTCGTTAATACTATAAAGTATTAACTATTGCAATATATTGTATTATATAACGGATTCATTTAATAGAAAACAGCTTTCTATTTTAAGATTTAACAAATTATCATTATTATAATTGAATTTAAAATATCTTTCTGTATCTAATAATTAAATTATTGTTTCAAGTTTATGTTTGATCCAATTAAATTTGAGTAAATTCGATTAATATAAAACTCTACTTTTAATTAATTGATTCTCGATATCAAATTTCACCTTAATTTAATCATTATAACCATTCAATATGTAAAATAGAGAATTTTTCAATTATTATAATTTTGATATACTATATATATATTAAGAAAGAATACTTACATATAAAATATTAATAATTTTAATAATACAGTTTTAATATTAAGTATTTTGTTAATATAGTAATGAGATAGTTGTTATTGTATAAATTTTCTATTATTAATATTTAAAATATTATTTATTTGATCAATTATTTTATCTAATTATTTGTTTTTTCAATATGCATGTGTGTGTGTGGCCGATAATTGTATAATATTTATTTTTTAGGTGCTCCAGATTGCGGTGGAATTTATACCAGCGAAAGTGGTGAAATTACATCACCAAAATATTCAGGAAATTATCGATCGGGTATGATTTGTGATTGGGAAATACGTTTACCTGAAACCAGTAATGTTCGTATAAACTGGCTTAATTTTGATGTCGAAAGCTCACGTAATTGTATGTTCGATTCAGTTCAGGTATATTTGTAAAATTTATATAATTTGATATATATATATATATATATATATATATATGAATAAATATATGAAATATGAATATATATATATAATATGAATATATATATATGAATAATAATTTAAATGAGAAAAATGTCTTAAATTCTAATATTTTAGATATATGAAGGATTGGATATCAATTCCCCATTAATAGGAAAATATTGTGGTTCTGTATTACCACCTCCAGTATCCATAAAATCAAATAAAATTTTAATACGCTTTGAAAGTGATGCAAATCTTGAAGAACAAGGTTTTTCTATGAAATATGAAGTTGAATGTGGCGGTATATTTACCGAACCATCTGGTGTACTTAATTCTCCATTTTATCCTAATTATTATCCTGCTTTAAAGGATTGTATTTATTTGATATCACAACTACCTGGGAAAGCAATCGTATTAACTTTTGAATTTTTAGACATTGAAGTTGGAGGTATTGTTAATAATCATACAGAGTGTGATTTTGATCGACTTGAAATTCGCGATGGTGACATGAAAAATTCAACATTATTATTAACACTATGCGGATCTTTGCATAACATACTAAGTAATCCAATATATTCTACACAAAATTATATGTATATTGAATTTTTTACGGACGCAAATATACAGAATCGTGGATTTAAAGCAAATTATACAACGATTGATAGCGGTAATATAAATCGGATAATATAAAATTCTTTTAAAAAATAATTTATTATAACATACAAATTATAAATAATTAAATTAATAATATTATAAATTATGCAGAATGTGGAGGCATTTATAATAATGCGCCAGGAACAATAAATGTGCCAGGAAATATAGGAAAATGGCGTTTTAATATCGACTGTTTTTGGACGATACATGCTCCATCGACTAATGCAATTCAAATTACATGGACATCCTTCCCAAACCAACATTCACGTATGAATGAAGACTGTAAAAGAAATTATATTGAATTAATAGAAGATTACAGATCTACTAATTCAAAATCTTTGGGAAAGTATGCTATAACCATATGATTTCTTTCCACACACACACAGAGAGAGAGAGAGAGAGACACACACACACACAGACAGACATACATACATATATATATATATATATATATATATGCATACAAAAGCAGTAAAATAGTATTAGAATTAAATTTTATTTTTATATAGATACTGTCCTCTTAAAGCACCACCACTAATTATGACTACACAAGGAAATGATTTAACTTTACATTATCGCGCTGGACATATTTCTGATATTGATTACCAAGCAACATACGTTTTTATTAATAATACTTATAATTGTGGAGGTCATTATTTTGCTGAAATGGGATATATAAGATCACCAAATTATCCAAAGAAATATCCGAAAAATAAAGAATGTATTTGGATTATTGAAGCACAAAATAAATATTTAATATCACTTAATTTTGGTAGTTTTGATTTGGAAAACTCTACTAAATGTTCAAATGATTATTTAGAAATAAGGTAAATACAAGTATTAGAATTATAAATTATTTAGAAAGATATAATTTTTACTTATAACTATTATATAATTTTTTTTATAAACAATTATATTAATTTGATTTCCTTTACAGAGATTAATAATAGTACATAATACACTTTAAAATACATATTAAATATTTAATTAATGCAATATAAATAATTGCTTATATTTTCTCAAAATTAATATTTATATAAACATTCATTTTGACCTCATACTTAAAATAAAATAGGTATATATAAAATTAGAACATTTAATTGTTGAAGATCTTTCTTTAATTAATCTTCTCTGTTTATTTTTCTGCTCTTTTCTATTGATATTATTTGTAAGTAACTTAATAGTTAATACATAAAAATCAATATTTTTTAATCAGTATTGAATGGTCACGTTGACAACAAAGCAATTCTTATATTTGCATTTTGAATTATATTAATGTAAATATTATATCTCCTCTATAATTTTTAAAAAATTCATTGCAATTTTCTTTTTTTTAATATCTTTTCACTATTTTTATTACAAATATTATTATATTTAAATATAATTTTTACTGCTTTAAGTTGATAGGGAAATTATTATTTAATTAGTATCAATGGAATTTTGACATATATCATACAAAAAATTCATATAAATAATTAAATATGAAATTTTTCAAATTAAAATATTATATGTAATCAATAGCTTTATGTATACAGTGGCACAACGAAAAACAGCTCTTACTATTAAAGTAGTAAAAAATAATAATGATGTATTTTTTAACAAAATGTCAATTTCTTGAATCAGAATATGTACGGAAATATAATCACGAGCATAAACCTGTCGTATAATGTTCTTAAACTACATACAAATTTTAAAAAATGAGTGATTTTTTAATTATAAGCAAGCAAAGACTATTTCTCGATATACCAAAATACCCTGGGTGTAAAATCTCAGGTTACTAGGAAATAACAGATGTGCTGTTGAATACATGAGCTGGATACAATATGTGCAAACAATAAAGAATCTAGTACCTTATGTAGATAAAATGGGCATATCGATGTAGATGCATATGCAATAAAAAAAAATAAAAGCCCACATTACGCAAACAATAGGAATACGGAATGTTTAAAATTACTATTATCAACTGAGTATGTCATGCGATAAGATTTCCTGATAGACATTACAAAATGAAGCTAATAAAAAATAGAAAAGATGAGTCGATGAAATGTTAACAGAAAATAATTAAGATTAATCATCCTGAGGACTAACAGTTGTTAAAAACTGGATAAGAAGAGAAGAAGTACTTCGGCGAAAGTTGCAAACTATTGCAGCAAAGCCTTAAACGCTGATCTTGTCAAAAAAGTTGGAGCCCTCGATTTATAAAGAAAGCATTTCTTATTATCTTTCGATAATAGTCAACTAAGTGCAGTATGCAATTATTCACTCGCAAAGATGGGTGTAAATTGCTAAACTTTGGGAGAGAAAAGTGCGTTTTTTATATTATGCTCTGTACTCGTGCAATTATGAATAAGTGTTTTCATGATATTCCAAAATCAATACTTCCATTACAACTGCACATAGACATTTTATTAAAAATGTAAATTTATTACAATTTTTATATAAGATCTAACTTATTTTAGATTAAATTTTTATAAATTTCTAAGTATGAGAATCGTACTTTTTATTAACCAATTCAAATGAAGAAAGTTTTAATTTTTTAGTAAAATATTTTATAAATTAACATTAATTTAATTTTATAAATTTAGAAATTTGGAACTAAACAACTTTTTACAAATTTATTTAAATAATTATATAAATTCGATAGAGAATTTATCAAAGTTATTGATGTTTTTTTAGAAAATGTTAGTAATACACACGCGCGCGCGCGCGCACACAGAGAGAGAGAGAGAGAAGGAACAAAAGAACCATTATAAAATTATTACAAACGTATTATTCATTGATAAACATGTTATTTTTTATTTAATTTAATTATAAATTTAGTATTACATCTTTTATATTTTTTTCAATACTTATTTTAATGTTTAATTATACATATAATACATAAATAAAATTATTCTGTAAATAAATATATTTTATTATATTTATTACAGAAGCGGCTCTCAAGATAATTCTCCTTTACTAGGCAAGTTTTGTGGTATAAAAGTTGAAAACGAAATAACGAGTATGACTAATCAGATTTATATAAAATTTGTTACTGACTCATCTTTGCAAAATCAAGGATTTGAGATTCAGTGGCGTAGTACTAAAACTGGTAATAACTTTCTTATTTTCTTATTTTATTATAATTTATTAAAATAAATAAAACATTTATATGTTATTACAAATATGTTAGAATAATATTGAACAACTGCGAATATATTCTAACGTTGCTCTATTACAACTGATTTCTAAATTCAATCTTTTAAATGCTTGGTGTATGTATACGAAAATTCACTGTACATGATGAAATATAATAATATTTTTGCTAATATTTTTGTAAATAAGTAGTTAGAAGTAATTGAAATAAAATAAAATAATTCCTACGTCTAGTTAATTTTTTATTAAAAATGGTTTTTTATATAATTAGAAGCAGTTTATTTGAATTTATGAAATATAAAATTAATACCATTAATATAATGATTACGTTCAATAATCTAATGTGCAACGAAAACTATTAACTTTAAAAAATTTGTTTATGTATAGTTTTTATTGGTAATAAAATAAGGAACGAAAATTTTACAAATATGTAAGATGAAAATGAAATCATAAATCAATCAGAAATCGCAGCAAAAATAAATTCAATATGTTTTTTTTTATAATATTATAATATTCGCTCCTAAGTTAAATAAAAATAAATATTTTTTGAATATTCAAATTATATATATTAAATTATATTTGAAATATTTTTAGGATGTGGTGGAAATTTACATACTTCGTCTGGAGCTATTATATCGCCAAACTACCCGCAAAATTATTACCATCAAGCTATTTGTACTTGGAATATTCGAATTTCCGCTGGGAGCATTATCCGTATAGCTTTTATTGATTTTGATATAGAAGATCATGTGAAATGTTCATTTGATTACATTGAAATCTCTGATATTATTAATGGATACATGCAGAATACCCAACGGTTTTGCGGCTCAATCATTCCACCTTTTTTTTTATCAAATAGTAATCAAATCAAATTAGTATTTCGTAGTGATGTATTAGCTAGTTCTCGTGGATTTCATTTAAGATACACTACTGGTACAATTTTATTTTAAAATAATGTCACGTTCAGTTTCTTTATTACTTTATAATTAAAAATGAACTGATATCTTATTTTAGAATGTATCAACAAAGTTACTGGGTTTCAAGGAGTGATTGAATCACCCAATTTTCCTCAAAGCTATGAAAATTTGAGTAACTGTTCATGGATAATATCAGTTCCTATAGGAAATAGAATTAATATAACATTTTCTCATTTCAATATACAACCGGATCTTGATGATAAGTGTGATAAAAACTATATTAGAATTCAAGAAGGCGATAGAGATAAACCTAATACAGAAATTTTAAAAAAATGCGGTTCCGAAGAAGATGTATTACCTTTAAAAATTTCTTCTAAGCAACGTCAAGTTTTTATAACATTTGTCTCAGATAGATTTCAAGTTGGTAGTGGTTTTCGGTTAGAATGGAATGTCAATGGTTGTAGTGAACATCTTACGAAATTTTACGGTCAATTTACATCTCCTGGTTTTCCTAATGGAGATAAATTGCCATATTCTAATATTATTTGTGAATGGCTAATTGAAGTTGATTTCGAAAAAAGTATAGAAATTACCTTCGCCACAATAGAAACCACAAAAACTCGTGCTTGTCTCCCAGGTAAATAAATGTGTATCCTAATATAAATTAAAACCTATTTATTTCTTGTTAAAATTTACCAAGCTTATAATTATATTATAAAACGAAATCAAATAATAATATATTTTATTATAAAATTAATTTTTTCTAGAATTGTAATAAGGACTTTTGATATTTATTATGCACTGCCATCTAAGATACATTAAAAGCAATCTCTGAAATAATTGAGAAATGCACATACTTTATTGATGTATTTAAACCTTATTAATACAGAAATTATTTTATTATAGTTATTACATGTTTTTAGTTTGTTGGAAAATATTAAAATTTTTAGATTTACTTAAAACGCACTATCTTCGCTTACTCACATTACGTGAATAAATTATTTTGATAATTAACAATAGATTGATATTATTTTCGCTTATATTTATATACCAAAAGTTATTCTGAATTTAAAGTTTATTGCAAAGTCTAGTTCATTTGTATGTCATTTTTTTATACTGATTTCATATTGACAAATATTAAGTAAATGCAATTCCGTAGTTTAATAAAATTTTAATAATAAAATATAAAATATTATTAGTATTTATATCTTATAAGAGTATAATTTTCTTTTCAATTGAAAATTTTCAAATTGTGGAGGATGTTAATGGGAATAATTTAAGTAATAGTTTAATAAATTATAGTATAAATTTATTTTATTCAAAGTATTGTAATATTGCACATTAAAATTAAAATACTAAATGCAATTTTTAATTATTATTTGTTTTATATGCGTATATAACTATGCCAGTATATATTACATGCATATATTTTATTATAAAAATATTTTATTTATAATCTTTATTTATTATAATCCTTTTATTATAATTATTTAGATTCAGATGGTTCAATTGAAATTTATAATGGACCAAATAAAAATGCACCACAAATCGTCAATAATTTATGTTATTCTAATACACCCGTTACGTTTACTAGCACTGGAAATCAAATGTTAATTAAATATTCATCAACAGTTGAATACGCTAGTCATGGATTTAAAGCAATATATCATGCTGTTAATATAAAATGTGGTGGTAAATTTACTGGACAAACGGGAGTAATTCATTCAGTAAATTATCCAAAAAATTATCCTCACAATCAAAATTGTGAATGGCTTATAATTGTTGATGTTAATCATGCTGTAAATGTAACTTTTGTTGATTTAGATCTAGAAAAAAGTAGAAATTGTTCCGATGATTATATTAAGGTACATAATATATTAATTTAAATATTATTGACACATAATTAATTTTAATTATTAATTATTTAAAAATTTAAATATATCTATTAATTTAAAGTAAAAAAAAATTAAAAGTATTTTAATCTTTCTCAAGCAATTAAATAAATCAGTTCTTATCTGAGCAATGAATATCAGTTATGATTTTATGGAGTTTAATGTTTTTTGCTTGTATATTTATCATTAATTTTCAAGAAATAGTAAATTGTAATAATGTAATGATTAATTAATAATTTATATTAATATTTTATAATGGTATTTTTAGATTTACGATGGAAATAAAGTAGAAGCTCCATTATTAGGAAAACACTGTCAAAGTGTTGATTTATTACCATCTTATATTTCAAGTGGAAATCAAATGCTAATTATAATGAGAACAGATTCGTTTGTATCAGCAAAAGGATTTAAGGCTTATTATAATCGTACATGCGGAGCTCGGATAATTGTAGATAGCGACGGATTTATTCGTTCATCTCGTACTTTACATACAACTTTTTTAAATTGCAGTTGGATTCTTACAGCTAAAGATCCGAGTAAACATTAATACTTAATATATCTTTTAAATTTTTAATTAGTATAGTAATTTTAATTTATGTGATAATAACTTTCATATACGAAGTTATAAGTTAATATATAATTTTTGTTTTTATATAGGCAATAAGATTGTATTGACGTTTAATCATATAGATCTGTTAGTGTCCGATTGTTCTTCAAATCATATTGAGATTTATGAAGGTGAAGGTATTGAAGGACCCCTTTTAGGACAAATATGTAGTAACAAAATTCCAAGCCCTTATTTTAGTTCTGGTAATGCACTTACAATACATCTGATATTTGGCTCTGGCGATATTATTGGAGATAATTTTGAAGCCACATATTCAACATTTACTTCTGGTATTTTTGTTTTTATAAAATTTAAATATCAATGTTATTAAATTAGATAGCGAATTAGATCGTTAAAAAGATTGATGAATTATTTATATACCACAATATATATATATTAATGAAAATAATTTTTCATATTATTATTAAGAATAATTATTAATAATAATTATTTAAAAATTCCCAGATTTAGGAATATATAAAACATTGAAATTGTATATACAAATTCATTTTTAAATATAGCTAAAACATTATTGAACATATAGTTTAATGCAGTAAATTCAGCTTGTACAAATATTTTTTCATTTTTCATGCATTAAAACGATGAAAATAATTATTTTATAAAATTATATAAATTATAATATTAATAAAAAATATTATATAACGAATTAGCTTGCGGAGGAAAATACACGGCTGAAAGTGGTATTATTGTTTCTCCAAATTATCCATTAAGTTATCCAAATAAAGCGGATTGCATATGGATTATTAGTAATTCACCTGGAAATAAAGTTTCTCTGATTTTTGAAAACTTTGAATTAATAAACAGTGATAACTGCGACATGGATTATTTAGAGATTCGAGATAATAATGGAATTGGAAAGCTACAAGGTGTTTTTTGTGGAAATAATTTCGAGAGTATAACCTCTTCACAATCTTTATGGATAAGATTTAAAACTTCAGCAAATACAATAGGTAATCCTAAAGGATTTAAATCAGAATACCATTTACTTTTCGGAGATGAACTTACGGGTGACTATGGTGAAATCGCATCGCCCATGTACCCATTACCTTATCGAAAAAGTGAAACATTTTCATGGCGAATAACAGTTGATTTTAATTATATTATAAGAATTCAATTTTTAGATTTTAATTTCTACAGTATTGACAATTATTGTTATTCATCATTAAAGGTAATATCAATTTAATATATATATATATATATATATATATATATATATTTATTTATTATTAAAAGAATTTTTGAATAAATACATATTTAAAAATTAATAGTTTTATGATGGATTCAATGATGATGCTCCACAAATAATGGAACTATGTGGTATTTCAACACCTAGCGAACCACTAACATCATCAGGCAATATTATTTTTATTAAAATGGAAAATTCTTTTGATCATGTAGGAAATTGGTTTCATTTAAAGTGGTTAAAGATTCCTCGGCTAATAAGTAACGAAAACTTAGAAGAAATTATTAGTAAGTATATTGTATTACTAAATACTATTGATATTGGTATTATTATTAATATTATATTATTATTAAAAAATTATAATAAGTTTTGTGTATCAATATATAATCATTATTAAATTAATAACATTATTCTTATTATGAACAAATCACAACGAAATTTAATTTAATTTTTTTAATTTTTATTTTTATTAATTTCTATAAATATATTAGAAATAAAAAAATAATTGTAATAGATATTTTGTAGGACACATAAAAATTGTAATTATTACTTTGATGAAAACTTATATCTGATGTTTTAACTTCATACATTTTATTAAGTATTATAATTTGTGAATTCCTTACATCAATTTTTTTTAACAAAGAGCATATAATTTTTTCTTTTTGTACCAAACTCAACTAGTATTTTATTTTCTTAAAGCATGTTTTTCAATATTTATAAAGCTAGTAGGAGTTAAAATAGATAATGTATTCATATTATAAATTATATATATTCATAGTTGCAATAATAGACAAGAAAGCATTGTCTTAAAAAATAATTTTATTTTTATAATTTTTTTATTTAGATAGAATTATTATCAATTAGAAAATCTTTGTAATAAATTGAAGTCTAATGGTCTTATAAATTAAAATAACTGTAGTTTTGATACATTAAGCTGAAACTTTTTGTTTGTTTTCAAATATTTTTCATGCAAATTTTTAATGAATTGTATTTAATAGATTATTTCATTGCATATAACAGAAGCTATGAAGGTATAGTGATATTTTTTCTTATATTTTAATAATTACATTTGAAGTTTTATTTTTCTGCTTTAAAACATAGTTTGATATTAAATGTGTAAAAGTATTTTAAAAAATTAAAATGTTATTATATAATAAATATAATATATTGTTAAAAATCATTTAATTTTCACTAAAAATATTACTACATATGTATGGATGTATATCGAAATCATCCGTTATAAAAAGAAAGAGAAAGCAATCGTACATGTATCAGATTAATACACATCTTTTCTACACATTTTTACCCAAGCCATGTATTTCACATACGTCATCGTCACTGCTTATAGATTATTATTTTCAGTTCATTCATAAATATATTCATAAATAATAAAAATTAACTCAAATAACTTATATCATTAATTGAAAATATCGATCAATGTTTTACATTAATATATTGTAATCGTTGAAAATTCGGTACAAATATAATATTAATCACATCGTAACTACGATAATATGATATAACTCATAATATAAACAATTTCTCTTTATATTTGTTACCTTAAATATATCTTTAATATAATATAGAGTCTAATAATCTGTAAGTATAATATTGTTAATAAACATTTTTAAATTTACTTATTGATTAGAAATGTAGCTACATATTATATTCATTATTAAATATCCTTTATTTTAAGAAATTTTTTATCTATATTATTTAATTCAAGATTGTTCTGAACATATAAGAACTTTCACAAAATAAAGTAAAATTATCTTTTCAATATTAATTACTAAGATTAATTGCAATTATTACATTATTGTTTGTACTATTATAATATGTATAAATTAATAAACTATTCGTTTTAGATTCAAAAAATAGCAAATTGATTCTTTTAACGGAGCACAATGGAACGTACACATTTAATTCACCCGGATATCCAAATGGTTACGAGGACAATATTCAATATTCTTGGACCTTTGTATCGCCTGTTGGAACTCATCTAGTCTTGAAATTTCTAACAATAGATCTTGAAGAATCTGAAGATTGCATTACAGATTATGTAGCTATTTATAAAGGATATTCAACGTCTTTCGAATCTAATGAAAATTTATTAAAAAAAGTTTGTTTATCAAATTCAACAATGAGTAATTTTCCAAGTACAAATGTGATGACAGTGCAATTTATTACAGACGCCTATCGTAACGAATCCGGATTTTCTGCCGTAGTTGTAGCAGGTGAGTTTTACTAACTATCGCAATTTTACACATTTTAATAATTAACATTTTAATAGAATGTGGTGGAACAATAGAAGAATCTAATGGTTTTATTCAAGTTAGTGAAATTACAAAATTTGTAATGCCACGTCTTTATACATATACTTGTGAGTGGATTGTAAAAGTAAGATCTGGGCGAAGAATTAACGTAAAAATCGTAGAAAATCATATTGAAAATAGTCGACCAAAAACAAAGGATAATTCATGTACATCGAACTATCTTATGGTATGAACTGTTGCATTTTTAAATATTTGTGTAAATAATAACTTAAAGTTTTAAATACAATTTTTGAAACTGCAGTTAAAAAATGGAGAATCATCGAGTTCACCGTTATTAGGAATAGGAAAATACTGTAATGGTATTAAACCGCCTATTCAAAATACAAGCAGTAATTATCTTTACGTTAAACTAGTAGTATCCTTGCCAGCTGTTAATTTTAAGTTAGCATTTAGGTAAATTGAGTAAAATTTTAAATAAATAAAATATATAACAATTAATATATATATATATATATATATGTATGTGTGTGTATGTGTGTGTGTGTGTATATATATATTTAAGATATTTATTTATATTATGATTTTAGAGAATTAGGTCATGACTGTGGTGGTAGATTTGAATTATCAGCAATGACTGCATCTCAACAAGAAATAACATCACCAAATTATCCTAATATCCCTACACCTCATACTGAATGCTTTTGGACATTTATGAATACAAACGAAAATCGTTTGACTATAAATTTCTTAGATCGGTTTGATCTTGCATTCAGCGAAAAGTAAGTTTTTAACTAATTAACTAAAAAATAATATTCTTTCCAAACCTTCTAACCTTCTTTTCACGAAGATATCTTATAATGCTAAGCCTTTATTTTTATCTTGTAACAATATTAATAGTTTGGACGAGTTTTTAAAATTATTTTATTTATTAAATTTAAAAGTTTATGCAAAATCGTTATTGTTATTAACACAATCTAAAGGTTTAGTAATTATTGACGAAGAAGGAATGATAAAAACGATATTAAAATTGATTCAATTTTATTTTTTTACGACGTAAAATGTTATTCAATCTTGTTTAAAGTATATTGGAAGTGATATTAACATCGTCTATTTTGGTTTGGCATTATTTTGTTAATGTTGTTAATTTTATTACCTATTTTTGCTAAGGCGAACAATACTTTATTACTTTGTAAAGCAAATGTAATTTCGTAAATTTGCGAGTAAATTGCATCACAGATACAGATGATACAGATTGTGAACAGATGCTACAGATTCATATGTTTCTCCTGACGTCAAACTAATTATCGTTCTTTTCAAATATATGAGATATAAGATAATCTAAATCTAATTTTTGAGGAAATGTTCAAGTTTCTTTCGCATCTTATTTATTTGTCGTAAATTCCTAACGCGCATTAATCGCGAAAAATTATTAATAGAATATTGTATTTTACTATATAGCCATCTGTATAACAATAGTAGTATATTATACTGGCATAATACTAAATATAGATTATATCATACAAAATTTAGAGTATCAAGAAATAATAACATAAAACAAAACAAAACAAACATAAAAAATAGTATATAACAGTATAGACAATAATAGAAATTTGAATAATTTTATTGTTTGTGAATTACAATTTATTTATTTATTTTTTTATTTATTTTTTTTTCAGGTAATAGTAGATAGTATATTATAGATAATTTCATGCGTTACTATCTATCATTTATTATGTATATTAAAAAATAATTAGCTAAAAGTAATAAAATAATTTTTTACTTATAGTATAAAATTATAATTTAATTATTTTATACTAGTATATATTATGATTAAATATTTATTTTACCATTAAAGTAAAGATTTTATTTTCTATTGTCTTATAATGAAAATAGGTTAATAAGAAACTATTTTCTGAAAATGTAATTAGGTTCTTAATTTCTTATAATTTAATCAAATATCTCACAATAGTAAAATACTTGAAATTAATATCATGATTTTCATACGCCAAAAAATATTATGTTTTAGTACTCTTAATAAGTAGGATAAAAGTCTAATATCTGAAATTTCCAAAAACAAATCTTTTAATGTCAAAAAACTAATTATTTATAAAATATTAATAAACTTTCTACTATAAAATGAAAATGTTTATTATGGTTTAAGGTGTATCCCGTATTTCTAGTTAATTTTGGAAAATTAATTTTTTCTATTATTTTTGAGTATAATAAAAAATTGCAATAAAAGTTTTGATTATGATGGTATCTTAAAAATAACCATTCATATGATTTTTTAAATTATAAAAAGTAATAGAAAATGAAAATTAAACATTCAGATATAGACGAAACTTTTCACATAAAATAATCATATCTATTTTAGAATGTTAACAGGATTTTAATCGTAAAATAATTTAGTGAATAATTTCAGAGATAGAGATAAAAATTTGTTTAGAATAATTTTATAAGCATTTTATAAGCCATGTAAAAAAATCATAATGTCGATATCTTTATTTGTTTTCTATTAAATAATGTTATAATAGATCTGCAATATTTTCATTTTGAATCGAAATTGTTTGTCTAATTAAACTATGTATGGCCGACTCTGATTTTTGACCTCTTGTTGTTCATTCTCAAATTATGTACAAGAAAATTAATTTTTCTCGCATTGCATACATGTTAAAAATGATAATGTTTTTCATGCTAAGTAAAGCTTTTATTTATTTTTTATTTCTATACATCGAATATAATTAAAAAAAAAAAAATTTGTTTTGTAGCTGTGAACAGGAGTACATAGAAATAAGAGATGGCGGCACTGATACATCCCCTTTGTTAGGAAGATATTGTAAAAATACACCTCCTAGTAGTTTATCAACTAAAGGAAACATAATGTATATACACTATTTTACGGATCTGATGGAGCCACGAAATGGTTTTAAAGCTCTAGTAACAAGTGGTGGTAAATTTAGCAGTTATTTTATTTCTATTAGATGATCAAAATTTTAGTATATTGTTTATTATTTTGGCAGATATTTGTGGAGGAATCGAAAGAGAAACTCGAGGTGGGATCATTACTTCGCCTAATTATCCAAACAGTTATACTACTAAATCCTATTTTTGCAGTTGGTGGATTATCGCACCATCCTCAAATCGCGGCATTAAACTTCAATTTCAAGATCTCAAACTTCCTTTTCAACGTAATTGTACAAATACTGATCATGTTGTAATATATGAAAAAATACCCGGAAATTTTAATAGTAACTAAATCTATTATTCTCTACTGTCCATAATAAATTCAGTAAAATTAAAGTAAAAGATAATTTTGATTATAGGTACAGAAATTGGCACGTATTGTGGTAAAAGGATACCGGGAGTAATTGAAGTATTAACTAACGAAGCAATGGTAGTTTTTAAAAGTTCGTTGACTAATATAAAACAGACTATTGCTACCGGGTTTCGACTTAATTATACATTTAATCATAATCGTAAGGAAGTTATAACAGTACAGACCATTTAATTATTCATATATTAGTTTAAATTATTTTAATATTTTATAAAAAAAATGTCAAATAGGTTGTGGAAGCATTTTAAATGGTATGAGTGGAAACTTTCAAACTGACGGTTATCCTCGTTCAACGTCATACAAGTAAGTGAAAGTAAAAGTTATATGCAATAATAAGAAATTAGAATCTCAATTTTTAACTTAACTAAATCACGTTAAAAGTGATCGTTTTAATACCACATTGAAAAAGATAAAAATTATTTTAAAAACTTAAAGATGTTTTAGTTAAAAATAGATAGAAAATTAATTAATGTGATTTAGTATAGTATATATTTATAATATAGAGACGATTAATTTAAAAATTAATTATATTATTATTATTACAGCTAAGAATTTATACATGAATTTATTATTAATTTTATAAAATGATACTATCTATTATGAATTATCTTCTATGTAAAAATTAGATCTTAAAACAAAGATATTCTATGATATATTAAATATATTTAAATGAATGTAAATATGTTCAATGTTTATGTTAAAGGTTTTGTAACTGGAAAATATCGGTTCAGGAAGGATTTCAAATCATAGTTGACATTATAGATCTGGATCTTGGAGAAGACAGATATGTTATGGATAGTCGGGTTTCGGTATTGTCTTAAACAATTTTTTATGTTTAAATTTAAATTAATATATTTAAAATATATATAAGGATTTTTTTAATTTAAGTATTAAATTTTTATTTATATTGAAGTTTTATCACGATCCCGATTCAATCGCATTGATCAAACTGTTGCGGAATTCGACACAATCAATGAGGATTGCCAGCTCATCTAATTTTATGAGTATATATTTTATATCAACGGGCAGTTCCAGAGGAATGAAAGCTAAATATTTTACATCTGAACCAGCTCGTGAGTATCTCAATAGTTTTTTTTTTTTTAAATTTTATTATTATGTTATCAACATTTTATCTATTGAACTGCAATATCATATCATTGTTTATCATTATAATATTTTTTTTAATTATAAGAAAACTACGTGTAAAATAGAAATCAATTTTTAATGCTGTATATACAAAAAGATCCCAATTTTAAGTTGAATATAAAATTTAAATTTCAACCCTTCAAATTTTTAATATTATAATGTATGTTTTAACAAATATATTTTCTTAAACAAAATTAAAGAAAGCATGTAGCCAATAAATAAAAGTATTTAAATTTCAAATAGAATTAAACTTAATCAAACCTACGATAAAAATAATTAATAATATTCTTATATAAATGTATACAAGATATAAAACATAAAGAAAAAAAGTAATATATTTTTTTTTTTAATTTTGCTTTGATAATTATTACATATATAATTATTTGTAAAGTAAGAAATTTGTTATTTGAGATCACATAATTACAAAAAATATTTTTCATTAATAAATCGGACGATAAATTTAGGAGAAGAATTATATTTCAAGTCATTATTTAATTTCTTTACGATGACAAGATGTAATGGAAATTCATAATTTTAAATATTTAATTTCAGACTTAATAATATGACTTCGATTAAAATTTTGTATTTAATTATTTATTTCTTGTTTCCTGGATTACAAAATAATTTATCGGAACATTTTTAATGAATCTCTGTGCCAATTATTTTCAATTCTCTAGATTAACTTTTTTACATATAACAATTTTAATATTTTCGTAGAAATACAATTTTGTTCCTATGATTAATAGACAAATAAATAAATAAATATTTCTTTATCTATTGTTAAAATATTAATAAATTTTTATATTATAAAGTACAAAAGTAAGAAAATATAGAAGCAAGTAATTAAAATATATCTAGTGCAAGTATAATATAATGCAAAATTTATCAGTATTTAATACTTAACACAGTTCAATCATAACATTCTGAATGTATATAATATTTGCAATGATCTTCATCGCATTACTATTATCATCATCAATAGTATTATTGTTATTATAGTTGATGTTGTTTAAACATTGATAACAAAACTTTAATTCAAATGAAAATATAAACATTTTATAATATATTCATATTTAATTGAAAAAATGGGCGTCAGATTTTATAATTCGAAATTAAAATAATTTAAAATTTTCATTATATATTTAACTTTTATAATTCTTTAAAAATTTTGAGATTATGAAATAATTTTAAATAAATAAAATTTAAAATGCCTTAGCCTGTGGTCAAAAACTAAATAATTGGGAAGGTACGCTCACAAGTCCACGTCTTGCGATATTTAATGAAAGTGCATTTTATTGTAAATGGATTATACAGCAACCTGAAACATTTGAATCGATACAAAAAATTGATTTGACATTAGCTATCACAATTTCGGGTACTATAAACAAAGGAAAAGGATCGGTATCTTGTTGGAACTATCTCGGTTATATTTTCATAAAAGGTATCCAAATGAAATATAATAAAATATAGAAATATAATATTATATTGATTATAATATTTTAGGAGATGAACCGGTGGCAAAAATTTGTGGGAATTTTACAAAAAATTCCATTACAATAGCAAGTCCATTTAGATCATATTCTATTGAGGTGAACTCAATTATTATGTATTATATGAAATATTATTCATTTTAATATAAGTTTATTTATTCTGATCAATTTCCTGTTTCATATGAATTTTGCTCTTTACTAGCTTATAATCAGTTGAATATATATATATATATATATATATATATATATATATTATATATATTTTTTTTAGCTACTTACATTGGTATTTATAATAATTTAAATGAATTATATGATTAATGTATAATGAAATTTATCTATTTTTTAAGGCTGTAAATGCCACTCATATGGCAAAAGTAAATTTTATAATGAAGTATAAATGGTATCAATGTGGTGGTATTCTGAATGGACCTTCTCACATAATTCAAGCACCTATAAATATGTCCCATCCAGTTTACTGTGCATGGAAAATTAAATATCCAAATATTGATGACTCGATATTAATAAATTTTACCAAAATGAACCTTAGTTCGTGTGATAAATCTTACATACAGATTAAGTAAATACTTTTTATACATATGTATTTGTGTTAAATTTATCTGTAACTATACTTTTTAATAATCATCTATAGAGGTAGAACTTATCGTTCGCCACATTTAGGAAAATTTTGTGGTAATGAAATACCCCAGAATATTGTCAGCCCGGCAAATGAATTTATGATGGAATATTATTCTAATGAAAATTTTGCAAACTTTGAAATTCATTTGGAACCAGCTAAATACGCTTGCGGAGGAATAATAAAAGGAAAAGAAACAGAAATAATGTCTCCTGGGTAAAAATCATTTCATTTTTTGTACTTTTTTTTTACTTTTTTTTGTTCTTTATCAATATGAGATTATCATTTATTTATATGAAGGGTTTCAAGAATAAAAATTATTTATAACGAACAGTTTATTTACTAAAAAATCTCAGTTTGACAGAATTAAGACAAAGAAATCTTGAATTATAAATTTTTTGAGGTAGTTGAATTTCTGAATTAAGAAGAAAAGTTTTAATCTGTAATTTATCAGCAAATCTAAAAACTTGTAAATCAAAATTCTATTCAGTCAAAATAAAATAACTATTAGTATTATCGTTATTTACATAAATATCAATATTGCTTTAATATTATTTTTAATTAAATCCTGTTTTCGTTTTTATTATTTATTTTATGAAATTTTTATAGTCCAATTTTCCATCTATTTAATATATGAAAATAATTCTAAATCAATCGTTGAAAATATTTTATAACAACTTCAATCTGATGTAATTTTATTTTTATGTATGTTTATTTTTATTTAAAATTGTGCTTTGTATTCTTAAAAGTAATTTCTTTGTAATATTGAGATAACATTGATATTAAAAATATTTTGAGTATTTTCCCTTAATATTGTCACCTACAATCGACAAGAAGAATTGTCTCTGTATGAAATAACAATAGATGAACTATTTCTCAAAGTTTAATTTCTCAATCTTATCTTTTTCGATAAAGATACAGTTGTATAAAAAGGGAGAGATTATAGTAACTGTTATAAATCTTTTTAATAAGCTTATTTCGTATTTTACTAGTTAATAAATATGTAATAAAATTAATTTCATAATTTGTTTACGTTATTATTATTAAAGATACTTTTATTTAAAAATAAACGAATCTTATTCTGAAATATGAATAAATCTGAAGTATTACTGAAACTGTTTAGAAATTAATTTATCACTTTAAAATTATAGCACAATAATTTAAAGATTGTTTATGATGTATAATAAATTTTTTTTTTGGAAAATATATAATTTTTTTTTTTGAAAGCAGTCATAAAAAATATATATAAAATAAAATAAAATAGCGTACATTATAAGATATATTAACACTATAATTACAAATATTATATCAATTTATTATCTAGATTTCCGCAAGGCTATTCAAACAATACCGAATGCATCTGGGAAATAGTAGCAAATGTTGGATATCATATAGGAATTAAATTTATTGAAAGATTTAATCTCGAAACAAGTACGAATTGTAAAAATGATTTTGTTGAAGTATGTTTAAATTATTTGAGAAAATTGTAATATATTTGATTGAATAATTAAATTAATTTATATACTATTTAGATTGATGAATGGTCCGAAGAGCTTCAAAATAAAACTAATCATTGGAAAAACTTAGGAAGAATTTGTGGACGCTCTCCACCAGAAAAGCCGTTCAATACTTCAACGAATAAAATGAAGATTAAATTTGTTTCTAATGATAGAATCGAAGGTGAAGGATTTAAAGCTGTTTGGTATCAAAACTGTGGAGGAGTTTATGAGGCAACGCAGATATTGAAGTACATTCAATCACCAAATTTCCTGTATTCGCTTTATCCATCGAATATAATATGTAACTACACCCTTATAGCTCCAAATGATCAAGAAATAATTGTTGACTTTACGGATTTTTATCTAGAAGGCAAAATACATTTTTTTCTTTAATCTTATTGTAGAAATATTATTAACATTATCGATAACTTTTAAAAATTGATGCTTAGTGATAATATTTAAATTAATACATTGCTTCAAGGAAACGTAACTAAGCCATTTTATATTTTAATTTAATCCGATACAATTCAATTATATATATAATGCAATAAGAATATTTTTATAATAGTGCCCGAATGTTTAATAAAACTCATTCATTTGCATAAAGATATTATAAGTAAATAGAATTACAAAATATATTCAAAATTAGATAAAAAAAAATATATATATGTATATACTTTTAATAAGAAAAATATTGTAATAGAAAATTTGTTAAAATTTAACATATAGTATTTAAACAATTGTAATTTTGTTAATATATCATTGATATAATGTCGGAATAATTAAGATTATTAAATGTTACTTTAGGAAACAGTATTACATGTCCGTATGATAATTTAACGATTTTTTTCTATACCGGAGATTGGATGCGCAATCAAAATACTTGGTGTGGTAATAATTCCCCAGGCAAGAAAATGTCAAAAGGAAGAATGGAGATAATATTCAGAACAGATAATTCAATAAATCGTTTAGGGTTTAAATTTAAATATTCAGTAAATGGTAAATATTCAATCATTACCTATAATCAGTTATAAAATTTTTTTTTATTTCTAAGCGACCGAAAATATTCATGAAAATTAAAGAATTTAATACTTCTCAATATTTCAGGAACTTGTTACATCAATTTTTAATAAATTTTAATTTTGTATTAAAAGTTTGTTTATAGTTAAGAAATATATATTTTATAAACCTTATATTAATTAAAGAAAATTAACACTCGAAATTACAATACATACGAATAAAAAAAAAGAATCTGCAGTATTTCATTTTTTAATTAATTGTTCTTCTTATTTTAAATATAATTATTTTAAGTAATTTTTTAAATAAATTTGAATTGTTTTTTTAACAGTTTCAATTAATTTTAATAATTTAAAAAATTTGATATTTTTAAATTAATGTACTGCATTTCATTAACAAGCAAGCAGCTATATATATGTTACTTTTAATTTTAATATTCAAAACTTTGAAATATATTCTATACTATCGTTATTATTTTTTCATGTGCAATTATTTCTCATTTCAAATTGTAGCTTTTGGAAATTTCAATATGTAATCATTAAATATTTATAAATCATAAAAATCTAGATAATAAATGTAATAAAATATCATCAAAGTATGTATTTAATTTAATTTATTAAATCATTTAATTCAAAGTAAGTGCGAAGTAAGTGCAAAGTAGTATCTTTAAAGTAGAATCATTAAATATCTATAAGTATCTATAAATAAGTAAAATCTATAAATTTTCCATTTCGCATAATTTATTATATTTAATGAAATTTATATAAAAAAAAAAATCAAAGTGTTCTACTATTGCATTGCATATTTAAATTGTAATAATATATATATATATATATATATATATATATATATAATAATTAATATATTCAAACTTGTTTGTTTTGAAAAATTAAAATATTATTTTTAGATTGCGGAGGTCTTATAACTAATCCAAGAATAATAAATCCTCACATGGTCAACGATCCAGGATCATATGAATATATGAACTGTATTTGGGTTATAAAAGCTCCTCCGATAAAGAGCATACTTTTACGCTTTGAGAAACTGAAAATTTTACAGCCTTTGGGAAGGTATGACAACTTAAATTTATTTAAAATTTTTATATCAAATTGTACCAAAATAATAAAATCTTATGTTATAAATCTTATGTTATAATACTTTTTAAGTTGCATCTCTAGTTTTGTACGTATATACGAAGGAAATTCTACGCAAAATAATAAATTAAAGGCAACATTTTGTGGAGATATGAGTAAAAATTTACCAGTTTTACAATCAGATGGAAATATTATGACTATTTTTTTTCATACCAGCTCATACGGTGAAAATGATCATTTTTTGAAAGCTGCAGTAAGTAATGCGATAAATTAAATAAATTTAATTACTTATAATTAATACATTATATTATATTTAATGTACAGAGTTACAAACATAATCTGTAATTAAATATTAATTCAGTATTAATATTTTATATTATGTTTTAATTTTTAATCTTTTTTTATACTTGATATGGAAATTGAATTTAAAAATATATTTTTTAATTCTATGTACTTAGAATTTAAAAAGTATAAAATTAACAAATTAAGCAATCTATACTTTTTCCAAATCAATTAATAAATAAGTTTCATAATTTTGTTGATATAAGTGTTTAAACATATTAAAACTACTTTTATTTCGTATCTAAAAGTTTAAATTATTCTTATATTTAATGAATTATAATACTTACTGGAATACTAAACAGATTTATTATTATAAAATAAGATAAAACAAATTTACTTCATTTTGGTAATATATTCTCAATACTTCTCATTGTACTCTATGAAAAAAGATATTATCAGATAATCAAGTCGAGATGCACCATTGGATTAACCAGCAAGTGTAACTATATATAGGGGAGTAATATAACTAATTTGTCAACAAAATTCTATCTATGTTTAAAATAGAATAATTTTCATAGATTTAAATGTTAGAAAGATACCCTTTTACAACTGCTTATTGACTTTATCACATTGACTTTACTAACGGTGAAAGAGTAAATTTTAGGAATTTCAAAAATGTATGCCTGGCAATGTTCACAACTTGCAAGAGCCTTTACTTCAATTCACATTGCAGTTTAATCACAACACATACATACGACCATAGCGTTGATGTTCATTTCAGAATTTTCATTATATGTTCAATTAATAATATATATATATATATATATATAATTAATCTCTGATACTTATTACAGATGATAGCGTAGTTAAAACTACCCCCATTTTCTTTGCCAAAAGACGCTATTTAAAAGAAACAAAAAATTGGATTAAATCTTCATGTATAAATATGCTATTGAGAAATAGCAATCTAACATATTTACCTTATATTTTTCTTCTACCAAAACATATACTAAATATGTTTAATTCTTATTTTCTTCTACCAAAATATTTAGACTGTTCTATCGATAGATCATTGAAACGTAAGTCTTATCTGTTAATATTGATGATTTAATTGGAATGTGTTTAATGATTTGCTTTAAAATAACATTAAGTAGAATCAGATTTTATATTCTGCTTATGTCCAAAATTCGAATGCATTATAGTTGTAATGACTGAATTTCAATAATAAAAATATGAAGTCGGGTTATTACATTAAAACAAACTATATTATATCCACAAATGACATTAAAATTAATAATTGCTGTAATTACAATAATTAAAACCAAAATTTACACTTAGATCAGATAAAATATCATACGTTTATGAATTAAAATATTTGATTTTACAATATTATATTACACCTGAAAACTTTTGGGTGTAAAATATTATCATGAGCGCAATACGTTTCAGCTTCAGCATTTTTATAGTTGTAAGGATATATTCAGCAGTTAACCACAGATTTGATTTACGGTAGGATAGCACATCATTATCCCTTCTGAATAGTAAAAAAAGTATACCAAGGAGTGATTCAACATCAGCATTTTCCGAAATGTGTACTTTCAAAAACAGAGATATCTAGAAAATAAGATATATTAAAAAGTATATTAGGGAATCAAAGTGTACATTTTTGAGGAAAAAGATTTCTTATCAAGTATATATTGTAGACAAAATATATATTAAAAAATGTGTTAAAAATTGGAAAAATAGATAAGAGGTATTTGAAACAAGCATTCAAAAGCAAATAGTCGTCACATAATCATCAATATGATTTCGAATTAGTTACAACTTATAAAGTCGATTATATTTTTCTCACGAGTTCTTTTGAAAATACCTATATAATTTTATAATATATAATTAAGTTTTATAAGGCTTAACGTTATTGTTTTAACGGCAGTTACGCTTACTTCTCATAGTCATTGAAACTACTATAGCAGCTTATTCAAAACTGTGATTTATTTATAACTATTTATTTATTTAAAAAAGATATGAAAAGATGCACTGATAATATTTATTTGACAAATTTTAATTTCGCCTTAAGATTTTTCTCCTAATTTCTTAAAACTTGTGTAATTTATTACAAAATGATCTTTAAGATAAGGTTGGATTGTATCAAAGGCCTCAGTTTTCTATTTTCCTTTTTTTCTTCCTTCTTTTCTTTTTTGACATTTGGCATCTTATTCTGTATAATTATATCTATTTGTTATCTAATTGTCTATGGCAATTATTCATGAGATAAAGAGAAAAATTAATGCATATCAGAACTGTATATTATTAAAACAATTTTATAATACAAAACAATACAATTTTACTAAATGAATTATATGTATGTTTATATTAAAATATAATAATTATCTGTAAAATAATTACTAAATGAAACTCATATATATATATATATATATATATATATATATATATTATAATATCATAATAATGTAATATCATTTAATATAATATTATAATATCAATAAGTTTGTATATAATAAATATGTATATAGTATAAATGTATAATGGATTAATAATAAAAAATGATGCTTTTTAAAATGTCTAACTTTTATATTCTTTTTTATAAAAGTTTCTTTTTTATTAATCATTTTATTTTTCCCTTATAGATTTTATTCGTAAATGGTCCTGAAGAAGGTTGTGGTGGAAATATAAATGTCAGTAGTGTAACCCAATTTAGAACTCAATTATCTAATACTTATGATCCTTTTCAAGATTGTCAATGGTTAATTTTTTCACCACAAGGTTATAATATTCAATTTACAATTAATCAATTAGATTTAAAGAATTCCAAATTTAATGAAACTCAAGAAAATCAGATTACTTGTAATAGTGATTATATGGAGGTAAATATAAAAATAAAGATTTTGACAATTAATTTTATTTACTTCTAACAAAAATATTATTATTAATAGGTTCGAGATGGTGGACCATATGCAGAGTTGATCGGAATATATTGTGGAAATAAAGCTCCACCGCCAATATTAACATCTTCTAATTTATTATGGATTAGATTTGTTTCTGATGGTATTAATCAAGGACAAGGAGTTAAAGGATTATTTCAAATTATTACGTGTAATAATTTTATCTTTTTAAGGATAATTTTCTTATTAAAATCAATGTTAATAATATTCACATTATAAAATTTCTTAATATTGTATTTATTAAATCCGCAGCTCCTTGTGGAATATCAGATTTATCTCTTGGCAATGATACTCGAATTCTTACATCTCCTAATTATCCAGATGATTACACATCGGATATAATTTGTAGATGGGTAATACGTGCAAGCAGCGGAAGATTCAAAAGAATAAGGATTGTTTTTAAAGATTTTTATTTAAAAGATTCAAAGTTATGTGAAAAAGAATATTTACAAATAGCTGATATGGATGTGAGTGTATTAATTCGCTAAAAAGTAGTATCTGTTATATAAATATTTAGTAATATTTCAATAATATTTTATATAATAGAATCGAGAAATAATAAGTGAAGGTTTTGGAGAACAATTGATTATTGGAGGAACAAAAACGCATCATCATAATATTATTGTTGTAAGTGATTTCCACTATTTTGATAGTAGAAAGGTAGGAGAATAATTTATTACATAAATTCTAATTAATATTATTTAAATTTATAGGCCAGTCGAAATCCTCAATCTTACTACAAATATTGCGGTTCAAATATACCTCATGATTATTACAGGTAATTATAAAAAAGATTATAAAAATTTATAAAGTCTTATAATATTCGACTACTAATTTAACATATTTATATTCTGTAAAATAACTGCAGTAACATATAAAACAATATATTATAATAACAATGTAATATAACAATATTATACACAATATATAACAATATAATATAATAATCATATATAACAATATGTTTAATTATTTAAAAATTACACGTTAAAATTTATAATATGTTCACAATACATCTTTTTACGGCCTAATGAAATATAATAGTATTTAATACAAACAAAATGCACAACAATTACATAATTTTGTGTCAACTATAACACCTAAATTTCAATAAAATTTGTTTAAATAAAGTTGATCATTTTTTAATTAGAAGACATGATAAAAATATAAAATTATTTTATTCTTTTATACCAAAAATTAAATTTCTGTCAATATATTACTTTTTATTAATATATACAATAATTTTATTGTATTTTAATCATTGTAGTATTGAACTTGTATTCTATATGTCAGAAATAGGTAATTATTAAAAAAAATCCAAGTAGTAAGCTAATAATTTTATATTAAAAATTATTTATTTATTGGAGCGTTGTTGTTATATAATGCAATAATAAACTTGTCATTAAATTATAAAAATAAATATCTAAATTAATAATTTCATTATTGATGAGAAGTATAATTTTTAATAAATATTTAATGATTTAAATATAACAATTATTTGAATATTTTACTAAATTTTCATAAGTAATTATGTACACTAAGATATATATGTATAAAAAAACAGATTGAAGGTATTTTTTGTAATTATGATTATAATAAGAGATAAAAAAATAATAAAAATTTGAAAATGTGGAGGATTTGTAATGACTTAAAATAAAAATAAATCATTTACATTCAAAGCTTCACTAGTGACTATTTGACTACAGGTGAATATCATTGAATTGCAATTAAATAAAAATTTTCAGAAAAGTATTTGCTGAAAGCATCATATAATGATCATTAATGCACAGCTGTTTATGTTACTCAATTGATCTAAGAATAATGGAAGAATTGTTATTTAAAATAAGTAGCAGTTTTTGATACCGTTAACATACAACATAACTTACATAAAGTAGGATTTTATATCATTAACTTTTTAATAAGTATAAATATTTAGGTTATTCATAAATCTAATAATTTGTCATACTTAATGTAATTTTAGAATTTAAATAATCAATATAATAGCAATTTTAAGTACAGGACATAAAAGTAATAAATTAGATGTGCTATGTAAATAACGATAAAATTGCTTTTTTATATTTAATTATTTAATTAATTAATTAAATGTCCAATAATAATCAATATTATGCTATATTTTATATATTGAATATATTCTTAGTCGGTATGTACATTTTTTATATTTACGGATTTTATTGTTATAGTATATTTTAACTATTTAATGTGAACTACTATATTTACATGATAAATTACAGTAGCTAACTAAATTTATCTGTAATACATAATAGAACTACAAAATAGAATACTAGTCAAATAAATGCATATTGAGTGAGATATGTTATATATTGAAAAAAAGATCAATGTACTTAATTCATTTCGCATTTATATTAACATTGCCAATGAACGCTCATGTCCAATTTTTATTCAAAAATCTTTTGTAACAAATAAGTTTTAGCGACCATTATTATATTCCTTAATAGTAATAATTATAAAGATTTTATTATTTTCTTTTCACATATAGTAATTATAGAGATGTAGAAATAACTTACAAAGCATTGTTTGAAAAAGGAAAAAGGCAACGATTCAAATTTGAATATGGTAGAGCTTCTTGTTCACATAACTACACAGAACTTCAAGGTAGAATTATTCATGAAGATATTACCGATTGCTGGGTTACAATTCAAGTTCCTGTCAATTATACTATCAACTTATATTTTAATCATTTCTTTCTACCTGGTACTCCTGATTGCTCTGAAGGAAACATGCAGGTAATTAGATTATATTTAAAAACATTGTAAGCTCATATTATTCCTAAGTTTAAAATATAAAATATGATTTGTTTATTACACAATTTAAGTATTATTATATTAATATTAATATATAATAATATTTTATAAGAATACAAAATTTTTAATACTTACTTTATGTTTAATCAATATTTAAAATATTCATTATTTTAATAAGATAAAGTTGATATTCATTTTTTCCATGTCGTAAAACATGATTTCAGCTTAAGTTCTGAAAAAATATGCTCAAGATTTTTTATAGACCATATATTATTTTTAATTAATTAAAATTAATGTGATATAACTTTATTAGTGTTTCAGAATACAAGAGCTTTTGTGTTAATTAAATTTTTTTTTTACTTTTAAATTTTTCTGTACATATGAAAAAATTTAGAAAATTTACTATAACTCTTGCAATATCTGATTGCAATAGCCCATATGTAAAAAATTAATGAAAATCATCAGAATTCTGAGATTAGTAATATAGTAAATAAATTGCTTTGAAATATGATGATATGAGATAAAGATTTCACAATAGACTTTTAATAATTATATATATATAAATTACTTTTGAATGAACAATTATAAGAGTGAACTAGAATAAAATATAAATATTAGAATGTGTCGAAGCATTTTTGTGATTTAAAAAAAGTCGATAAAATTGGTTCGTTATTTTAAAACGATAGTGAATAATTCCTTGAATGTGTATAATATTATTTTAATTTTGGTTTCTTCAAATTTATTTAAAATTATTATAACGAATTTTTATATCTATAACAAAAGCTCAATAATATTTTTTATTTAAAAAATTAGCGTTATTATTAATAATTGTAGCCTTATTTACACATAGATCATAATGTTATTTACACTTGTGTGTATATTTATTTATTTACTTTCATGTAGGGATTCAGATAGGCAGTTCATAGCATTTTATGTTTTCAATTTTACGTTAATAGATAAATTAGGATATGTCCAGTAATCGAAAACAAAGTATGGATGAATGAAGTTTTATCTACAAATAAATATTTATTAGACCATTTAAATTATTATATAAAACTAGTTACGTTACAAATGTTTATATAATTGTTTTATTATAATTGTTTTGTTCTTCTCTGTAAGAATGAAAACGATCTATCTAGGACTTCAATTAGGGCAATCTTTCCGTACTGCAACAAATGTTTTTTTTCATAACGAATATATTAGTTCTATTGTATTCAATTTGTTTAATCTAATATATTACTTATTATATTTCCGTTCAATGGATGTCCAATTTCAAATTTTTTATTATTAATAAAGAAATTAACAATATATTTATAAAATTCCAAATTTACTTTAAAATACTATCAAAAATATCCAATATATCAATTTTTATAAATTAATATACTTCCCTATAGACTATTAATTAAAAAAATTAAAGAAAGCTTTAAAACAAAATTTAAATAAATATTATAACATGTAATAACTAATAAAATATTAAAGATACGAGAAGGATTATTCAATGGGCATATAATTCAAACTATATGTAATTACGAAACTCCTAATCCAGTATTTAGTCAATCAAATCGTATTAGCTTTCATGCATTTTCTAATAAAGAAATGAATTATCGCAACAATGTATATGATATAACATATACATCAACAAAGAATGGTACGTTATTGTTTTTTTTTTATTTTTAATAAATTTCATTCATTGAGTAATTATCTACATACAACAAACAGGTAGAGGATGCGGTGGAAAAATATATAATTATGGTGGCGTATTTACATCACCACTTTATCCAAGTCCTTATCGAAATAAATCTAGTTGTAAATGGGATATCAATGTACCACGAGGAATGAAAGTTTTACTCCATTTTGATATTTTTGATATTGGAACACATGCAATGTGCTTTACAGACTATTTGACTTTGTCAGAAATTCGGTCAAATGAAGAAGAAGTAATCACTACTTATTGTGGAGGAGTAAGTTAAAATATTAAATCACTTTGATAAAATCAAAACTTTACAAATACATAAAACGTATTTGATTGAAATAACTTTTCGATATTATTCAACAATTTCACCGGGAACTTTTATTAAATTTTTAATAACCAACCCGAATATATTAATATATAAAGTACAAAATTAAAATTATTAAAAATAAATTAATATTATTAAATTTATTAAAAAAAAAAAATCTTTTGTCTACTCAATTCTATGTAATTTAATATTTTAAGATATTACTTTTTACTCTTTAATATTTTTTAACTCTTATAAATATAATTAAATATATAATATTTTAACGTAGCAAATATATAATAAGTAGCCATTAATTTTACTTTTACTTATTAATTTATCAATTATAAAAATATGTTTTCAAATTTTCAATTCTTCTATTAATGATATGCCAATATAATTATCATTGATTTTAAAGAAATTTAACAATTATAAGATTAAAGCTATTATTTTAGTAGTTATTATGTTTTTTTTTTTTAATATTTCACATTTGTACAGTAGAAATAATCAATAGAAAATCTGTTAATATAAGAAAATTAAAAATTTGTGTTGTCAAATTTATGATCACATATATTCACTAAAAAAAATTAAATTATATAAAATATATTATATAAAATGTGTATTAATATTTCAGGATATACCGGCTGATTTTACTTCGCAAAGTGATCAAGTATTCATTACCTATACGA